GTTTTCGATCGATGGTAAAGTCCTGTACTATAAATATTGTGACGTTAAAGTAGGGAGTGAAAAACGGCTTAATGTTATGCAACACATTAATACAGACAAACACAAAAATTCGATCATGCGTAAAGAAAAAACCAAAATGTACTTGAATTGAGAAAAGTTCAACAATTGGTGAGTAATTCTAAAAAATCATCTTTCAATAAAGACATGTTCTACAATGCTATCAGCCAACATACCACTTAATAAGCTAGGTAACGTTCAATTCAAACAATTTTTGGAAAAATATACGGGGAAACAAATTCCGGCCATTACTACTTTACGTAAATGCCATGTCGATGAAATTTATTCTGAAACTATAAATAAAATTAGAAATGGTATCACTGGTAAAAAGATCTGGGTATCAATAGATGAGACCACCGACTCATTAGGCCGATCCATTGCAAACGTAGTAATCGGTACTCTTGAAACCGATGATCCAGGCCAAACATTTTTCCGAAGTACTGACCAAAGCTAATCATTCGACTATTGCGAAATTATTTGATAATTCAATGCATCTATTGTGGCTAGAAGAAGTGCGTCACGACGACGTCCTATTGTTTTTAAGTGATGCGGCGTCTTATATGGTGAAATCCGGGAATTCAATTCAAGTATTTTACCCTAAAGTTATTCACGTTACTTATATTGTGCACGGGCTTCATCTTATTGCTGAAAAAAATCGTGTAAATTATTGCAAAGTCGATAAAATCATCGTAAATGTCAAAAAAATATTTTTGAAGGCGCCTAATCGTATTGCAATATTTAAAGACAAAGCGCCCAATATTCTACTACCGCCAGCACCTATTTTAACAAGATGGGGGACGTGGATAAGAGCCGCTGTTTATTACTGTGAACACCTTGAAATTATTAAATCTATTGTCGACTCTTTGAATAAAGAAGACGCTATTTTTCTGAAGCAAGCCTTGCGGCAAATTTAGTATTTATCAAATCACATTTTGGATTTTTACCTGATAGAATTTACCAGTCTTGAAGCAAAAAATATTTTACTTAGTCATGCAATCGATGCAGTGCAAAATGTTAATTTGAAATTGAGTCAAGTCCCTGGTCTAATTGGAAAAATTGGATATCAAAGTTTAATTCAAATTTCAAAGGCGAAGAAACCTCAACTCGAAATACACTTTGGGGAAGCAGTACCCCAGACCAAAGAGGATCTGCTTTCTATAGATTCTCAATCAAAAATCATGTATCATTTATTTCCCCGCTCAATCCACCATACTGGCCAATCCATTCAAATAGGCTATCCGAAAAACTTGATTTTTTTATTTCCAAAATCCCCAATCACATTAATACCAATATCAAAAATATATGTGATTTATCGAGTGATCACTTTCCAATACTTTTATCTATAGCTGGCGACGTGATATTAAACTCTAAACCTTCTCTAACAATTGGACCCATCGATCGGGATAAATTCAAATATAAATTGGTCTAAAATATTAATCTAAAAGTACCACTTATTCTGATGTCGAAAATGCAACAAAATATAATGTTTTAACAATCCAACAAGCAGCTACTACGGGCTTCATCTCCTATCAAGCCGCATCATTCAAATTCTTCCTCAAGCCTTCCCTAATCGTAAATAAACGTCGTTCTCCAGCCAAATGGTAAAATACATGATCGCCTAGTCATAAAAAAAGTTTATTTTATCTAAAAAATCTTTTAAAATGTAAACTTTATAAGCATAAATCTGAATAGTTTTAATTGTGTATGAAATTTTTACAACCTGATAACGGCTTACTTTGGAAAACAACCCAAAGTTTCACTAGACATAGAGAAAAAATCCCACCTCTTCAACTAGAAAATGGTCTGTGAGCTATTGCCGATAAAGTAAAAGACAACATTTTTGCTTCCAAATTAGCTGAAAATTATTTCAATCGTATTCGTGCATCATTTCTGAGGAAAAACAAGAAAATTTAAGAAATATTTTAGTAAAACGAAAATCAGCACAATATTTTTAAAGAAAATTTTTAATGCCTATTTAATTTTTGACCATAATATGATATATATAGTGTTGACAAATCATCACTATCAACTAAACTCCGCTCAGAATCGATTTTCGTCAGCAATGATTTATCGTTGTTTACAGATGTACAGTAAATTCCCGTCTGTATCCTACATTCCTAGCTTCCCACCTACAACTGGTTGCGTTCACGTGTGAAGTATGTCAGTCTTTTTATATATTTTTAAATGGTTTGTTTTTATCTAAATACTAAAGTAGATACCATAAATTCCTATAATTAGTATAACTACTTAAGTAGTTATAAAATTAATCATAAGCAAAGTTGGGGGCGCCAAAATGTTGTTGCCCTTGGTCGCCAAAAAGTACGTCCTGTATAGAAACAATTACCTACGTTATTGTAACTATTGTATTGTGAAATTGTTACTTCAATTATTTACATTACCGCTAACATCAGAAACACCAGAATGCACATCTTCCACTCTAAAATTATTGAAAAATTATTTGCGATCAACAATAAATGAAGATAGAATTAAAGGGTAAGCGATAACAAAGATAAACAAATCAGAAAAAATCACAGAAGTTATACAAGTTTTTTCTTTAATATCACATCGACGTTTATTAATATTTAACTGGTCAAAATGAATAGTAATAAATTAAAATATTTAATTTTTTTAATATTTATCTAAATAATTATTATAGCAATTAAAAAATATTATTGTTTATTGTAGAGTATATTTTTTTAAAAATGTTTGACTTTTACCCCCTCCTATTTCAAATTCTGGCTTAGCCACTGGTAGGTAGATAGTGCACTGACTAGATGAAAACGTTGAATTTAGAATTTAATTTAAATAACGCTAATATATAAGATATAACCGACCTTTAAATTTTCTACTTACATTTACTTAATTTTTAATTATTTTTAAACCGTTTTAACTTACTTTTTCTTCCAACGTATAACTAAAATAGTAAAATGTATGAAACTGCGTACAATCTCTTATCTTAGCAGCTCCACCCCCGTGAGTATGATAAAAATTAAAAGGAAATGTAAACAAAACTAAAATAATTGATTTTACAAAAAACAACCAAGTCCAACTTTTCATCTTTACCGTTTTTTTTTTGTTTAATTTACCGATTTTATAAAACTTGAAAAATATGACTTAATTAAAACTTTAGTTTGATCTTCCGATAATAGACATGTGGACTCCCACAAAAACAAACAAATATGGAGTTGGTAAGTTGTTTTTAAATAATCTTTTGTGAATGAAAATATTTTAATTCTAATTTAATATAATTTATAAATTCTATGTTCAGTAATATATAACTGGCATGGCGATAATCCATATGGCCTACATCTTGAAATTGGAGATACTGTTCAGATCCTTGAACAATGTTGTGGTAGGTTTATGCAGTTTTTAAAATTAATTCATCATGTTTTAATGTCATTGTATTTATCATTCAGGTTGGTACAGAGGATTCATTACTAAAAATCGATCTGTTAAGGTGAGCCATAATACTAATTAATAATTGAATAACAATTATATTATAATATTATCTATAATAAATATTTACAATGTTTTATTTACAAATTAGGGTATATTTCCATCAACATACATCCATTTGAAACCATTCAGAGTAGAAAATGAAGGGTAAATATTTATTTTAAAATAATAAATATTATATTTGGTTACCTATTTCAATTATAATATTAAATTATAGAAGCTTTGAAACAGCTATACCATTAGAAGATTCAGTTGTTAGAGAGGTATCAATGGTTTTACGTGATTGGAATTGTATATGGAAGTCATTATATGTGGTATGTCAAAAAACTCAATTGATAATAAATATTATTTTGTCTACATCATACCATATAATTAACAACAGTTTCAGTGTTAAAAATGTATGACAAAATTAAAGCTATTAATTGATAAAACTAATTTAATCATTGGTTTTCAGGTGATTAAAATAATAAATAAATAATGGAACTAGAAATTTAAAACATTCAATAAATATCTAACTCAAAGCATTAAAGAAATTTTAATTATTATAAAAATTGTAAAATTATATCTATGGACTAGGTAAATAATTTCTAAAAAATAAATATAGATTTATCAATAAATTATCAAATGTCTTGAGGTTGTAATTAATATACTATTCAGTATGTTTGATGGATGTTACTATGCACCTATTTTAGTTTTCCAGTCCATTTTATAATTTTAAGATATAATAAAACATAATATTTAAAAGTGATAATTGATATAAAAATTGGAGATTTTTAATTGTTTATATTTACCTATTGTATTTGTTTTAATATATATAGAAAAAAATGAATTTAATTCAATTTTATACTTTTGAATTAGTTTATGTTTAAAATGAACATTCTAATGTATGTTGATTATTTTTAATGATAATATTTATATTTTTAGGAACGCGAAACGTATAAGTTCACTACACTACGAAAAGTAATGCGAGAATTATTGGAATGGAGAAAACAATTGTTAACTGGGACATTAACTCAAGACCAAACAAGGGAACTGAAATTGAAGATAACTGCAAAAATAGATTGGGGAAACAGGTAAATAGGAATAATTGCACGATAATTAATTTTACTATTATATTAAATTGTACTTCCAAAGATATAATACCAATGCTGGACACGTGCCCCATACAATTTTTTTTTTATTAGTTATTTCGTTGTATTTTATTATTTTTAAAAATAGTAAATAATAATACAAATTATAAGCCATTTACTTCATATTCAAATTTTACGCGAATCTTTATATTGTATAATAGTGTTTTTTTCTAGCACTGTTAATATTACATTTTTTTTTTCAATCAGTTTCTCTTCATGGGAAATATTAATTTGGAGAAAAATTAAATTTGTATTTTTATCCCCTAAACACAAAATTAAAATAACTTTTTATTTGTTTACTTTAGAAAATATTTAAGAGTCATTTTTTTAAAAAATATTCTAAAAATTTGTATACATCACATTCATATACGATTAATAGTTCTTTAATTACAGTCTTTTTAATTTCTAGAAAATAAGTGTGAAATCAATTAATAGTCAATATAAGGTAAACAATTAGCATGCTGAAAGTAATTCCTTATCGTATAATGTGTTATTTTATTGAATATGAATATGAATATCAGGTTAAATGTGTGATACATTAAAAATTTTTGAATAATATTTTTTATAAAATGACTTTTGAAAATTGTGTAAAGTGAATAAATAAAGTTATTATTATAATTTTTTTGTATTTAGGGGAGGAAAATAAAAATTTAATATTAACAGCGCAAGAAAAATCTGTTGAACACACTGTATACTGGAATGTGGTATTTTAAATTTATTTAATTTTAAATATTATATAAAATACAATTGGACATTTTCCCGGTCCCTTTTCAATATTTTTATCGGTTTTAACAAATAATAAACAATTTGGTAGATAACTTATCAAAGATAGACTAGACCCTAAATCTACTTATAATTTAAAAATAACTTTTAAACCAATATTACTGTTTTTTTAAGGTTTTGAATTTATATTTTAGTTTCAAAGTGTAGTGTGAAATGTATTGGTTTGTAGTGATGTTAATTTTTTTACTGTATACAAAATTGCTACCAGAAATCTTGCTCCGATGTATCATGTGTAGCAACTTCTCTGAAAGGAAATTATGTTTAGGTGTTACTGTGAAAATTTTTCAAGTAGATTTCATGATAATTTGGAAAAACTGGAATGTAAACAAATTTACAGCATAAGATTATATTATTTTAAATTTGTATGCTTTATGTTTTCTACCAGAACTATTGCTCCAATAGAAAAACCTAATGTCAAGAGACCTTTTTGTTGCATTTTTATCCTAGTTGGTAGGTAGAAAGTCATTTTTTGATTTTCCGAGAACTTTTTTTAATAATTGAGCAAAACCGATATAAAAAAAAAAAACAAACAGAAAAATAATATCATTATTAATTTTATATTTTTGTCATATTTCACTTAATAATATTTGTAGAGGCTTACAATTTTAACAGAAAACTTATGTGATCAAATTTTCAAAACATTTGAGCTATTTATAGACATTTAATTTTTTTGAGATTTTGCATACATTTTTTTGTAAGGTACTCCGTAAATAAAATTGTTTGCCTAAACAAAAATGCTTGAAAATTTAACAAGAGATTCATGATAAGTCATACTTGGTGGGCAAAAAAAAAAATTTAGGTTTAATAAAGTTTATTTTTCAGAATACTTTTAATATCAAATTTTGATGAAAATTTTCCTATATTGTCTTATCTTAAGTATTCTGTCCTCTTAATTTCTACTTGCAATAGGGATGTATCTGTGTCTCCAGTATTAGCCCTTATTTAAATGTATTACTATTAGTACTTACTCTATTTAATAAAATATGCAAATTGGTGTTGATAAAATATTTAGTGACTTATTCAGTTGATTTGTCTTAATTTCTTCCATATTCACTGATCAATGATTATAATGCCAAATAAATTCTTATGAATTGGTTGAGAACAGCTGGCTAGGGTTAAGTTTAAGAATGTGTAATGAAAACTAGTTTTTTTTATAGTCATGCTATGATTTATCTTAATATTAAATATCTTATATAAAACTTTACAAATATTTTTTTTTTTTTTATTAGTAGCCTAACTTTAAAAATAAAACATTAAACAGTTATACTTGAAGGAAGTTTTAAAAATCGCATATTATAGTATTACTATACAAGTACTAAATATTATTTAAATAACATACAATGTGTTCCACTATGTTCGACGGATTTTTGTAGAGCTGTTATTAATAAATATTTTTCAATTTTTTTTTTCTGTATGTTTCTCTTCGAAGGGTACATCGATTTGGAAATTTTAATGTATTACACATTCATATCCGATGAATAATTTCTTAGTAATAGCCATTTTAATTTCTACAAATGTGAAAACAATTAATATTTAATAATAATCACAATCGCCACACGGTAATTCCTTATCGCAACAGTAGTTTATTGAATATTATTTTCACACTTTTTTTCATCGGATATGAATGTGTGATACATTAAAATTTTTAGAATAATATCTTTTACAAAATGGCTAATTCAATAATTTTGTAAAGTAAATAAATAAAAAAAAAATTTTTTCTTTCTAAAAATGTATTTTTACTGATTAAAAAAAAAAATTTAAAAAAAATTTAATACTAACAACTCTAAAACAATCAGTCGAACAAAGTGGGACACACTGTATAAAACACAATTGGCATTTGAAAATTATTGTTGTTATTAAATTTCAAAATATCAAATAATATATGAAATGCAGCTGGTTCAATAAATTAGATAATGAAAGTGAAATAAAAACCGACCTTTTTTTCGTTACAATATAGCAATAAGAATAGTAGTGTAAATGAGTAATATTCAACCTGAATGTTGCGTGTGATAGGGGGTCACTTTAACCATAAGTATTATATATAATGTATAATGTCCTAAGTGAGAAATAATCAGTATCGGACTGTGTTGTTCAACATTTTATTCTTACTATCAACATCGGGGATGATTAATGTTGGTATATTTTATCTAATTGAATTTCATTTTTCTGATTTTCTTTCTACTGCTTTTAATATTGGTGAAAAGACAGGAATGTTCACACAAAGTTTAATTTACAGATATTAGTGATGTGACCGTCTATCAGCCACAATCTCATATTGATTTCTATTAAAAACGCAGTTTCATTAGATTTAAGTTAAACAATATTATCTTTTATCTCTCAAAAAAATTTGCTTAATCTTGTTGGTCATCACATTTGTCTGCTTGTAAATAGATATTTCTGTTAATTTCAATTTTTTGTTGCGATTCAATGAACAATTTCGATAGAGGCCTGAAATTTTAACCAAATATCAAATAATATTAGCACTTTTAATATTTCGTAGAGTAATACGATTTCCAAAGTATTCTGGGTTTTTTTTTTTAGTTACTTAGCTAGGGCAGAGAACATGTAGCTCTAAAAAATACAACACATAATATGCAAGCATTTATGTTACTAATATTATTATGCACTTAAGATAGATTCAAAAAAATAAAAACTTTTTGTCTTAATAAAATTTTTACTTTTAATCATGGTATATAATTCAACTAAACGAAAGGTAATTGTTTTTTAATTTAAGTTAATGGATTCAAACTTAAATATAAATTGGTATATTACATTGATTGATTTTTAAAAAGATTTAATTTAACATTTCTTCTTAACACTAAAAAATAACATTTTTACTAATAATTTTCGTTTTGATAAATGTAATTTCATTAAGAAATAGTGTAAGAAGTCTGAAAAAACACCTAAATAACATAAAAACCTACAAATGTCTTAAAGTGCAAAAAGATCAAAATATATATTTTAAAATTATAAATTTGGCATTGGCACTTTTATGACTGCACAAAATAAATACACAAATGCTTACTTAGAGCTATTTGAAATGTTAAAATTGTTTGGTTTATGTGTAATTATTAATAAATAAGGTTTGGATGTTTATACAATTACATACTTTTTTATATTATTTTAGTTAATACCTAGTTATAAATTAATTTCATATTCTATTGAATTGATGAATTATACCATTTTTATTTTGCATGATTTTAAGATTTTAAAAATATGAACACATGTAATTAATATTGAAACATTTTTAACTTCTTATCAATTCAAATAAAATATATCCCCATTTCCTTTGATAATAGTTATATATATATGGGTAATATAAGAATATGTCTTTAATTATCTATAACATTAGGTGTACATTATTACATTATTGTAAATCAAATTTTGGGAGTCCTCTTGCTATATTCTTGTTTTCCTTTTATCGGATAATAAACATTTAATTGAATTTGAACATGGATTTAAATTTATATCATCAAAATATTTTTTTTATCATACTAAATACTAAAATAAAATAAAAATTAATAATAAGTTTGTGTAGTCTTTATATAAAAATTATCAATGAGAAATTTTTTTATTAAGTAATTTATTAAAGTGTCTATTTTAATACATAAAATTGTCATTTAAACTTATTATTAAGTAAAATCAAATCATTAATATTACATGGGGAGATTTCAATAAATCGCATGTATGATATTGACAATTTTTACATTTTTTTTTTTATTGTGTAAAAATAAATTAACTAATATGTCCATATTAAATTTCACAATAAATCTTATCACAATCAATTACAATTTTAACAGAAGTTGTACTTCCAAATTAAAATCAAAATAACTTATTAAATATTTAAATACAATTAAAATTATATTTGTTTACATTAATTAGCGCCAAAGTATATTCATATAATTACTTTTTAATTGTTTAAATATTATACGTAATTTTATTTATGTAGGAATAGTTAGATATCATTTGTAATACCTACAGAAAACTTATAAAAAATGAATATTAAAATAAAATACATAATTAAAAATAATAATTTTGTCCTAATACTAATTATTGTGTATAAATACTAGTTAGACATTAAGAAGTTTATTAAATTACATAATTTATTAATTGATGTTTTCTTATGCAAATGGAATGTTTTTCTTAGTAACACGACAATAAATTGAACACAATTTGAGATTTAAAATTTCTCCAAATGTTTTTTTCTTAATAATTAATATACACCGATTTATGTTGTTCATCAAGTCTAAGCCTCAGTTTCTTTATGAAGTCTTAGTTTATCTGTAGGATATATTGGAGATAATTCCAAGGTTGAAGGGGCAGTTGGGTAATTATTACCATGATGAAGGTGTGAACTTAGTTCATCCAATACTATTTTAAACTCAATCATATTCATGTTTTGGCCTAATAAGTGCAGCAATAAGAAATCTCCCACCTAAAATATAATAAAATATTTAATTAGGTTTAAAAGATTTATTAGTACAATGTGGTTGTTAGTAACATCAATTCTATATCTTTATTGTATTGGATATGATAATAAAAATATTTATATAATAGTTTTCATAAAAGTATATTTACTTGTGTTTTTCTAATAAGTGCTGAAACTGTTTGTGGTGTACCAAATTTAAAGCGACGTAGCAAAATTGTTTCTCTTATTGAAGGCAATGTGACCACAGCTATACTATATGCCAAAGCCATAGCAGATATAATTGCCAATATAATGAACCAAAACCATAAGACTATATATATTTTTTCATTCAATATGTTTAATGCTAATACACAAAGTGCATCATGCTCTTGAATTGTTCCAGATGGACCAAATTTGTGAAATGTACATTTAGTCACTCTTGGAAAAACAGCAACCATAGGATCATATCTATTTTCCTGATCCATTTGACTAAATTGTAAAACTCTTGAACCATAGGTGAAAAATTCTCCTCCCAAAAAACTGTCAATAAGGAACATGTTTCCAATTACGTTCAAAAAGTTTAATACCTGAGAAATAGAATTAAATGTTACAAGTTAAAATTTAAAAAAAATTTCATTTCTTTATTAAAAATATTTACTTCACATAAGAAATATCCTGAAGCGTAGACATTGTGCATATGAAGCGTATCAATAAGATATTTAACTAATTGTTGTTGACGAGATATTCTGTCCGTGTTTGACCCAATAGAGGTGCCACGTACACCATCTGTGATCATACGGATTTTACCTTCTTCCCAATTTTTCCATAGCATATGGGGCACATAAAAAAGAATTCCTTGGAAAAATAGCATAAAAGGCACCCACTGGTAATATGAATGGTATCGTACTGGATCTTCATTATCAACATAATTGGCTACACCAGGATGAGCTACTTGTGTACCAAGACCTTTTCCGATTTTATCCGGCAATGTAAAAGTATGAGTGATCCAGCAAAATGTGTTAATGACATGTTCCGGAATAGCACCATCGGTTAAACAAGATATAGGATCACCTAAAAATAAAATCAATAATTCATTCTATTTTAAAAAAACTAATAATCGTATTACGTTTTGATAGTTGCTGGTTTTACTTATAATTCATTAGAAGACAATTTAGAATTAAAATATTGAAGAAAACATTTTGTAGTTTTTGGTTAGTTTAATAAAAATAATAATAATAATGATGCTTAAATTTATTTAAAAAAAAATTGGGGAAAGGGGTATGAGATCTGTGTAATTACATCACTACGTTGAACTCGTGCAATATTAATTAGTGTTTATGATTAATAATAATCTACTCTACCAGGGTACCCAACACTTGCTTATTATTTATAGGTCCAGGGTCAATTGAAAGGAATTGCCTCCTTTATTACAACAACAATATAAAGCAGCGTTCTCGCCCATTGATTGTTATTCCGAATAATAAATTTTATTTTCAAATTCGTATTAGGTTATTATTAATAATAATAAAACTCACCAATTAGATTATTAGCTGTGACCAATATGCAGCATCCGAAGAGTAACGCCGTGGTGACACGGTAGTGCGCTCTGAATACAGTATTGTCGATGTTGGCCTTGTCCACCAGGTAACGCACCTTAATGAAGCCGGCTATCGCCGACAGCATCGGAAACGCCATTGTCCTTTATTAATATCTATCTATATTGAGGACACATATATTATAATAATAATATTATATAGAACGATATATATTTTCAAGAATATTGGTCGCTTTAATTTAGTGCGAAAAATCAAAGGATATATAGATAGAATTAACCCAACGACAACGGGAGAATGAAACTTATACACAACAGTCTTTAAATGTAACACGGGGACGGGTAGTAACAGGTATTGAGGTATCCGTCGTCGTTTTCTGATGTCAACAGCCTCCTCCTGTGTGTTGCCAGTTCTCCCACTCTCCCCGCAGGTAGAGTTTTGTGTTCGTCGAATGTACCGGGTCCTCAGACGGCCGTCTACAATTATTATGTATACGTACAAAACTGGTTTTTCTACTCGATCGCGCACACCACACACAAAAACTAACCGCGCGCGCACACACGCACAGCCCGCAGGTATATTTATATTATACGGTTTACGAATATACGCACGCACACAGACACGCAAGCATATTAATATTCCGAGATGTATAATAATATATTACTTTGGGTAAAAGGAGAGGATAAATTGTCTGAATATAGTGAGTCACGGTACCTACTAGGTAGGTAACAGTATTATGTAGGTATAGGATATAATATTCTCGAGTTTTTCCCGAGCGCGCGCCAGCATGCTGACGTACGCTCGCAACAATTTAATTACACAATAATAATGTTATTTCTCACTGTAACATCGCGGTGCTTTTACAGAGACTACTCGGATATCGGAACAGCTGGTACAATTAGGGACACGGTATTGTGTTGCCCGTGCCCATATACGTAGTGTATATCACAGTGTATACACAAAAGCCAACGAACACATAAACACCCAATAAAAAAAAAAAAAAAAACCTAGACAAAATGGTGTTACACACACGCATGACGACACTGTCTCCGTCGTTTTCCGAGAAAAGACCACCCTACGGAATTCTACAATAGGTAGTACACTGTTGGTCGGTACTAAAAACACGATACCGTAGCCCATAACGAAATTATTGTTGTGGCCGTGTTATACGATTAACATGGCATAACTTTCAATACGCGAACCGACGGCAAAAAAAAACATAAGGATGCGCGGACACGCAATTATTATATAGCCAGTCAGGTGTTCGCGGCGTGAGTCGAACGCGTGCAACAGCAGCTTGCCAGCAACAAGTTGCCGTCGTGCCGTAGCATCGCGCGATTAGATTAGAATATTATTCGTGGCGATCGCATTTAAAAACGCCCTACACTCGACGAGTGACGCGCATGTTCGCGAAATAATAATATTTATCATCGTATTGTGCGTACCGCGTAAAACGCATTATTATTTTACGCACTCGGAACGTTCTCGAAAGAACCGCAAAGGCTCACAAACCCGACCGGAAGATGCGACACAATAATATTATTGGATATTGTATTACAATTGTATTTACGCAATGTTAAAATATTATTATTATTAAACGTGTTCTACGTACCAGTTTAGTGTATATATTATTATATTACGACAATAATATAACAGTTGGTTTATCGTATCGATGATATCTGATAAACGATAACGATATTATTTGTTTTTGTTAATATTGTATTCGTAGGCTTTTGAGGTCCGCAACAGTTGTGGTTTCGGAAAATAAATGTAAACAGAAAAATTGAGAAAAGAATTGTGAGGGAAAAAAAAATCGTAATCCAAACGAATTGGCGCTCGTCCGCGCCTCGTCAATGCAGTCAACGCTACTAAACACTAGACACTGAATTATAGTCACTGTAGTTGTGACGTACACTGTACACAAACCGAACGGCACACGGGTCGGCCGCCGCCACTGGAACGTGTAGCGCTCAAACCGGTATCGGCGGTATCCGCTGTGCGGAGCAGCATTGCAATGCGGCGTAATGCACTCGGTGTGTAATATACATATACATAATAGAACAACATATAGATACTTCGAGTCTTGTTCACGACGAGACATTTTTTTTTTTTTTTTCTATCCTGGTGGAGAATTTCCCTCCCCCTCCCCTTTCCCACCGTCGCTCGATCGACTGTAAAAATTTTCGTTCGGAATTCGATTTTCAACCGGACGACGGTTACGGATCGCGCGTAAATCCTATAATTATTATAATAATATTATTATTACTCGGGTATGATATTCTTGCACGCAATATCGTTATTAATAACGGCAGTCCGGTAGGTAGCGCTTCGCGGACAATTATCCGATATCGTTATTCGTATTAATATAACCATTATAATATTCGGTACATTTTATTTCACCATCGACGATTATTCCTCGTATCCGTCGGAACGGACTGTCGGCGTTTTTTAGAAAAAAAAAAAAAAATCCGTTTCCAACATTTGCATTTGCCCCGCCGCGCCGCGCGCCGCCTCGGGCTTGCTGCGACCGGTCGTAGCTAGGATAATCGAGAAAAAAACCGGGCGTGTAACCATCGAAATATCGAATGCATATTTTGTATTTTTAAACTCAGACAAATTAACGTGATAAATTACAATATTATTATACTTGTAATTATTTGTTGTTAAATGTGTACAGTGTAATATTAGTTACGGAGTGTATACACACGCGCGCTACACCCCACCGGTGTGAGAAGGTACCTGCTATTATGAAAAAAAGAAAGTTTGGACGCGCTGAGAATACAATATTTTGAATATACGAATCTCGTTTAACAATAATGTAGATGAAAATCGAAAAAAAAAACCGTCCGTTTTATTATGTAACACATTTCTTTTGTTCTTATGTACAATTTGAACCGAGAATGATTTCTTTGCATTTATTATTATGACAATATTTATAATAAAATACAGCAAAAACTAAAGCTGAAAAATCAAACAAAATACAAACACAATATTTTATGTAAACGTCTTTTATTCGATATTACACAACGATAGTGTGTATAACAGGATATAAAATATTATACTTGTACCTATAGTCTTACACCTATATTAAATTTGGTAGATATAGGTAACAAAAAAGCTGATACAGCTAATAGCTGTATCACTGTTTTTAATGAAAAGTTGGAAGGGAGAATATTTAGAGTTAAATTTATATCTGAATGTAACAATAAAAGATCGTAAGCAATGGCCATTGAAAACCGATTCTTAGCAGAATTTATCGATCGTATTTTTCGTTTATTACCGAAGTAATCGAGAAATCAACAAAAATTGTACAAAAAAGTGGCAACTAGTTTTTCCCATTTAATAAAAAAATACAAGGAAAATCAAAAAATGATCTAAACACATCAACTTCATCAAAACTGCTACAAGAATATTCTTAAACAATTTTTGATTGAAGCAAGATTTCTGATATAAAAGTTCTTTACAAACGAAAAAATAACACTTCATTGTAAAACCAATACACTCCTCGATTCCCTCAAAATTTAAAAAAATTGATTTTCTTAGAAATGTTTAAATTACGGCTAATTGATTTATAATAATCTATATGTATAACAGTACTACTACTGATACAGATAAATTATTATTTATTATAATTATCTATTTTTGTAATTCATTAATTTGGTAAGTATTTTTTTTTAATTTTCCAGGTATTTATTATAATATTACCTACTTTTATATTATAGTAATTTGAATAATATATTATTTTATCCTATGCTAAGTATTTATGTATTTGGTAGTTAGTATCAAGGTCCTCTAAGGATTTTTAGTTGGTACTATAGGTATATATTATTAGTTGTACGATACCTACATTAATACAAAATTTCAAAACATACTCTTCGACCTATCTACCTACCTATAAATTTGCCTTTCAACCGCTACACAACTACGATTCAAATATGTGTGACCCAAATCATTTGTTATTTGTCTGTTGTACCCTGAGTGATCAACAAAGGTTCTTTTTCCCGCACTTATTGTGGCATAGGTACTTCTATCAGCATTCTTTACACCAAAATTCTTTAACGCATATAGAATGCTCTATTGTCTACAATAATAATAATTGATGGCGGATCTAGTCGATGGCATTATTTTTAATGGTTTTGTCATTTTCATCAATTTTACTTAGCCGTTTCTGATCGAAATCTGATCGAAATTTTATGGATGTAACTCAAAATCATTTACAACAACTTCGCGCCGGTTTATTTCTAAATTAAATTACTAAGATTGTAAAAATATGTATTTACTTATAAATCGGTGCTCTAATAATTATCTACATTCATATTTATGTTTCAAGGATAATATTTCAGTTACATCTATATACACATAAATGATAAATTTATATAGGTGGGTGTAGGGTTAGTTAAGATTATATTTATCATAAATAAAACGGGTCATATAAAGAAAAAATTGTCAATTTTTAAATTTGAATTTTACGATTAAAGTTTTTAAATTTTAAGTGAACAAATATAATAATAATATAAGTAGGTACTATCTATCAGTTTAACTTTCTAGTTTGCATTTAAATGATAATTATAAATAAATTTATAATTTAAGACTTTTTTATTATTATTTATTTGCATTTTAATATTTTTGTACATTGCAATTTGCATATCTAATAGTTCGGTATTTCTTATATAGATACATATCTAGTACTACTATGCGATTTAAATAGTTGTTAAACTTGTATTCCCGAAATATTTCATGTAGTGTTAATAACATGCTGCCCATAAATGGTCGCTGTAGACCCGTTTTAAAATTAATAATTTACCTATACCTACTCTTTAATTATTACTTTTAATGTATTTATGTTTTCCACCAAAAATCTTATTCCAATTGAAAAATAACTTGAGATTAATTTTGTTCTTATTAACATTTATAATATAACCAGTTCATTAAAGTCATTCGAATAATATATTATTTTATAATTATTGTATGCTATGCTAAGAATCTGCAGACGTCACCCGACGCGATTCAAATTTCAGCCGCGTCGCACTAGTTCATTTGTTGGTAGATGGAACCGATTCCTATGACAGTCGCTGCGGCGCGCCACCGTCGCGCGAGGCCGCGACCATGGATCAGCTACTGCTTCGAAAGGTGTCAAATCGCGGACGCGCGGCGGTGTACACATATATATTTTCTAGTGCACATATATTGGCATATTGCATTTACATTTTAAAATTAGATTTTAGTAGACTTACCCTAATGTAACTACTAATTTTTTCGGCTGCTGATATCGGCTTTGGAAATTTTATACTTGGACTAGTTGTAATATCGTTCTCTATTTTATTTAAGACGTACGTGAATTCATCCTAACTTAATCTCAAAAACTCCCTAAATTTACTCTCATCTCTCCACAAATGTTTTTCGATGAGAATACTGAAAACACCTTCTGTTTTCCTAGTTAAAAGTATCTCATGTGCCTTGTTGGGTTTGTTAAACACTACCCTATTAATAATTATTTGTTCTTATCCATTTCTTGTAAAAGAAGTAAATTTAAAATTAACTTTTGTTTTTTGTTTAAAGACATTTTGAAAAAGAAACAGATAATTATTGTAAAAAAATACGTCTTGTTACTTACAGAGAATTGCTACAAATGGTTCGGCGCGGCGTGACAGCAGTCGCGTAGGAATCCATACCCAAGCCGCGCGGCCAAAAAATCGACAGCGCGGCTGAAATTCGAATCACGCCGGGCCGCGGCGCGTCTGTAGACGCATCCATAGAAATCACACCTTAAACATTTTTAGTTGGTACTATAGGTACATATTATTAGTTGTACGATACCTACATTAATACAAAATTTCAAAATATACTCTTCGACATATCTACCTACCTATATATTTGCCTTTCAACCACTACACAGCTACGATTCAAATATGTGTGACCCAAATCATTTTTTATTTGTCTTTTCTACCCTGAGTGATCAACAAAGGTTCTTTTTCCCGCACTTATTGTGGCATAAGTACTTCTATCAGCATTCTTTACACCAAAATTCTTTAACGCATATAGAATGCTCTATTGTCTACAACAATAATAATTGATGGCGGATCTAGTCGATGGCATTATTTTTAATGGTTTTGTAATTTACATCAATTTTACTTAGCCGTTTATCTGGTCTTTTAATAATTTATATTACCTACCTAATACCTACTGTATGAATCAATGATTTTTTGTACACATTTTTTTGGAAAATATTAAAATTCATCACTCATATTACATATAAAATTAAAAAATAGTTGTTTTCACTATAATACCACAATACCACAAGGGATGATTGCATTATGAAAATGATATAAAATGTGTAGGTACCTATTGTTAAAAATTTGATATTAATTATAAACCAATAAAACAAATATGTCGTATTAAAAACTGTTCTTTTCAGGAACAACCCTATTAAAACAGCCCTTTTTAGGGCTACCTAATGTATAAATTCCTTACAAAATACTAAAAAAAAATCCACGATGTCCGTGAAAATCGAAAATCTGATCGAAATTTTACGGATGTAACTCAACATCATTAACAACTTCGCGCCGGGTAATAATTATCTACAATCATATATATGTTTCAAGGATAATATTTCAGTTACACCTATGGCCTCTGACTAAGAACGTCGTTGTTTTTGATACCCAAAGTAGTTAAATATTAGTCCGAAAAACCTAAAAAAAAAAAAAAATGAATATGACATTTTTTTTTCAAATTTTATAATTTAAAATTTGTATAGCTTACGTTTCCTATTATAATTATGGCTCCAATAGAAAAATTGTGAAATTTTTTTTTCTTGTTTTTTTAATGTAGTTGGCGAATAAGAATGTCCGTCTTTGATTTTCTCTGTAGGTTTATTAATAACTAGCTGTCCCGTGCCGGCGTTGCCCGTGCTAATTTTTATTATTTTACCTTTATTTCCATATTACTTCGTTCGTATGCCATATCAGTATATTGAATCAAAAAAAAAAAAAAAATTAGGAGGAAAGTGAGTAGTCTGCGGACTAAAAGTATTCTAGTATCTAGTGTATCATACATTTTTTAATTCGTTTTACTATAGATACCTGCACAACACAGAGATTAAACTATATATAACCCTAAAATTATGAGGACATAATAGTACTTGTAGTGTTGTTACTGTACCAAAAATTATAAAGATTCAGAAATGACGTTTTACGTGTTTTCACTTTTCACATATCCACCTGTTCAGCGAATAGATTTTTTTTTCCATTCATATTACTAAGGTAACCCATCCTATTTCAAGCCAATAATAGAACAGTAAAGTTTTAGATAGACTCTTTATTTTAAGTTGTTATAGTTGTTATGCCATTTTTATTTTTATATATTTTTTCTTTTTTTGTTTTAAATTTGTTTTCATTTCATCCGTGTTTTTATGGTAATCTATAAATCAACAAAAATAATTTAATTTTCGTACCAAAAGTACCTAAAACTTTTTATGCCATATTTCACCTCCTTCAAGTTTTATATTCACGGAAAAAGTAGCTAATGTTTTTCTCCTAGGTTACATCTATATCTATACTAAAATTCATAAAAATCCATTCAGTAGTTTTTGTATGAAAGAATATCAAATTTTCTATACATCATCACAAACTTTTACGTCCATAATATTATAGTAGGATTAGGAAAATTCGGAAAATACGTAGAAATATAAGAAAATTTAAGAAAATATTTTTTTTTTTAAATTTAATTCAATTAAACATATTCATAGAGACTTGACATTTGGATAGAAATCTTATATTTGTCTTTTATAGGCGTGGTCAAATTTTCAAAACACATGAACCATTTATGAGCTATTTATAGTTATTTTAATTTTGCAAGTTTTGTACATCTTTTTTAATTGGTAGGTACTTTGTCGATTAAATTGTTAGATTAAACAGAAATGCTTGAACATATACAGGACTTAAATAGGTATAAAACAAAAAATATATTTAGTGTAATTTAGTATTTTTTTATATATATATATATATAAGTTTTAAAATCAAATTTTGATCATAAGTTGTAAAATTGTAATTATTATAGCTTTTCAAACCATGTATAACCGAACTTTGCTTTGAATCGTTTTTCTCGTTAGCAATGGTTTATCCTTGGTTACATGCTTAAATTAAATAACTTAATGTATTCCGCCTTCCCAACTACTTATCCATAACAGTCAGTGGCCGCACCCGTTCCCAGTATCAGTTATTTTTTTTATCACATGATAATTTAAAGTTTTGGTCTCAACGTTTAGCTGTATACAGAGTGTTTTACAATGATATTCGTATCCTAATAATTCTGTCAATATTTATTATTTTTTTTCAAACGGATTTTGTGCGAGGAGGGACACGTATCACTTATTAACATTTTTAAAATAGTCATTTTGTAAAAGATATTATTCTAAACATATTAATGTAACATACATTTATATCCGATCAATAGTTTACTAGTAATAACCGTTTTAATTTCTAGAAAATTGACGTGAAAACAATAAATGTTTAATAGAATAACACGTTACGCGATTAGGAATCACAATCAGCACGGTAATTTCTAATCTTTTTTTAAAATATTATTCGTTTTCACGTTTATTTTCTATACATTAAATCCACTATAAGTAAGAAACTTGTAAAAAATTATAAGAATATCATATTTTTGTCTTATGTTTTTTTATTTATAACTAAGTGAGTTAAAAATCTGTTCCATACCCTGGTGAATTCATATTTGTGTTTTTTTTTTTCATTTTTGGTAATTTTTCTGTACATACAAACGTATATTTAGTTAGTAAATTTGTTTTGCTTATTTAATCAATTTTTAATGATTTTTATCCTACAAATTAACATTTGAATAAAAAACCTGTTTCAATAATATAGCGTGTTCAAACTTAAAATATAAAAGTATATACTTTATTTATACTATATTACTTTATTATCTACCAGAATATTAATTTTTTTTTTGTACATATTTTTTCAATTTTTCCTCCTATAACTTCTCATCCCTAATTATTAGCATAAGGAGAACACTGCAGGGCATCCTTTATACTTTATGGGTTTTAGATTCAGTAATGACTTAAACATTGTTACTGTAATTGAGGTAAAAAAAGTTTGGAACTATCAAATAATTATTATCTAAAAATTAATAATTTATCAACAAAAAAATGTAAATGTAAATGTAATGCTTATAAAATAACACCCATACAGCTATTATTTATCACAAATATAATTAAATTTTATATTTAAACTTATATTTTTTTTTCTATTTATATACAGAAAACTTGGACTTGATTTAGTACCAAGATGTGGTGCCGAAATGGTTGATCCAGCAACAATAAGTGCTTTAGAATTATATAAAGTCGTATGTTATATTGTATACTTATTTTTTTAAATCTTTTGTATTTATAATTGTATAAAAAATTTTTTTTTACAAATTTCAGCATGTTCAAAGTTCTGAAAACATCCAAGGTGTATCGGTTAGTATATTTATCTTAGTCTAATATTAAAATGCTTACATATTTATTTACAATTGAAGGCTCGAGGTACTATAAGAAGACCCAGGGATACATCTAAAATTCAAACACGTCATATGTTTATGTGTATGCGAGACTTTGGTTACCATATTGGGGAAGAAACCGAGGTATACTTTTCACTATATGATGCTAAAAATTTTAAATTTATTAGGTAAGATTTATTTTCTTACTAAACTTAATAATAAAAATATAGACCAATTTTAATATATATTTTTATTATTTTCAGTGAACGATTTTTAGTAAAAATATCCAAAGAAGGCTTTTCAAATTACATAGAAAAATTACATAATAATTGCACAATTTTTACTGTAAGTAAGAATTTTAAACTGTTTAATTTAATAAATTGTAACATTGCAATTATTTTCAGGAACTTGGTTTGCAAGATTTATCTCGTGACTTGTATATTGTTGCTCATGTAATGCGAATTGGTAAAATGGTATATTCTGAATCATCAAAAAAAGTATCAATGTCATCTTTAGCACCAACACCGGTATCTTACTTCAAACGTCCTCTCGGTGTTGCTGTTTTAAATATAAGTGAAATTTTGACTTCCAATAGTAGTGATGAAAAAGAATTTACATTTCGAGTATTCCAAATAGACGAAAAAGATTTTTGTCAATTACATGACACATTAATACGTAAACAAAACAGTAAATACAGTCCATTATCTAGCCATCCGAATTATGGTATCGTTATATCTCTGCGGATACTTGATGGCGATCTTCGACAAATACGTGAAGAAAACCCTTTGGCTTTTAAAAACGTTTCAACTACCAAAAAAATGGGATTCCCAGATGTTATAATGCCTGGTCATGTAAGAAACGACTTGTATTTGACACTGGAACGAGGAGAATTTGAAAAAGGGGGTAAATCGACTGGAAAAAATATAGAAGTTTCTGTCATGGTTTTGGATTATGAAGGTAATATTGTTCCTAATTGTATATGGGGTGCATCTGGTACAGATCCATCCACTGAGTATCATTCTATGATTGTTTATCATCACAATGCTCCATGTTGGATGGAAACTATCCGGCTGGCTGTTCCCATTGAAAAGTACAATATTGCACACATACGTTTTGAATATAGACACTGTTCAAGTAAGTTACAAAATAAAAATGTGTACATATAAATTTTTGTAATTAATTTTTTTTTACGTATTCATTTTAGCTCGAGATAAAGCAGATAATAAAAAATTATTTGGTATATCGTTTGCACGGCTAATGGAACCTGAAGAAGCCACTTTATTAGATGGAATACATGAATTGTTTATATATCGCTGTGATGAACGTACAAAGCCACATCCAGTAGATTATTTAGGCCTAGCTGCTAGTTTACACGAATCATCTACTTGGTCTACTTCACCAGGACCTGGTTCTGTATTCACATGTAGCCATAAAGAAATAATGACAATTCGTACTATGTTGTGTTCTACTAAATTAACACAAAATGGTAAGAATTGAATTTATAATTGTAATAGTTTTTAATGTTTTTTTTTTTTTATCGTTCAAATATTTTTCAATTTCTATAGTCAAATGTTTCCAAAACATCATCATCTATTTAAATTATTATATAAATTAATAATGACAAATTTGAAAATTAGAACATTCCGTGCAAGCTTTTCCTAACTTATTTTATATTATATATTATGTAACAATAATTATATTTTATAGTTGATTTGTTATCATTATTACAATGGAAAGAGGCTAAAGAACCTCATCAAATTCAAGATGCTCTTACGAAAGCTTTGCGTTTAGATGGAGAAGAACTAGTGAAATTCTTACAAGACATATTAGATGCACTTTTCTCAATGTTTTCTACAGATGATGGCAATTCAACCAGTCACTCTGGGCTTGTATTTCATGTTTTAGTCAGCATTTTTAGTTTACTCTATGATAGTAAATTTGAACATTTTAAACCAGTTATGAATGCTTATATCAAAGAACATTTTGCAGCAGCTTTAGTTTACAAGTAATCATGTTGTCATTAAAAATATATTTTTTTTTGTACACAAATTATAATAAAATACATGTAAACATTTTATAAATAATATTTAATTTATATTCTATTTAGAGGATTATTGAGCAGTGTTCAACATTGTGCAGAATTAGTTATGTCTACAGACCGACAAGAGCCAATACAAAAATGTTTCCGTTCATTAGAATATATTTTTAAATTTGTTATTCAGTCTCGTTTATTATTTTCTCGAGCAACTGGAGGCCAATTTGAAGATAGTTTCCGTTATGATGTGCATCGTGTATTTGCTTCATTAGATAAAATGTTGTGCTCATCTTTTGAAATGATTTTACCTACTCAGGTATGAAATAATTTACTTATGATTATACTTTTATATTCTTTGTAAATTATAATGCCATCCCTTAGATTGCACTATTGCAAAGTGCGAGTGCTGTATTTGACCAATTAGTCCAAGTTTTACCTGTAATTGAAGTGGCAAAACTTGGTGTGTCAATGTTAGATTGTTTGCCATCACGTGATTTACCTACTCCATTAACACAAGCAAAATTAAGTGCTATTAAAGATTTAGTTGCTGGCAAGGTGTTCAAAGACGATGGTAATATCTGAAATAATATGTTTAATTAGATTAAAATGATAATATAACTATATTAATGAGACCTATTACTTAAAGTAATTAGGTAATAATAATAAAAAAAACTTGAGCCAAACTAATTTTTAATCTTAACATTTAAAGAAAATTGTATTAGGGTTTTTTTTTTTTTTTGTGTTAAATTACAGAAGCAAGAAATTTGTTGTTGATAACAATATGTAAACATTTGAGATATCACATTAGTGCTAGAGAAGAAATTCAACTTTGTACAGACATTCTTGGAGAAATTTTAACATTTCTATTCCACCTAAATCGATTACACGACAACAATAAAGTTAACATTTGTTTTCGTCGTGATTTAGAAATTTTAAGTCTTAGTACATTAGATATGTTGATTGAGACATGTCTTATTGTTATAGATAGAATGGTTTCTGTTTTAGTAAGTTAATTTTTACTTCTTCTATTCTGAATGATTATCAATATAATTTATTTCTACTTTTCAGGCAAACATGGTTGCATGCTTAGTATCTTTATTACAACTGCTGGATGATTATCATTATAAACGACTGTGGGAAGAATTAGGGGATCGTAAACCATTAAAAGATTTTCTACTGAGAGCATTTTTATTGTTTAGGCATTTAATTAAGCATGATGTGTTTCCAACAGACTGGATGGTTATAAAAATGACTACTAACAATGTAATTTTAGCAGCGTTACAACAATTAGCTAAGCCACTAGTATTTTGTTTCTTAGAAACATGGCCACATTTCGATTATCAAGTGTGGTCAACTTATTTTAAATTAGCTGTAGCATTTCTCACTCAACCAGCACTTCAATTGGAAACATTTACAAGTGTTAAACGCACAAAGATTATTGAGAAATATGGCGATATGAGAGTACTAATGGGATATCAAATATTATCAGTGTGGTCTAAACTTGGTAAAATCATATTTGCATTTAAGAAAAATACCAATTAACTTAAACACAATATTTTTAGGTGATCATAAGATCAATTTTATACCTTCAATGGTAGGACCATTTCTAAAAGTGACATTGGTGCCAGAAGCCGAATTGCGAAAAGCAACACTTCATATTTTTTTTGATATGATGGAATGTGAACAACGAGCCCGAGGTAATTTTAAAGAGGTTGAATCAGAACTTATTGACAAATTGGATTATCTGATAAGTGAAAACAAAGGAGATGATGAATACAGACAACTGTTTAATACTATGTAAGTTTCGCAAAATACAATTTATTTAGTTAGTAAATAATTATAATTATTATTTTGTGTATGCTGCATTTAGGGAAAATTTAAGTATAGTGTAAGTTAAATAAAATATCATAATAATTGTTAGTTAGTTAAATAATTATATTTATTATTAGTCTTTTAGAAAGAGTACATCAAGAAGAACAGGATGGTAGTTGGCAAGAAACAGGTTCAGTGTTCATTCACTCTGTTACTCGATTATTGGAACGGTTATTAGATTATAGGAGTGTTATGCGCGGTGATGATAATCGTGACAAACGTATGTCATGCACAGTGAACTTGTTGAATTTCTACAAAAATGAATTTGATAGAAAAGAAATGTACTTAAGGTACATTTATAAACTTCATGATTTGCATGTGTCTGCTGATAATTTCACCGAGGCTGGATTTACTCTAAAGCTTTATGCTGATCAACTGACCTGGACAGATGAATCAGTATTACAAGGTGATCCAGCCACTTCCATTTTTCAATGGCAAAGAAAAGAACAGTTATATCATGAAATTATACAATATTTTGATAAAGGAAAAGTAGGTTTCATAAAAGATTAAAAGATTAAACAATTTTTGTTGTTAATTATTTTATTTGTACAGTGCTGGGAAAAAGGATTACCTTTACTTAAAGAATTGTCAGATTTTTATGAAAAACAATTATTTGATTACACTAGATTAAGTGCAGTATTGAAAACTCAAGCCAAATTTTGTGATCATATTCTTACTCAATTACGTCCAGAACCAGAATATTTTAGAGTTGGATTTTATGGCCAAGGATTTCCTCTATTTGTTCGAGTACACAATATTTATTATTTGAGTTTAAATTTATGAAATATTGTCAATTTAACCTAAACATTTTTTTACAGAATAAAATCTTTGTATATCGAGGTTTAGAATATGAACGCATGGAAGCTTTTACTCAACGATTACAAACAGAGTTTCCAACTGCACAATTACTAACAAAAAATAGTCCACCATCGCAAACAATTTTACAATCTGATGCCCAGTGTTAGTGATTTTTCTATGTTATATAATAAAGGTTTAAATTTTAAAATGCATTTTTTGTTTAGATATCCAAATTTGCAATGTAAAACCATTTCCAGACATTGGTCCACCTTCTTCTGATAAACCTTTAGCTATGGTGCCTGAAAAAGTTGGACGTTTTTACGAAGTAAATGATGTGTGTACTTTTCAATTAGACCGACCCATGCACAAAGGTCTGGTTGACCGGGATAATGAATTTAAAAGTCTTTGGTTGGAACGTACTACTTTAATTACTAGTGAACGGCTACCTGGTATACTTAGATGGTTCGAGGTTATTAATACAACTACTGAAGAAGTGCCACCTGTTAAATTTGCATGTGAAACCATAGATTCTGTTAACAAAAATTTAAAACTTTTAATAAATCAGTACACAAACGAACCCAAAAGAAATATTAATCCATTAAGTATGAGACTTCAAGGAACAATTGATGCCAACGTAATGGGTGGTATATCTAAATATCAGTCTGCATTCTTTTCTCAAGATTTCATACAAAATAATCCGCAATATTATTCACATGTTTTGCATTTAAACTCGTCCATAAATCACCAAGTATGATATTTATTTAATTTAATAATATCTTGTATGTTGTATATATTACACATATTACACATTTCATTTTTTTCTAGATTGAAATAGTAGAAAATGGATTATTGATTCATGGTCAGTTGGCTCCAACAGAAGTACAACCTCTTCATCATCGTTTAGTAGAACGTGTGGTACAATTAAAACAAAACTTAAGAGCTCCACCACCACCAGAAAGTATAGTGAAGTATGACTATTGAGTATACTAAAATATAATGTAAATATACATAATCAACAATCTGATTTTAGTTCTCCATTACCACCAATACCGACTGTTCCAATTGATAGTAATTTTCATTTCCGTTCTTCTGAAGAGTACACAAATACAGTGATTTACTTTGATGAACGTCGTGGGGAATATGAAGATATATATAGTAAGACTTTTGATTTGCCAAATTCATGTGCTCCAGCAGTGCCACATCGTGAAAATCGACTTAAGTCAGAAGGATCCTTACCAAACAATAAGATTAAGTAAATAAATAATATTTATATGAGTATTAAATGATATTTTATGGTATTATTTGTTACTTAAAATGGTGTTAATATTTGTGATTATTTAGATCTGATATGAAATCAAATGCCTGGAAACCAGGAAGTCCTAATTTGCCAAGACATTCAGTAGATAGTTGTGTAAGAAATTCGTGGCCTCTTGAAGATAGTTCTCCACCACCATTGCCTCCAAGAGGTATATTTTTATTAAATTCATAAAATGTTTTTATTCATGCATTATTCTTTATTAGCTCCAGAAAGAAGAATCAGTGATGCACCCCCATTACCACGGAGATTACCAATGAGACGCGTGAGTAGTTTTTCTATTTGTGTTGATTTTTGTTTAAAATTATAATTTATTGTAATTTTTCTTTTTAGGATTCTGAAATGACTGATATAGATACACTAGTGTTGCGTGATTCTGGCTATTCAGAATCCTTACATTCAGCATCATATGAGGAATTTGTGTTACCTTCAATAGATAAGAATAAAACACCACCTCCTTTGCCACCTAAGAACACACAATCTCATACAAATTCTGAGCCAAATGGTATAAATTAAATAAACAAACTTCTTTAAGTTTATATGAATGTCATGTTTTTTTGTTTTTTTTTTTTTAAGACCTAACAATCTTAGAAAACTATTCTGTGCCAGGAGGAACAATGCGACGTTTGGATTCCAGCCCCTAGTCATTTACAAGACTCTTATTTTAGAACTGGTGCCATTTTATGCATAAATTTAACTATTAGATAAGAATTATAATATTCTTAAATTATTTTTATATTTTAGTTAATGAGTGTGTTTGTGTTTTTTTTAATTTTATCATATATTTTAAGATAGTATGATATTTCTTATAATGTAAGTTAAATGTTAAATAATTAGAATGTAATTTTATTAGAGTTATTGTGTGAACAATCCTCACTACTTATTCCTATCTTATTTCAATACTATTAATAATTTAACTTATTCTGTTTAGTTTAATGGTAAGTAAAATTATTTTCCATATATTTTTTTTTTTTAATTATTGAAGTATAATTTTTTTAAATTTATTATTTCTAAATTTTTATATGCAATTTTTAGCCCTCAAACATATTTTGATAGTATAATTTTAGGCATATTTTTAGTAAAAGGACATTTTTACATAAATTAACTAATAAATAAACATAATAATTTATTTTACTACTTTTTAGTAGATATTATGCTTCTTGCCTTTGGTTCAACTAAATGTTTAAATAACAATGTAGTTAACTCCTATTTGTATGACTGAAGTTACCGAATCTGTATACTTATGCAGGACTGGCTTTTTAATTCATACATTAATATTTTAGTTTTCCTGCTCAATATTTTATTTGTGTTTGTGTGTCAATTTTATATTATTATTATTTATATTTATTTTATTATTATTACGATTATATATTATACATTCCAGTCTTCCACGACTATAATAACTAATATTATGCTTCATTTATTTTAATTTATATCCTTGTAATCCCATTTTATTATTTACCATGAAAAAAATTATTATAATTGTAACAATGAATAAATACCCATTTAATTGAAATAATATTGGTACTTAATTTATGATCAATGTGTTATACTTATTGAATGATTTTAAATCAGAGGTTCTCAATCTATTTGAGGCAACGACCTCCTATAATGTGGATTTTGAGTGACCCTTTTATTATGGTAGCATAAAAAATTAGTGACAAATTAATATGATTATTATTGCAGACATTAAAATTGCAATAATAAGTACTTGATAATTCATTATACCAACTAATATTTAAAATATTAGTAATAAATATATAAATATAAAAGTTTACTTAGAATAAATTTAAAAAAAAAATAAACATATATCCATGAATATTTTTAAAATTTAGTAACTAATATGCTGTTGTTAGTTAGAAATTATTTTGTCAATCCTTGGTTCAATGGATTTGGTTAAACTCATTCTCATGGTTGGTGATATTTTCAGTTGATTTCTTAATTTATTTTTTATTGTAGTCATTGTAGAAAAAACAGTTTTGCATTAGTATGTAATTGAAAAAGAAATCAACTCTTTTAAAGCCTCATCAGTTAATGCAGGATACTCATTTTGAATTTTATTCCAAAATTTACATATATTTTTGATACTATTAAAAATCTTTTCCAATGGTTTATCTGAATATAATTAAATTTATTTTTCTTCGTTTATATTAATAATAAATGTTTGTGATTTTATAAACGGACTAGATACTACACTTCGCTCAAAGCCTAGTCAGGGACTCCAACCCCAGACCGTCGGCTGATCGGTGAGGTTTCGGGAGATTCGCCGTCTCGCCTCTCCTCCTTCGCGGTACCAAGGGAGCGGATACGGTCGACGGGTGGACAGTCCGCCGTATACAGGGTACAGTGTAACGTATTTGATTTAAGGGAAATTAAGATATGAGTAATAGGTAAGAAGTACGCCAGTACTTTTAGAAGCACATACAGAGGTAGCCAAAAGTCGCGCAACAAATTTGCAACACAATTTGTAATAGTAAAAAAAATCGTTATTTCTTCAAATAAAAAAAAATTATATAAAAATGAACATTACAAAGTAACATCATATCACGGCAATTATAACAAATGTTCAAAATGATGTCATCCAGCTTCAATAACTGCTCCACAACGTTTGTTTACCGTTTTTTTAGACTTTTCATCATGCGTCTCAAGGACGTGCGAGGAATATTTAGCTGGAGTGAAAATCGTTTGGTCGATTGATTCGAGTTTTCGACGAACGTTTGAGACACTAATTGCAAATTTTCTTCAGTCATTGACGTCTTCGGTCGACCAGAACGCGGTTTATCGGCGACCGTTCCAAATTCTTCGAAACGTTTTACCAATCTCCAAATGGTGGTACGATTTGGAGCAGAAGAACCGGGCGATTCAACGGCGAACTCTTCGATAACATCTTTAAAAGAACCTTCGTTTCTGTACCACAATTTTATTAATAAAATGCGTTCAATAAGCGACAATTTTGGAGAGGGCATTTCGCCAGTGTTACGAACGATAACTAACATGAAACTACGTCTAATGGGTTATGTTGTTTTTTTGTAAACTTTGCTGTTGTTGTACGTAAACAAGATAATGAGACCAGAATTGCAATATGACGTAATGGAAACGACGTGGAGGGAGAAACTGCGCCGTAACGCGCGTTCCATACAAGACGGTAGGCGTTGCGCGACTTTTGGCCACCTCTGTACAGTCGGCCAGGATACAGGAGTCGAAAGTAAAGCTTCGAATGTTGGCATCACTGCTGAAACCGCAGGAACGATATCTATTATGGCGGATAGGATACTGAGGGATGAGGAAACGAAGAAGTTGGTTGAGATACAAGAACAGAAAAAAACGTCTAGAAATTAGTTTTTACAGGGCGCATACATTCGGTTGGTGAGTGCAGTATAACGGATAGGATACAGAGGAAATTAAGATACAGGAGTGACAATACAAAGGGTTTCGGAGAATATCTAGCTGCTGGTCAAAGTATTTTGTAGGCCACAGTTTTTTGGGAGCGAATACAGGTGATATTTTTTATTTTTTTCGGATACAGCTGAGATAGGTACGCTCAAAAATAGGATAGGTACGTTAGGCAACGGACGTGTGACGTCACGAACAATAACGGACATAACTTCGATATTACTTCGAAGTCCCTGGCCCGGGAAAACGGGACAGCTTGTCAAAGTAAAACGGAAATAGTCTAGCTGTAGGTCAAAATAAAACCTTGCGGTTACCGTACAAAAAATACTGGAGACCGGAAGAAAGTCTTTATAAAATGAAATGTTTTTGATCTATGATACATAATATAAGTATAATACGGTAGAAGTCTAGCTGCTGGTCAAAGTATTTTTTTAGTCACAGTTTTTCGGGAGCGGATACAGTCGGGATAGGTACGCTCAGCGACGGAGAACGTCAACCAATAACGGTTGTTAGAGACCGGCCGATCGGATTGTAAAAGTAAAACTGAAAAAGTCTACCTGTTGTCGAATTATTTATTAAGATATAAGATATAAAGATATCTCGGAAGCGTATACAGGCGGAGAGTGCAGTATAACGTGTTTGATACGGGGAAAATTAAGATATAGGAGTGACGACACAAAGGGATTTGAGGAATGTCTAGATGCCAGTATTTTCGGAATCGCATAGTTAGCCAGGATATAGGAATCTGGAGTATATGATACATTATGATGCTGAATACAGGGGAAATCAAGATGGTATGTCTAGACGTCAGTATTGTCGGAAGTATATACAGGCGATATACCTGGTATACTGTAGCGGATACAGTCGGCACTATAGTTGATCCAAAATTTACATATATTTTTGGTACTATTAAATATCTTTTCCAACGTTTTATCTGAATATAACATAATTAATTTTTCTTCATCTGACGAAAATAGTAGAGTTGACTATTCTTATGAAAATCCTGAAGAAGGTTTTCAAATTTATATTTGGAGAACATATTGTAATATTGTATCATCAATAATATTTTTATTATAATTAATATATATATAATAATAATAATAATATATATATATATATAATAATAATATATATATATATATAATAATAATATATATATATATAATAATAATATATATATATATATATATAATAGTTATTTATAATATAATATTTTCTCGAAATCGATCCATATATGCATCCGTGTTATCGATAGATATCGGATCCTAAAAAATGAAAACATTTTCATAATAAAAGTACTATCAATTAATTTAAAATTTAGACAACTCTGCTTTAAATGATGTTGGAAAATTTTAGAAAAAAATGTGGTCATTTACTGTTAGCAAAACAGCAGTGCTCAATGACCATTATATGTGTGTATTCCATCCTTGTCCAGGGGAGTGCTAACCGTCTCTCCTTTCATACAACACGAATATTTTGTGTGTACTCGATTGAATATATACTAAGCAGTGCCAACAAAGTGAACACAAGCGAGAATTTACATCTCAAAATCTAAAATGCTCTATCTACCTCACAGATAGATTAGAAATGATGTTTTCTGTTCAAATCTAGATAGCGCTGTATATCCAAGAAAATCAAATAGTCAATTTTATTAGGTATCCGCGAAAATAAAAGAATTCAACTTATTTATAATTTATTATGATAATTATTTATAATGATTCAGCTTTCGGATTAATAGGTACTAAAGAGTACCTATAATATAGAGGGAAACAAATTCCCCCTAAATTTAAAAAAAATTGGAAAAGACTATAGAAAATTAGAATTTAAAATCTAGTAATTTATATTTTATAAAAAAAAAATATAACAATAATAATCCTTGCTTCTATATTTATGTTTATCGGTGCCTTTGATAAAGGACTAGAGGTTTAACTTTTAGAACTTTGAAATTTTGAAATCTAGTGAAATCAAAAAAAAGAAAAAAATGTTATTCAAAATAATGATCAATAGCAATTGCAATTTATTTTTTATAATTTTGTTTGTAATTAATCTATTATTTAAGAACAATTTGTATTTTACATTGGAAGTCATTAACCCTCCATATGGGGGTTAGTCATATGGGGTACATACGTAGGTATCCCAATTTTTTAAAATTAAGTTTTAATATATAAATATTTACTACATTATGTTAGCCGAAATTTCGTATGAATACATTTCGTTGAAAGATATGCCCAATGATATTTATTTTTGTTTTTGAGTTAAGTATTTTTATATTTTTTTATAAACTCGTGCTTAAACCAAATGATACCTATGTATAATATATACTTAGTGCCTAGGAGTAGATATTATATACCCTGCGTAACTAACCGTGTAACTTTTGTGGCACAAATGCATAAACACAATAGCAGTTATTTTATATTTAAGATAAAAAATTCGATTTGTTTTTATTTTATTAATTATTGTATACAAAAGAATGCCTAATAAAGTAATTTTTATTAGGCCATTTTTTTAAATAAGAAAAAAATATATATTTTTTATAACAAAAAATTACATCTCAAGTTATTTTTTTTTAAATGTTTTTCAACTTTTAACTTTTGTAATAAATATAAATTAAAATTTCTCGTTTTTTTTAAAATGTTAACTTTATTTTTCAATAATCTAGAATATGATGATTAATTCTGTTAACAAGTAGTTCATAATATAATTAATTAACTTCAGTGTTCTAAAGTATACAATAATAATAAAACACATTTTCGTAAAAAATTAAAACTGTTTATAATTATAAATAGTTAGGTAATAGTAATGGTTTACAATCATAGGCGTGCGCAGACTTAAAGTTTAGGTCGTGCCCTAGAAAAATTAATTTTTGAGAAGGATCCCCCCCAAACAACTTTTATTATCTTTCAATACTAGATAATACAAAATAATTAATTCTATACACTGTCTCTAAATTAGTTTTTATAATTATATTAATTACCTATATTAAATATCATGCATTCCAAAAAAGTGAGAGTTTCTTTATAATCTTCAATCGATAATCAAAGTCTATAAATAAACAACTTAGATAATTAAAATCATGCCAGTATATTTAGTTACACAATCGTAAAAGATAAAAACGAAATTTTAAATTAAGGGGAAAAAATGACAAATTTACAAAATATAAAACTTGTACCTACTGTTGTCATATGTTAACATAAAAGCAAAAGAAAAAATAAATATACACAATTTTCGGGTAGTGTCCTTTGCGCCCACGCTTATGCGTACAATATTGTACCTCACGCGACCACTGAAGTTACAAAATATCGCACAATTAACAAAGGGTTAACACATTATCATAACGTATTTTATTGTTGACTTAGGTATTTTAATCTGGAAAAACTAATGCTGAACATAATCGTCGGATGTCGGTATTGATTTTATTTCTCCGACAGATTATAAAACAAGAAAATGGAAATTGACGTATATAAAAAAGTGATTCTAGAAACCTTGTTAATCGTTGATACTTAATTTTGCAATAGATAGGACCACTTGTTATCTAGTTTTAACATTACTATTGTGTAGATTGGATAGTTTGTTATTACTACAGTTGTGCACCAATGTAGATAACTGTAGTTAGTATCTATATTAGAATATTTAGAAAAAATATGTACATTGTATGTTAATATGTAAAAAATCTGAAGACAAAATTTCAAATTCTTATTTTGGATTCAATAAATTCGAAATTACCCTCAAAACACTTGAAAAAATGGAGAAAAAGAATTTACCTAGTCAAAAGATATAAGATAAAATTCCCAATTCTTATTCAAAAGTACTTAGGTATCGACATGAAATTAAGTTGTAAGAGTATGAATATCGTACATTAAGTTTTTTTGAACAATGCAAAGTAAATTAAAGCTTTTATTCATTAATATTTTCTTAATGTGAATATTAATTTTTTAATTTATTAGCTATTTTTTTAAAAAGTAAAACTCACACGGCTGTAATCTATTATTTTTTGATAATATTTTAGAAAAATAACAACATATCCTATTATCAAGCACCTCCTATTTAGATTTTGTTTTTTTGTGTTTGAACTCTATAACACAACTTAAATTCCACAATTAATGTTCATAGTAATATCAATTTTCTACTTCATCTGTTTGTTATACTGATAGTAACGAGACAGTAAAATCAGGTATAGCTTTATGAGTCTTCTGAAAAGGTAAAACAAACCAGATAAAATTGGTATGTCAAATGATTGTGGCCCACCAGTTGCCCATTGCAATCCTCAGTAGGTATACAATATTATACATAAGTATACATTATATATTGTTTCAATAAAATACAAATTTTTCATGTTCAATTATTTTTATTTAGTCAAGACATAAAGATAGCGAATAACAATGCCATAAACTTTTTTTTTTTAACATTATCCCCTGTACCCTAAAATATTTCTTTTTTATAATAAATTCATAAATTGACTAACTTTGGCATTGTACAATTCGGGGTAAATAAATATGCCAAAAAAAGTATATAGGTAAACATTCACGTAAATTGGTCTAGAACAAAATAATAATAATAATAATAATAATAATAATAATAATAATACATAATAGCAATAATAATAATCAAAATATTTTTTACATATTTCTATACACCTCTAGTGAAAATAAAATTAATTAATTACAAATTGATAGATTTGTCTACATAATATATAATTTTACATTATTACACTTATACAAAGAATAAAATTTTCAATATAATATACTCAAAAAATAGAATGTACACAATCAATGAACACTTTATTTAATAATATAATCTATAATTCCAACAATGGGGTGTGTACAATTTTTCGCAGTGATTAGCATCAGTCTGTTTTGGCCATTTTAGCTCGCAGTTTAGCATGGACCTGTAGGAATTCTGGTTTATCCTCGTCTTTTTCTTTTGTGTCAGGTTTTTCCATTTGCTAAAACAAAACAAATTTATAAAATAAATAAATAACATTGAAAACAAACTCATATTATTGCCACATACACTTTATTTTCATGGCCCCGATTTTTTGCACTAAAATATTTGATACTCAATTCCAAACATCAAAGAACTTTGATAAAAATTAAATTTATAATAAAGGTATTATGATCCATGTTAAGGACATTGGAAAGTAGATACAGTGATTTTCTGTTTATGTTTTACACACGTGAAATATAAGAACATAAGTATTTAAACATTTTCTATTTCCAATGTACCAATTGATCCAGTTTGTATTACTTCACTGAAAACATTCTGAAAACAGATTTGAATTTTTCGTCACTTTTTGTTGTTTTTATTTTTATTTCACCATAAATGTAAATATTCCATTTTTTTAATATTTATTTTCTATTATTTAGATATAAATTTTAAATTCTTAATTCAATTTATTGTTAAGGCTTTATGGGGATAAATCAAAAATGTGGGAAAATCAATTTCAAGTAAACTTGACAACAAATTTAAATCTGTTTTCAGAATTCTTATTGCTTTACAAGAACAATTTGTGCGTTACAAATAGAATATGTTTAAATTCCTATATTGTTCATGTGTAAAACAAAAATATCACTGCTTCCAATCTCCTTAATCTTATAGTTATTTATGATCCTTAAGATATTTTTTTTCGAAACAATACATTATGAACCTACATACTGTTAATAATATTAACAATATTTAATAAATCAGAATCTATTGATATTGTAAAAAAACAAACAAGTTGTACCTACCTATACACAAGGTTAGAGATGTACATAAACAATTAACAATATTATTATATATTTTCATTTTAATCTTTCGTTTCATATGCGAATAGCAGAAAAAAGTATAATAAGTAAGTAAACTAAATTATGTGTATTTGTATAATAAAAATTATTATTATTTTTTAGATGATAGAAGAACTATAAAATTACAATTATTATTGTTTATAAGACTATAACCTTGTAATATTTAATCAGCCATAATTTAAATTACGATATGTATATATTACACATACACATTGTATTATTGTTTAACACAATATCGGTATACCTATTTGATATTAATGATATCCATATCAAAATGTTTAAGAAAATATTAACTTTACGAATTCGAGATTAAAAATTTAGTGCTGTTTGAAAATCAAAAAACTTTACGCTTTTATGACATACGGCATAATGGTGACGTTTGAAAATATTGTAAATAAGATCAATAATAATTATAATAATATAATAATTTATAAACGATTCTTAAATTATTATAGACCATTAAAATCAAATATATTAAAAATTTGTATAGTTAATAATTAGTTTGTGACAATCACCCTGTAAACTTTTAAATCAACAATAAAAAATATTATCGATTATTAAATATATTCACGTTTGAACATTCGAAAGAATGCAATAGTTACCCGTAATATTATCATGTATTTTTAAATTGAAATACACTCATACGATTGCAAGATCATTGGTCGAGTAGTTAGAAGGATAAATTGTAGAGTTATACAGTCTTAATAAATGTGAATTAGAATGAAATTTTTTTCCCCGCTAGGCAAATATCATTCGATTATAATATTAAATAACTGTACATTAAAAGCTTCAAAATAAACGATAATATTATTTTGCGGTTAAGCCTCGATGTTCATTATTGTGTATCGAATTTCTAAAGTATACGCTGGTAAAATCATATTATATACCTACCTATGAAGATTCTTGCGGTTTAATACCTATAGGCTACAGATAGTTTAAAATGCGACTATAATAATATACTCTTTCTATCCTTAACAACTTTTCAATGGATCCATTTACTCGTTCAATAACAGTGCTATTTACTCATATCGTTTATTTTTTTTTTATAAATAATATGAAATCTTTTTTTTTCTCTTTTCTTATTTTTATTTGTATCTTGTTCAGCACCAATAAACACAAAAATAATACTGCCAATTTTCGATATTGCCAACCTAAAATACTATCGAATTGTACCAATATAAAATAATACAGTATTATACAATTCACTTGAGTATCGGTAGAGTAAGTAAGTGTAGAAACGGTAAAAAATATATACTTAAAGCAATTTTTTTAAACTTGAAACCTAGGTGTTTTATATTTAATTAATTTATACTAATTATTTTATAAGTACTCATATCAATGGGTTATATATCCACTCGAAGTGATAAAAAAATTTCAGTGAGACGGTACCAATATATTACTATACGCGTTTATTATATTTTTGCATATTATTGTACTTAAATATTTATTTAATATGAGTATATTTTAAATAATATAAAATATACGACCTGATTTTTTTAAATTAGAATTTGCACCATAAATTAGAATACATTTTATGAAGGGGTCATTTCCATTCAAATATTTAATCTATTAAGCCATTATTTATTTTTAAATTACCTTTGCAACATTATTCTGTTATTATGGTTTTATAATATGATGATAATTTCTAAACATTTTCTGAAAGAATTATCTAACATGTTTAATGCAGTTATTACAAAATCACTTCTATAATTTTATGCCGTTTTAATGATAATAGGTATAATAGAAGTAATAGTCCGTTCAATAGTAATGATGTAATAATAATGGAAAAAAATATACCGTTTCAATTTTTTTGGCTCGTTCTTCTATCATTCGTTCGAATGGCGTGCGGCAAGAGTTTTTTTGTTGTTCTATTTCTTTCTGAGTTTGCGTTCGTTTATGTTTTTCTAGTGCTTTTTGTAGTTCTGATTTTTGTCCCAAAACATTTTTCCCACTGAAAAACCAAACTCTTTGTATTAAATAGATTAAAATATTTTACATTCTTATAAAACAGGTATACATTTTTTGGTTGAATAGAAGTTCTCGGTGGAGATTTTGGTGGTCGGTAGAGGACACGCATGGGTTAACGGGCTTCCGTGGTAAAATTAATCCATCCTGGTGCATATCTCTCGTACAATCAGTCGCCATTGTCATGTCTATAAATAATACAAAATAATATAGTGAGTTATGCACATAATTAATATTTAAAATCAAAATTACTATAAGTTATTGAAAAACATAAACATGACAAATATAAATTAGGATACCATAAGATATTTAGTGAATATATATAAATATTAATTATTTTTGGTCTTTTCTAGTAGTTGCTAAATGGGTCTTATCGTAGCGGAGTAATAGGCATATAAGGAAAAATAATAAGGAATAGATTAAGATGGTATGAGTATATATGAGAGAAAGAGCAACGATGAGATAGCCAAGATATTAGCGAGTTAAGCGTAGGTAGAAGACGAGGAAGAGATAAGGTCAAAGGAAAAGGTAGAGATTAGTAGAAATTATAAGGGCATGTGGATTAGACGGGAAAATGGTGATTAATAGGATGATGTGGGTATAGTAGAAAGTAGTAGAACACACTTGGTCGGGGTAAAAGCAGAGAATAAGAATAAAATATTATATACCCATTAGTCATTATATTAGTAAACTGGTAGTATTATAATTGTATAATGAAACAAAATAAAGCGACAATTAAAAGTTCAATACTGAATTCTCGTTAGAGAAAAACAAAACGAACAAAAAGTCGATACAAATTGATTCATATTGATGTATTATAATTAAATGCGAATTATACATAGAGTAACAAATATTGCTTAATAGAGACATAGATTATGGAATAAACTTATTATATCATACAGTTTAGAATGTTTAGATAACACGTGAAATAAATACTCAAATTGATAAGGAATATTATTTTTAAAACCCGTTTGAATGTTCAGAATACCTACTATTAAATTTATTTTTTCTCGTTTTCATTACTCATAATATTATATTGTTCCTAAAAACAAACGAATATGACATTTTTTTTGTACGTTTAATATTATATAGGTACATCTTAAATTTAGAATTATTTCATATAGTTTTGAGTATATGAATACATATGAATGCATATGAATACATATGATTACATATGATTACATAGGTAGGTACTTACCTACCTATGTAACCAACATAAACAATATTTACGTGAACAACTTTATTTGGGTAAGTAGATTCGTAATTTTTAAAATTTAAAACCTATATTTATGTATCATCATCGTATGTACTTATATCATACGTATATATGAATAAATATATTACAAAATGTATCAGTTTTATAAAATTAATATAAGTTAATATACATCTTGTTTCCCCGCCGTTACTCAAGCAAAATCTAAAACGTACATTCTTAAAAGTAGTTGCCTATACATTTTTTTTTAATGTTATATCAATGTTATTTGGGTCAATTCTTTGGGCATCGACAACTTTTACAGAAGAGCAAACGCTATATTAGACAATGAAAATTATATAAGAATAATAATTATATTGTTATGATTTCGCTGCATTGTCTCAATTAATATAAATTAAACACAATGCGGGTACAAGAACCCCTCGTGGTTAACACTTGTCAAAACTCACTTGTACTCAGAATATGCTTTTTCTATATTATACTTTTTGAATTAAATTTTTTGAGTTTTACGATGAATGATGAAAATCACTTCTGACACAATTGCTGACGGTAGCAGTATACCTTTTGTTTAAAATGATTCTCCGAGATTCTCAAAAAGTATAATTGACACGTTTCTTATTTTTGTAATAAATAAGAAATTTTACGGCAAAAAAAAAAAAAGAATGTAGGTACCCGTAATAAAGGAAAACAAAATTTTGACCTAACGAAGTTATTATATTATAATAAAAACATACTAATAATATAACAAAAGGTTACATTTTTTTAACATTGTGCAGGTTGTAAAATGTTAAAAAAAAAATGTTTTATTTGTTCTATATATATGAGCTTTAAATTATTTCAAACAATAAATTCAAACAGACATAAATATTAATTATTCCTATAAACTAAGCACAATTTTTCTTAAGGGACCTTTTTTTCATATATGCTTTTTATCGATCGTTGTATATTAATATGTATTAGTATTACACATATATTTTGATATCGTTTCCTAATAAAATAATACAAACACGTTTCCGTGTTAATGGCAATGAATATAAAAATTCTTAATTTTAATGTTTACATCACTTATTATACCTTAATTTATCAAGAATTCGCAAGACACCAAAATGTGAAATATATATATATTATGGAATCAAATAAAACTAAGTAAATTGAATTATATTAAACAATTCATTCGCTTCACTATCTCCAATTCGCATTCCTACTTTAGAGTTTAGACAATAATACATATTTATTTTAAAAAAAAGATTCTATAGACATAGTCGTTTTACAATCGATTATTTAAATATTATTTTAAATTCTGAGCGAAATGAGGAATGTATTGGTTTTACAATGATGTTTATTACTATTCATTTTATATATACATACTTTGTACAAAAATTCTACCAGAAATCTTGCTCCAATTTTCAAATATAATACCTTTTCTGGAAGGAAATTTTCCTGAGGCGGTATTTTCCCTAAATGGGGAAAAACATAGGTAAAATGGGAAATATGAAAATGTTTGATAATGTAATGATAATGCTTTTATTACTTTCAATTTTTTTTTTGTTGTAATTTAATTTAAAATATTTTTTGAGACTTGAAATTTGGACATAAATTTTATATTAACTTTTTATAGGCTGTTTGTTAGACCAAATAGAAATGCTTAAAAACTTAACTGGAGGTTCATTGACTTAGTGGTCAACAAGAAAAAATTGAGTATAATGTAGTACATTTTTTTTATAAGAATTTTAATATCAAATTTTGACGAAAATCGTAAATATTATGACCTTTTAAAACATTTATAACCAAACTCCACTCAAAACCGTTGTTTCGTTAGAAATTTTAATCGTTGTATACAAAAATAAATTAAATTCCTCTTAATATCCTACTTCCTCAATTTCTCACCTATAAGTGGCTATAACAGTGGCCCACCCATCGTGCAAAGTATGTGAGTTTGTTTTTTAAAATTAGTTTTTAATATTCAATAATAAATAAAAACTTATGATGAATTGCATAAAATCTAAATTCAGCATCTTCACCCGATTTAGGGTGTTTCAATGATTTTCATTGTTATTTTGATCGCTCAGAGTGCATAAGAGCAAATCGTGGGGATTATTTTTTTAGACACGATTTTCGTATAACATGGGTACTACAGTACTATTATCAATTTTAATTATATTCACAGTTAAAAATTAAATTTACCGTTATAAACATATCAATAATCAACTTTTTTTTGATTGGTCTAGTTTACGATTTTTACTTTACATAGCATTCAACAGCTATAGTTAAATACCATTATTAACTATGTCAATAAAATAACGAAATGGTAGTAACAAAACTAATCTTGCAACATAATCATAAAACAGTTTCAACTGCTTAAAAATTGATATTATAGTATAAGTACCTATATGTTATCCATGTTGACCTTTCTTTACACTACGCAAACTGTGTATATGTATACAACTGTACTTGAAAGTAAGACATAAAAGGTATAAATTTTCGAGACTCATTAATATTTAAATCCTACTTTTGTATTTTAATTGCTTACGAATAAAGGGCCGATAACTGACAAGTAGAAGTAAAAATAAAGAATCTTTAGAGCATCACAAAAAATCTACGATCTGAGATCTAGATGTTATATTTTCAACAAATTGGAAAAATAGGATAATATAGGTATATAGAGTAATCTACTATAATATTGTATGCAGCTATATACCTTTATAAATAAATAAATAAATTCTGAATGGAGCTCGGTTAAATATTAATGTAAATTCGAATTGAAAATGTTAATAATTTTTTACTATAAAATAATTTACGAATTTTCGTGTTTTATAAAGAATTGTATCAAAAATTTGAACTTGAAACGCTAATAAATAAAAATCTTCTATCTTTTATCAAATTGTGGTGATTTATAACCATGCCAAAAAATTTTTAATCAAATTAATTTAAAAAAAATTGCTCAAAAAAGTTAAAACCCATGTTACATTTTCTCGTTTTTCGGCATTCGAATACAAGAACAATGGAACAGAAAGTTTATATTAATTTTTTTTTACGGTGATTACAAATAAATACTCACACACTAAATAATTTAAGTACATTCCTATGTCCTATATATAGCCTAGATTTTAGAATATTATTATTACTAAAAAGGTTTTCAAAAGACATTTGTATTATTTGTTGATACCTTCTATATATTATAATAATATGACACATTTTCTCTTTTGAAACACTATGACATGGTCTAAGTGGCACATTCACGTTTGTGTCATTCTGGTCATATTTAAGAACAATAACATATATTATAGTGTATGATATCTTCATCGTACACTATTTGTTGCTGTTTGCAGTCACTGCAGTGTACCTACATCACCTATACAACTATCACTCGAAGAATTCAGGGTTATTAGATTAGGTACACATAGGAATACGTTTTTCGAGAAAACATTATCCAACGATCTATTGCAATAAAATATTCTTGCTATTATATTACTACATCTGATTTTATAAAGATAAAAATCAATATATAAACGATAATAATATAATAACGGTATTATAATATAAGTATGTACGCGGCCACTCCTCTCTCTAAACAAAAATAATACTTTGTAACTTGAGCAGAAGTCTTAATTAGGTACTTAACTATTATACTCATATTCTTTAAATATGTATCGCACGTACAGAAATGATGATAACTAGTTTTTATACTTACCTATTTAGTATTGTCGTATTTCCGATAATTATTTCTTTTGAAATTCAGTAATTTATTTTCGTTAATTAATTTGAAAACTAAGTATAAAAACCGTACTTATACATAATTCTTAGAAAAAAAAAAAATAATAATAATAAAAAGAGCATCATTTATTATTTAATAAGAATATAATAATAAAGTAGTTATTTTAACTACAGACAATTTGTACCAGAAATTTTGCTCCAATCAAAAACTGACAAGAGATATTTTTTGTTGCATTTTGGATCTAGTTGGTGTGGAGATCTTTTTTTAAATTTTAGAAGTGATTTTCATAAGTTGAACCACTGAGAAATAACGTAGGAAAAACAGGAACGATTACTGCGTTAACGCGTGGGGTGTCATTATGTTGGATTTTGTTTTTTTCATGTAACTCTGTTAAAAATAATCGTAGAAACCTGATATTTTCATATAATAATTAAACTAGCATTTTCTGGACTTAGATTAAATTTTCAAAACATTCTGATGACTTTTGAGTTATAGGAATTTGATATTTTTCGAATTTATTTTTAGTTTTATGTTAAAATTTATGTTTATTTATCATAAAATTGTTTAGCTGTACAGAAATGATTGTATATTTTGCATGCGATGCGCTTTACGTTTGTGGTTACAAAGAAAAATTTGAACGAACAAAAAAAAGTTTTTTTTTTTAAATGTTTTAAGATCAAATGTTAACGAAAATAGTAAAAATTACGAACAATGAACATGGCACAATGCATTTGTTATTGTGATATAAAAAATAATCACATAGTGAAATGTTGAATATTTTCAACTTTTTGATAACAAACGGTAACACGGATTATTGCGTTTATGTTATTACTTATCCAATCATATCGTTGTTACACGGTCTACATGAATTACCGTGTTGGTGGAATAACGCCTTTATAATAATAAGCTACCAAAATAACAAGGGCTAATTCGAAGTTATACCTACAATATTATATTAACCTGTATTTTTTTGGCTATACCTACAAGTTTCCTAATAAATAATTAGAACCGGAGGTGAATATAAGAAGTTTTATTAAGAACGGTAATTATTAATAATTTTGGGCAAGTATATATACTGTATACTGCAGTATTGATATTGTGGGCTAAACTACTATCATTTATACACGGCAGTGTTTAACTTGTACAAGAAGGGTGACCACTAACCATATCGAAGTCAATATTGATACAAAATAATACGTCATATTATTATGCGAACATCATGTGGAATCATTTGCACTATTATCAACATAATAGTTCAGATCGAATTGTAAATTTAATAAAAAATACACAAAAGGCTGTGGAACTGTGGCAGCGTGTAAATAATAAATATGGTATGAAAAATAAATCGTGTAGTAACGAATACTTCAAATTTCAGTAATGAACCGAAATACAATTATTTAAACATTTTCAACGCAGTGCAAACATTTAAATTGATCATGCTTATTGAGTACAAGTATATGAGTTAATGCAATATAATGTACCTACTATTATATTAGGTACCTATATGTAAAAATCATACGAAACAATAAATTTGTCTATATAAGAAACAAAACGCATACCGGTAAAAAAGTGTAGAAAAATAATAAATAATTAACGCTTCATAAATATTAATGAATTTATAATCTAGACAATTTAAAAACAAATAAATAACAAACTCGTTAGATTAGAAATGAATTAAATTAAAATGATTTACAATTTTGTTTGCCAAACCGTTTTAAACGTATATTTTGTTAAATAGATATGGAGATATTATCGTGCTTTGTGCAACTACACTATTATTATTATTATTACATACCTACATCATTACTGCGGATTGCAAATTAAAATTATATTTAAATCAAACGAATATTACTGAAGTGCAAAACTACACTTTTATATACTACCAACTAATTAGTACGTATATATGAACAGAATTATTAACACCTACGAATATTCGAATTTTTAAATTCGACTTTCGATCAAAACCATTGACGATTGTATTTGTATATAGTTGAATAATATTGTAACGATTTATTTTAGATACGGAAGCTTTTTGAGTGAGATACCGGAAAAAATACAAAATAATATAATTTGCAAATAATAACACAAACAAAAGTCGAGTACAGTGGTAGGTACGCATAAATACGCCTGATGGATACCGAGTAATATTATATTTCTGTCTTCAAAAGGGAATTAAAAACAATCTAATACAGATGACATCCCCTGGCCTTGAACGACCCGGGGGTCGGTGAAAGGTCAAAAAACTCGTTCTTCTGAAATGCAATTAATAATAAACGTATATATTATACAACGTGTGTATCAAGCATAGTTTTCTCACGAATACTTTATTGTAATAAAATGTTCATCAACCTAATCAATCCGATCATTCGTCTCGGTCATTGTTTCAAACGCGTACGTGCGATTCTCACGTGATGTTGATATTCAATTTACGATGGCACAACGCGCCATCACTTCCAACCGGCCACGGCGGTATCTTTTATAAAATAAACGTTCAATCATGGAATAATTGTAGCGGACACAAGTCGGTCACGATCGTCCGAGTGACCTACAATCGACGTCTAAGTGTTAAAGATAACGTGTTTACAATATTATGCATTATAATAATTTATATAGATATATACGTAAATTCTCATTGTTCGGAGTGTCTATTATGTATGCCTAAATAAATAAATAGATAAAAAAATAAAAATAAAAAATAGAGGCAACTACAGAGTAAATCGGCGCAACAAATGGTTTCCATTTATAATTCACACTGACGAATTACACAGCGAGAAACTGGAAACTAAATCGATTGGCATACTAATGATCCGATCCATAATAGTTGTAATGAATACAACGATACTCATTGTGTTTAGTCTTTATAGAAAAAAAAAATGTGTGTATATATATATATATATATATATATATATATGAGAAACTAGTTAACGCATTCGCCCTGACCATCAAAAACAATCAATTCCACTAAAATATAGTACATAGTGGTTCGATTATACTGCATTGTTAATATATACATATATACGACGGCAATATTGGAAAGTTTCAGAATCTACCGCTAAATATTTTGATATTGCCTATACAAAATAAATAAATAACATTTGAAAAAAGTGTAAGGTTAGGTGTAAAAACTGTATGTATTCTACCTTCTCTATACTTCACACCTAGAACAGAGACACACCCGTTCCTAATATCAGTTTTTTTTTTTGAAAAGAGGAAGACTTTTTACAGTGTATTGGACTTGGATTTTGAATATTAAATATTATATTTTTGAAAGTTTTGTTTTTAGGTTACGTAATCAAAAAATTGGGGTGCCGTTTAGGAAGTTTTCCTCTTTCAACAGAAAAAAAAAGTTCTAAACCGGATCAGTTTACGAGGTATGAGGATTTTCCTGTGAAAGATGTTTTGGGTCAAAAAACGGGTGATACACAGGCCCCTTCATATAATAATTTAAACAGGTTGAATTATTTTTTTAGATTTAATAATTTGTAAGTCTTGTTTATATTGTAAATGTTAATAATTTATTATCTATTAACAAACTGTAAAAACCACGACCCTAAAGAATCACAAACAAAATTACCTATAATATAATATCATATTATTAGTTATTCGTGATTACCTCCCTAGTTATATTTTACATTATAAAAACACACATTCTAACACAAATTAAAAAACAGTGATAAATAAGCATGAGCTAATATTATTATAAGTAAAAAATCCAATGATATCATAGTATTTTTATAGTCATAATATTATGACTTAAAATTCAATAGTAACACTATAAAGTAAATATGTGTTTATTGAAAAATGTGAAAGTTAACCTGAACTCAAACCTATAAATAAATTTACAATCACTATGATAGTGTATACGTTGGTAAGTACTAAAAACTTGTTTAAATAATATAGTGAATAAAAGTTGCCTATACAAAATACAATAGTAGTAAAACGCTAATCTATCATTAATTTTTAAATAAAAGTTACAAATAATTAAATATTCTCTAATAAGATAACATAAAAATTCATCTAAATTTAAAACTAATTAAATTTCATTGACATAAAAATCAGACACTTATGCCGAGATATATCTTATGATAGTTAATAGTTATAAATATAACATACCAACATAATGAGGGGGCCACGACCTCCATAAAATTGATCTCAAAATATTTTCACTACTCCACAATCAATGAATGATATAAATAATTAAATAAATACCCGAAAGTGATATAATAATACACAATACACTAATATAAATTAATAACTCAGTATGGTTTACGTTCTGTATAGTAGTAGTAGTAGGTAGTCATTAATTATCATTATAATAGAATAATTCGATAATTACTATAGGTTATTATTTATTAAACATCTGTAATCAAACAATGAAATATTTTATTCCGCATTGTTTTGAAAATTATTCGGTACACCCAAAATGATAATAAACATATCGGATAATCCCGTCATCGTTTTCTGATTGCACCGATATTTACTACAAAATTATCCCAGAATATTCTTATTTAGATGATATTTTATGCGAGATAAGTCATTGGTTTTATAGAATTTCGTGAGTTCTTAATAATATATTTATGATCAATTTTTTAAATAGTAATACAAGTTAATGACCCCAAAAATTGTGCATAAAATATAAAATATATTTAAAATAGCTAATTTTTAATAACCTATACAGATTTCAATTTCTAAATTCTATAGATCCAACTTACTATAAGTAAGGGAAGAGACTATTTTATAGTAAAAAGTTACTTGATTATTTTATATATCCGTAATAACCTATCTTGTAAGTATATTTAATCCAATTTAAATTTGAATTCAAAATTATAACTAGCTACTCATATTTCGGAAGTACAATATTAATTTGCAAACGTTTTCATGTCAAATTATCATACAATTACAAAATAATTTTTAAATTGTTAAATTATCTATACGTTTTAAAATATGTTATAACAGCTATTGAAAAATGCTGATATTGCATCTGTGTAATATATATATATATATATATATAATTATGTATATTTGAACAATTGTCAACTAATGCCTATATAATGTTCATACAAATGTATATAACTGTAAACGTTACTATAATATATAATATAGTAGTGTACAAACATAAAATCATAATTCAACAAAGTTCTTCTTATTTATTTAAACTTTCGTTATCGGTTTGAATGATGATAACAAAAGTAAAAAGGCGAACATCTTTAGCGAATAAACTATTGTCACACAGACTGATGTTTCTTTAGTATTAAGTTAGCGAGATTAAAAATCTTAAATCGTAGGTATAATTTATATTATACATTATTTACTTTTGTCACCCAGTAACCATGGAAACCTGAAACCAATCGAATAAAAAAGAGAAAATGTTAACTGTTCAAAATTCAAGTGTGAGCACTGAACAGTAAACACCCATACATAGAAATTTAAATTGAAAAAAAACGGATTACGTCAGTAATATCAAATTTTTAGTAATTAACTAATCGCAAAAAACCAGAAGACTATTTATTATCTATGCATTTTCAGGTCTGAGCCAGGCAAAAGTGATTAACGGATGGGATAAGAACCAACTCTAAAAGCTTTTATTTTTTTTTTTACGAAAAAATCGCTAAAATGAAGAAATAAACTTGAATTTTTAACTAACTACGAAAGCTAATAATACTATTTATTATATAATAAATCCAACCCTATAAATTATAATAAAGGTATTTATTCAGTATTCACATATCTATTTCCACAGTTTTTATAGTTGCAGATTAATTATATTCTAATATTCCAACATACATTTCATAATATTGTTAACAAACAACTCAGGGAAACACGTTCACCTAGCTATAGAAGGCCCAAGTACAATTTTTCTCATGTTCGTTAAAAAAAAAAACAATACCAAAAAGTTAAAAGAATTCAGGATTATAAAAATGCTATTTTAATTCTATGAAGTAATAGACAAGTTATGCAATATTTATATTTTATATACTTGAGATATATATATATATGATTTCGATTTCAAAAATTGTATACAAATATTGAAATATTTATATAGATAGGTACTTACAATAATACATATTATTATATATATATATATATATATATATTTATTATATTATTATTATTTATTATTTCGAAAAATATCAATCAAAATTCAAATTACATAATATGTATTTTTAAATTTTATAAAAAAATAAAAGGGAGTGAAAAAAATTATTTATTTTTAAAAACTGTATAAACAAAAACCATAACAGAAATCAATTTACTAGTATTAAATAATATCCAAACACATAATATACATTCCAAGATCCTTGAAAAGATTAAAAAAAATTAAAAATATTTAAACACAATAATAAATGACAGAAGTGTATCACAGTTTTATAATTTTTTTAATTTTTTTAAGGCAATTCAATGTTTAAAAACGATGTATTGAGTGATTATTTTATGAGTTTATTTTTAGAATTTCTGATATTTAATTTTTGTTTACATTTCATTTCATGATTCATGTAGTCATGTGTCTATTGTTCTTTGTTAGGTCGTTAGGTGAATTATTTATTATAATACATTTATGTTTAAAGTTGTTTTATTTATTTAACACCTACCTACGTAAAATAAATATTATAAAACTTGTAATTACAATAAATTATAATATTAAATTTAGCTTAAAATTCGTGATTTTATGATTTCATTCGAATTCAACATAATATTGAAAACTGTAAAATTCAATAAAAAGTAACAGTACTTTAAAGGTACGAAGTACGTCTGATAAAATAATAAATACCTAGAGATTCGGGTATCTAATGATAAAACATCAACACCAAGGTACACACATTTTATTGAGATAATATCTTATATTTTATTCTACAATTTTGCGGTAAAAAAAGTGTACCAATAAACTTTCAAATTGATATTTATGTAGATATAGGTATGGTATTAGATAGTGTATTTACTACAACTTACCGTTTAATTTATTGAGTTGATGTTTTTTTCCACCGAGGCACTTGTTATCAGTCTGAAAAAATAAATAATTTATTACAAATCTATGAATTTTGTTTGAAAAAATAAAAACAAATTAGAAATACATCTTGATTTGTGTTCATGTTATTCATTGAGTTTAGTGTTTTTTTTAAAAAAAAATGTAACTAGTTTTACACTAGTATATATTTGTATTTCAGTAGTGATAGTAACCACATAGATATAAATAATAATTAATATTAATAACGAATATTATTGATTTTATAATGATAATATAAATTATGCATGGTAGACAAAATACAAAATAATTGTATCGACAGAAAACAATAATTATATTTACTTAAAACAAATTTTAAAACTATTAGGTATAGATATAAGTTGTAATTTAGTATCGAATTTTATGTAAATCCATAATACAACATTATCATGAATCACTAATCGTAATTAAATGATAATATACGATATCGAAATCTATATAAATGCATATGGTTGTATAGGTATATACCGAATCAATAATTCCTTATATATGTATATACATCAATAAAGGCACCTATAATAATATCTGCCTAAATAGTATTTATTTTCACACGATTATTTCAAACTTCGAATAACATGATTATGTATAATTTTCAATATAACTAACCAAAAAAATTATAATTTTATTATCTGTCCATTCAAAACAACAATAGGTTAAGATAATTTATATTTATATTAATGTTTCGTTATTTTTATGGAACTCTCGTTTAGCCTCTTATTGAAATCTAATGATAAACAGTGACTAATTATCTACGTATACGAGATAACAAAATACGTACCTAATGAAAAATAATATATGAATAGAATATTTTACATTTTGAATAGAACAATTTATTTTAACTATATATATTTTCTTTTCGATAAATAATTAATATGGATACCTGAGAAAAATATTAAAAAATGAACTTTTTTGTTATAATACGGTGTTCGAGAATCGCTAAAATTGAAAAAAAATGTAAGCAAAATAATATGTTAAAATTTCATTTCTAATTAGGTGTCTACTCAAAATCGTTTTAAAAATATAATGACTTAAATTTGAATATTAAAATATTGTATACATACTAACTGGTAAAAACCTCATGTGTGTTATCCAAAACATCGGCCTATACCTACAACCAATATAAAAATATTTAAGATTAAATTATTGATATTTTGTTGTGTATTATGAAGGTTACATTGAAAAAAAATTCAAAAAACCACCACTAAACCATAATTAATAATGTGTAAAAGTTTAAATTGAAAAACAAATCAATAAATTACCAAGCAACCATATTAGTATAAATAAATATCCTACATCGAAAGGCTAAAAGTTAACATGTGGAATAAAAGATACAGAAAATCAAATTCCTGCAAACCGTTAAAATACAGTATATACTTAAATGTTGATTTATTTAGAAATAAGTTGTAGGTATAGTGGAAGTTAGATAGATTTGATTCATCCAAATAAATAGTTAATACTTTTTTTATAAATAAAAATCATTTTTAAAACCAAAGATGAAGTAAAACGTATGGTTCACAAAGTAATCTAAAAAATGCACGTCTATAGGAAATTATACCATTTGAATTTTGAATGAGGGTAGCTATCTAAGTGAAATAAGAGTTTGAAAATGAAAGCTAAGTAGATAATTAATATTTAAATTCTAGAAAAAACGCAATAATTTAATTTGTCAATAAATTAAAGGAAAACTTTGATGTTTTTTTGTAAATGTAACATAACAATAATCAAATTGAAACTATCTCATCGTACAAGAATTTCCAATTCTATCGAGAAATATTAAATAACTAATGGTATATTTTAATATATAAATATTATAATAAAACTACTGTTTAAAAATACAAACATAATTTATTTTTCTTATCGAAATGATACGTACATCCGAGTACATACACGAGATACATCACTGTCTAATCTATTTAATTGCTGACCCAAACTAAATTAATTTATGATTATGAATTATTATGATTTACGACTGTTAATACACAATATCAACACTAAAATGAAATATTAAAAAAATGCTTTATCTTTGAACGTGAGTGAAGTTCCTTCTCTTAATATATGGTACGATTAAAACGTCTAGTAATTCGTGCTCGAAACCCATGACCTAACAATCAACATTTATGATCAATAGTCAAGACGACTCGAAATGTATTCAAGAACCAATATAAGAGTTTAATATAATAGTATAGGTATGCGATATCTAATATGGTGCATCCTAATAAATTCGTCAATATAATATTAACAACACCCAATAAAACACTTATATTCACGGGTAATTTTACATATTGATGATATTACCTGTTAGATACTGTTATAATATTATTAGTTCTCAATGAATTTGTTATAAAAAAAATTATTTAAAAATACACAAATTTGAAAGTTGTCGGTTAAAACTCGAAACGATATTTGATAATACCGGTCCATCCGGATTTGTACGATAGCCGGAAACTAGTCGTTAAATAATACAATATAATAATGAATAACGATGTGGGGTCCACGGACTATAATATAATATGACGATGAGGGACTTGGAGAATTTTTCATTATCTAAAACCCGTTTTATAGATAGGAGTTTTTTTTTTACATATATTTTGTTCCAAACAACGCGCGATACAGGGATAAAAAACCATAACATCCCCGTTGCCTGTAGTGATAAGTCCATAACAAAAGGCAACAGTAATAATATATGCATTTGTAGCTGCTGCAGAAGTAGGGGAGAAAACCGGATATGACAATTATGCTCTCGTACACATGCGAATTATTACTATACTCACGAAGATTAGATAACAATCGTGCGTATAATCACTTACAATTTTATTTTATTTTTTTTAATATGGGAAGGTACCTTCCTATATTATTTATTAAAAAATATCAGATGACATTTGTGTTTCTCATATACGGTTATACCTCGGGCTATACGTTTAAAAACAATATTGCATAATACTAACAAACTAATATATTATATTATAGCAACATTATTTTTGTACAATAGTTGTAGTATCTATATAGGTATTTATAATGGTAAAGTAATTGATGCAATTTTAAGTTGTGTAACATTCACTGTTTATATTGTGCGCATTTTAAAATATCCCGGAAAAAACCTATAGCAGATAGAGTCAGAGATTCTAGAGTAAATGTAAACGTTTGGAAATAATTTTTTTTATTTAATATTGCACAAAATAATATACATATCCTACACTTATACACTTGTACTTAGATACCGACCAACTTGTAACAGTTTTAAAATTACCTATATTGTGATTTACTTAAAACAAGGTAAATACCTATAACAGCTATTTTCAAAAAAACCATTATTTTTATTTAACGATTGTTTTATTGTGTAGTTAGGCAATTATTTCTTGTATGGTTTTTCTTAACCTATATTTCTCCTTGCCCCGAGTTACACCGAATGTCGACAACATGGAATTTATTTTATGAAAAACCCAAACGATCAAGATCAAGTATTTAAACCAACTTGGGGAGGAGGAATATTAAATATTTCAAAAAAATAATAGACACCCATGGAATATACAAAATGTATTTTAAAATTAACATAGGTAATCAAAAATTACATTCTTATTAATGAATAACGTATCGCTACGTTAATAACGTAAGGTATCTAATAACAGTCTCACTTTTTAAAATAATTTCTTGATAAAAAACTGATACAGCTGTAAAATTATAGGATAACTTTTACCCCGAGTTAAACACACGTGCCAAGTTGGTCGGTTTGGCCGATAAAAAAAAGTTATGGATTCATCGTTATTGTTATTTTTATTTATTAAATCGATTTATTCCCAGAAAATGTTACACGGGTATTATATTTTATATGTTATACTTTTGCGTGTGGGATAGAAGGGATTCGATCGACTAATAAAAGTAATAGAACGTACTAGCCATAGGGTTAGGTTAAACTTCGTGACTTTGTGAAGTACTGCCATGTATTTTATTTTTACGTTATTTATATTTTAATATGTAAATATCACAGTAAATAAACCAATCTAATTGCGAACAAATCATGTTCTTAAGTATATAAGTATGTACACAATTATACAGATTGTTGATTGTGGGAAATTAAAAAAAAAAATAACTTACCATTATTGGGACTTGTTTATAAACGCACACAACTATATAATATCAATTATACAGTCGAAGTTTAAAGTTGATGTTATTATATTATGTTTAATGAAATTATTAATCGATAGTTGCTCGTTATCGTTTGCAATTCTCTAAACATTTAACAACTATTAACTATAAGAGAATAATATGAAATCGACTAATACTGGTCGATGAGCCCGAGAGTAAAAACAAATAGGTAATATACTTTTAGGTTAATTACTCTACGGTAATGAACACCGAAAAAAGTAAATATACGGTTTGAAATAATTCCCATAATTATCGTGACGCAATTTTAAAGATTTTTCAAGGTTGCCGCGCATACTATCGAAGTCACACCCACGACCCACACATACTTTATTTTCTACGTGTTGAGTAAATAATGTCACTTATGAACAGTAGGCAAGCGAGCTTCTGTTGTTTGTACATTTTAACTAATTGTTGTTTATAAAAAGAAAAATACAGATTACGATGAGACAGAGAGTCAACCCAAATAGTCGATGCGACAATATCGCAGTCATTTTTTTTTATTAGAAAATAGAATAGAATTTATGGAGGTGCCGATAATGGGTATCGAGGCGGAAAAATAACTATTATCGGCTAATTAAAATTGTAAAAAAGGTTATCGCAAAATAATAGAAGCAGGTGCTTACACCTATTATGTACTTATAATATTATAAAAGTCGTGCGGTAAAGGGCATAGCCGAAACGTGTGTCGGTAATAATTTTACGATGTGAAAAGTTGCGCCGAATGTCTAAAAAGGTCGCGAAAACGAAAAGGTTGATGGTGCACAGTTAATAAACGAATTTGAAATGTAATAATAAAAAAAACAATAAAGGCCGTTTTGTGCACTGCTGTTGGGTGTGACGCTGTTTTAAGAGGGAAATCGCAAGGGAGGGATGTGTAGAGTAATTTAATTTATATCTGTACGCAACGATGAACCGTTGCTAACGAAAAACGATTCTGAACAGAGTATTTTTATTTTTCCTCGTTGTCAAGGTAACCCATAAATCGACAAAAATTACACAAAAAATCGCCAGTTATGACTATTTACCAAGAGAACACGGGAAATCAAAAAAAAATGGACCTCCCAACCACGAATTAAGATATTTTAATTCGTGATCCCTACGCACCGACTAGATCGAAAACGCTACAAGAAGGTTCCTGTAAAATATTTAGTCGGAGCAAGATTTCTGGTAGAAAAAATTGTTTACATACACAACAATTAATAACACACATAGTAAAACCCAGAATAAAACCAATATGTTTCACGTTTCGTTTAGCATCTAATAAAATAATATTATAAATGCAACAAATAACTGTAATATTACCGAGGAAGATAATATTATAATTTTCGTACTGCACGTTTAACGGCCAAGCCAACCGCTCGAAAATCGACGATTTACAAAATACCATAATAATAATATTATTGACGTCGATTTTAGTACGTTTTTTCGTCGTAAAAATTATTATTTACAGACAGTTAAAATTAAAAATAAATGGTTACTTTTTTTACACAAAGAGCTCAAAAATGTATAATTTAATAATAACAATAAATAATATGACGTCAATTATATCCCGGGCACGCGTTTGTGAAAATGAATCATTTCAAATAAATAATACGGGGGAATTCCAAGAATTTCCGATTAAAAACAACGTGCCTTCCTATTTTTAACTTCTGTAATATATGATTGTTAGGCAGGTATTTCTTCTTTGTTCGATTAATTGCCGGTAGGTAAGTGTAGACACCAATTACGGTTTTTTTTTCCCTATAGACGCTCAGGTTCCGACTGTAATATTATTATGGTGGCGTAGACTCACTTTTAAGAAGTAGGCATTACACGCACGTTCACGCCGTTTATTATGTACGTAGGTATACCGTCGACATGATCGCGACTTCAAAAGCGGTATCGTTGATAATTGATTAATATATTTGCGTCCTATAATCCGCGGTACTTATTCTACGATTATGGTAGGTGTACATAAATAATATTGTATATTGGGTAGGTATTATAGGTATGTATAACATATAGGATATACTCACAAATAGTGTATTTACACCTGTCCGATTGCAGCGAGGCAGTGTCGAGGAATTTTATGGTATTGTATATTATTTTACAGTGTACAATGTGCACGCGAGTAAAAACCGGTTTATGCACTTGTCCGTGAAAATAAAAATCACGGTGGCGGAGAAGACTACGGTAGTCGGTAGTGGCGCAGGCGGTTAGGGTAAATCCACTGTTGATTTCGGTGTTACGGGTATAATAATAAGAGTCGCAAGTTCGGTGGTTCGGACGAACGGGGCTACCGAATCGGCGAGGGGCAGGTGATGGGACGCGGCGTGCGGAAATGTCGAAAAGACAAATTTATTTCCAGGCGGAAAACACGATCGCGGAATTTAACGTGTTACGCGGTCGATGTGAAAAACTCGTGTAGCGCGAAACAAAACGGTAAAGCACGACTACGACGCGGGAAACGATGATTATCGAAGTGTCAAGCAGCAGAATGCTGGAAACGCAAACAACGTGCCGCACGCTCGGAACATGAACGATCACTGTGCCATCTGCCGACCGTTTGCGAGAAACTGTAATTCTGTTCAGCTGCAGCACGGTTTGCGGGCAGTGGGAGACCTGCGACGGCCGGCGTGGGCGACCTTGAAAGGGACGGCCAGGAAATAACCGCCCCTTCCCGTCCCCCCTCACGACTGCCTGTAGTGTAACTACAGGCTTTACAATAATATTGGAGCGCGTTATCTGTGTCATCCCTTTTATTTTCACCGAATTCCCACGCAGTACAACAGACGCGGCCGAGACGATATTATTGCGTCGAGATTTTTTTTTTTTTCCATAGAATATACGTACGCACGCCACGAAATACAAATAAACGACTGCGGCGCAGTTATTCCATTATAATATTATAGAACAAAAAAAAAAAACCTGAACTCACAACGGATGTGATTTTGACACGTTTTTTTTCCTACCAACGATTAATAAAATACGTCATAATAGTTTATTATATCGCTGTGTTTATTTTTATAATATTGCGCACTTATATACTTAATCGCATAATACGTATTTACGAGATTTACGCCTACCATAGGTATACATCACGTAGATTTTAATACGTTTTCCATTAATATTATATTTGCAAGTCTTCAATCAATACATTAATACAAAACATTTATTGGCTTTGTAAAAAAACAACTAAATATGATAATTACAGCAAAATTGTTAGGAACTTGATTCTATTAATTTAAACTTTCAGGCTTAACCCCCCCCCCACCCGAAATGTCGGACGACAATAATTATTTTAAATGTACTGAAAATACAATTTGATGCCATATTAGATACAATGATGCCGTGATAATCCGGCACCCGCTGTACAATCGGTGGTTAAATTGAATAACGGAGGAAATGGAATAACAGAGAGAGGGCCCTTTAAGTTTAGTCTTCGGAGTCGTGCTATACACTTCTTTTTTTCAATAGACTGCATCGAACCGGAGGATTAGCTATTCGGGGATATTGCTTTATCTTGCCTAACCTAACCTATGGTTGTTATAACATTGTCAGTAGTGATGGTACTACCTATATTGTTAAAGCATAAAAAACTGTCACCTGATAAAAACCTGTTTACGGCACTGCGTAGAAAAATTAGAAAAAGGATTTTATCCCATAAATATTTTAAGTCAATTTTTCCAAACTTTATTGTTTTCATGATCTTTCACATAATATTGCAAAAATAATAGGTATAGTATAGCTATCTGTGTAGATGTCTTCTTGGAATAATTTGTATAAATTTAGAATTCATCGTTATTGATGTATTTTTTTTTTATAATATCCAAAATTTTTAGGAGGTGATAAATATTTTTTTAGACTCATTTTCAACTTACATACAAACTTTTAGTATATATTATAACCATTTTGATAGTATTTATACTGATTTTTTTATTCTTAATTTTTAAAATAACCTTAGAATTTTAAAGAATTTTCTTAAATCAAACCTAACCTTTTTCAATCATAGTACACGTGACTCACAAAACAGAAAACTTAAGCAATTATTGACATTAAAATATTGTAATCAATAGTCTTTTTCAAATACTCAAATATCGTATTAATATTTCTAGTAGAAAAGTTGTTCACAGACAAAAATAAACATTATTGTAAAACCAATACATTTCTTATTTTATATGTAATCTAAAAAAATTACAAACGAAGGTTAAAAAAACATTTAGTAGTTTTTATTTTTTTTTTTAAAGTAATTCTTTGCTTAGTATTTTTTTCTATGTGAATAGTTTTGTTTACTATAATATGTCACGCTGGACAGTAATAGTCATAGCCTTATAAGGTAACTAATATTCTGGCCATTATAAGTTATAATAATATAAATCGATGAACATAATATTATGCTCTGAAGTCATACTTCATACTCAATAATACTCTACATGGCTGTATGCTAAATAAGTATTAATGAAGCAATTGTCTTCACCCCTCCCTCAGTGGCGTATTAAGATTTTCTTAACTTCAAGGGACAAACCAATTCGCTGCCTTTTCCATCTCATCCCTCCTAAAATTATTTATAAAATATAATTTCAGAATATACAATCTGTTATATTTATTATCTTCTATAGAAAAAAAGATACATTAAAAATTAAAATTAAATTGTACTTAATATCTTGTTTTGCGATTTACGAAATAATTGTACTTAAAATTATATATTTTTTCAGTTGAATTAAATCATCACAATTCGACCACAAATCCACTTCGATTTTTAATATTGCCTAACTATTGAGTTTTTCAGCACCCATAGTATTATACTATATCACTATGTTTTAATCCACAGTAAAACCAATCGAACCCACATTGAACGACTGCGCTTTTGTTATTGGCTGTACGCCCGTATTGCGTACATGTGTATATGTATATATGTATATAGCTGTTCAATTTTTGAGCAAATGAACGCGATCGATTAACTTGTAGTACTAAATTATATACCTATATTAAAATATGTAATAAAAATAATTTGTCTACTTAAAAAATCAGTAAAATTAGATTTATCAATTAAATTTTAGTTTTTGTGATTGTGTAAAAAAAGATAAAACAATTTTCCACCTCCGAAATTTCAACGCTATAGGACCTGTACCAAAAATTATTGTTATATTAAAAATCAGGATTAACGGAAAATTCAAAATTCTGAATTTCGGTTTTCGAACCTCAAATTCCGAAATTCTAATTTTAGATTCAAATTGAGATTTTTTTTTTTGTAAATCTATTAGTATAGATCCTCTAAGTTGATGTAATAAATCACTGGTCAAAAAGACGTTTACAGACATACATTTCAAAAAACAATCCCACCTTTATCTTATCCTGAATCAGCCCCTGACTATGACTCTATTCGTACGATAACTGAATGAAACATACATTTCTAATATAATTTTTATAAAAATTACTTATTTAAATACGTACATATATTTATTCCATTATTAAATAAAATAATATGATTATGATATTTATTTACTTATTCACTCAAACTTTTAGGTTATAGTAGTTAATCTAATCACATATAATAATAATCCTAGCAGTCAAAGGGTTTCGTTTTAGCTTTCATTTATAGTTATTTATAATTGAATTTAAAGTTCAGCCCAGTTCAATGATAAAAGTTGTAACATAAAAATTATTCACGTATAGGTAGATATAAAGGGAATAGTATTGAAACTATATATAAGTTTCAAATAAGAACAAAAAATATATTAATTTTACTATGATGTACACTACTTTTTTTTGGGTATGCAACAACTTTTCTACCAGAAACTTTGCTCCAATCAAAAAACCAAAAGAGCGGTTTTTTTAAACAATTTTGATTTGGTTAGTGAATATTGTGTGGATCATTTTTTGATTTCCCATGCAGTTTTTTTAATCACTTTAAAAAAACCCGGAAAAAACATAGATAAAACGGAAAAGTTTCCTGCGTTTACCATTTCATTATTTTTCATTTCGTTTTACTATTATAATTTGGTGACGAATAATTGTGAAACCAGAAATGCTTATAGACTACCTATATTAGCCTTTTCTAGACGTGATTTTGAAACATTTTCAAATTATTCAGATGATTGGGCTATTTAAAGCCATTCGAAATTTTCGAGTTTTTTTAGTTTTCATTTAGTTCTATGTGGATTAAATTGTTTGACCAAATAGAAATGTTTTAAAATTTAATACGAGATTCATTGTAAGTTGTACTTAGTGTTAAAAAAAAAAAAAGTTAGAGAAATGTAGTAGTTTTTAATAAGCGTTTTAAAATCAAATTTTGACGAAAATCGTACAAACGAGATTTCATAATATACATAAGCGATATTATATTTTGTCAATAATTATTTATTGTGCCCACAGATATATAAATAAACTAAAAAATGTATGTATATTTGCCTTCTAAACTTCCTCCTACCTATTTTTTTTTAGATTCGGAGTGGAGCGAGGGATTTATTGGCGTAGGTAATGGTCCATAAGAAATTATTGTATACAGATTACACTAAAGCGTTTGATCATATAATATACTTCAAACTTTTATATATTTATCTCACATCTAAGGTCCACCTCAAGATCGTTTCAATATTCCATACCTACGTTTCTACGTCCCTACATACTAACCTAAATTAGGTTAAGTTTACATTAATTTACAAAATCTGTTCAATATACATAATATGTATATAAGCTTTAAATTATAAATAAATATAATTTGAATTAGAAATTATTATTTATTATCCAATTATCATAATTTTCATGATTATCATGATTATCAATAAAATAAATCTTCTGTATACCTACTTATAATATAGTTTACCTATTCTATAACACTATATTTGTTCCCAATGTAATGGTTGAATCAAACTATGCATAATGAATAATATTATAATAATATTTAATACAAAAATGTTTATTGTTTATAGATATTTATAAAATGTGTAAGCAGAAAAAAATTGTTCGATTATTTATCTTCCGATAAACACAAACATTAGAAATATTAAATGCGAATTATTTAGGTACATATACATATACAATAATAATAATCATAATGAACATATTTCACTAACTATAATATAAGTATTTAGGTCCTGTATGTTATTTTTTTTAAATTAAATATGTATATAATAAATAATAATTAATACATGTATATTCACAATACATATAATTACACTATACAGTTTAATAATACATAGATTATATCGGTGGCATATGATTTCCACAATATTATTCTACATTAGAAAGTGGTTAATAAATTAATATATCGTGCCCCTCAAATAAAAGCATAAAAAATGTTCAAACCTATGACTCGCAAAAATCTAATTAACAAAAATGGTCAAGGACTACACCTACGTAATGACTAATATAAGGGAAGCGTTTGCTCATTTAGCACCCTCCTGGCTATGCTAGTGCGTGATTATGCACATAATATTATAAACGTTTAGAGATATTATACGTAATATATTATAGTACTGGAATACATTTTACTCAAATATTAAAACATACTTACCTATTTTATCAATAAATACAGTGGAATGGAATACACCAATAGACCCAAGAAAGAAGGGCTTAAGTCAATTTTTGGCTTTTTTTTTCATATATAATTTTGTCTTGTGTAATTTTGTTCACTTTATTTTTTTGACCAAACATTATAAAAACCGAATCTACCTAAGTATTTTCCAAATAAGTGCATGAACGAATGTAGTAGGTAGTTTATGTATTTGTAAAAATGCAATTTACTTGTATTGAAAACCTTGGGACCAAAGATATTATAATTTTTGAAACGATCAACTATAAATATAAGTGTTATAATTTATTGTATATATAAAAAAATAAAATGTACAACATTTATCTTATTATGTTTTACCCCTAAAATGATGTACATCTGTAATTAGAATAAACATTATATATATACATTATGTATCTTACGACAGTAAACATAAAATTATGTAATTTATGACTGAATGAACAGTATAATCACTACACAAAAGGGTATAAGTATCAATATCGAAAGTTTAGCTTACCTTGGTAGGTATGAGAAAAGTGCCACTCATACTGGTGACGGGTGCCCGACCGGTTTCAGTCAGACACCCGTCCGATTTGGAATCGCTACATGCTGACACTGGAGCGGCGCGCTGATCAATTGCCGCCGATCTTTTACCCGGGGTACGTTCATCGCCGCCGTGATGTCTTTTCTGTAAGTCCGGTACGGACGAGGTCTTTTCCAACTGCTGCTGTTGGACAACGATCCGATACGCGTTCGGAGATGACGGCGTCGACCGGGCCACCGCGGCGGGCGGTACGAGCCCGTCCAGAGCGGCCAACCGGTCACACATCACGCGCGTCACCGCGGCTGCAATGAGTCACAAGGGCATCAGCGGCTGCGGCGAGCAGCGATCCCTGCGCGCCACAACGGCGGCGGCGGGCGACCATCCGTAAACTTCGACAGTGTGACCACGCCCAGCAACCCCGGCGTAACGATATTATTTATGACTATTATGCAATAGTCTACCGCTCCTACCATCGTCGTATATCCGTGATACAGCGAGCTTTTGGGAAGTGTATCGGAAAATACACACTATTCGAATCGCACGAAATGACGATTGCCAGCTAGTTGTTCAACTATAAGATATACGTACGCGCCAAACAGCAATTCGCTGTAGCAACAATATCGTTATAAGCCCGTACGATTCACGCTCCAGTTGAGTAGGTATTGTGAAGGTTGTACTCTTGCGGTCGCGGTCACACTGCAGCGTTCCACAGGCAGCTCCTCCCCCCGTTCGATCTCTTGCATCTCCGGTAGGTACATAACGACGAGATGAGACTATATTACACTCCCCTCCCCTTCGTTACATCAATGGGTCAACCCTTTATATGTCAGATGGGTTACGGTCGTTTTTGAGACGATGACGCGCTGTGCATATATTAAAGTAATATGCTGTGTATATTCTAAACGTGTATAGGGGTGAATCCAAGGGAAGCGGGGTGATGGGGTAATTATCCCCCCTTTGAACATATTATACTACAAAATAATGAAATAATATTAATAAATAAAGCGACCCCATCAACTAATAATTTCCAAATCGATGATTGCAAAAATGATTAGTAAGCCCTGCCCTATGGAAATGTAGGCTAAAAGTACCTACATTAGGTATTGGATACATTTTAGTTATTTAATAATTATAAAACAATACATCTACGAGCAATGATTTTTTATAAATTGTTTGGTTGCTCAATTTTTAACCTCTAAATAAGGCTACTGAGTTTTCTCACAAGTCGGTATTCAAGGGTTTTCAGATATAATAGGAAATCTATATTGGTCCTTGTCTCTTTTTTGGGAAATTTTTATTGAAGGAACCACACTTGAATGTTGCCCACCAGGTGGTTCTTATTATAAAATACGAAAATTTAAATTGTTTTATTGATTTTAAGATTTATTTCATTATACACGGATGAAAAAAAATATTTTTATACTTATTGAGTACCTATTATTGAAAACTGATTGCTAAATCTAAACGGTATACGTATTTGACAAATGTGTATTATTTGCTAGTTTGATAAATCTGACTTATACACACTATACAAACAATTTTATCCGATAAAAAATAATTTTTTATCAAAAATAATGAAAATTATTTGAACTCCAATTTAAAAACGAACTGGATTCGAAATATTATTTGAAAATAGCGTGTTGTTGAAATTTCAGTCATGAATAATCACTATATGTATATTGCCATCAAATAATTTTAGTTGTTGGTAGCAATTTTGTATTATAATAAATGATAACATATCAAAAAAAAAAAAAAAAACCAACATCGTATAATAAAATCAACTTTTTACAAAATTCTGAGCAATAAGGTCGGTCTCCGGACACATATATAAAATTAAAATATATACAACAATTACGATACATTTCCTAGAATGTCCTGTAGGTAGAGTTAAGTGAACTTCAAACTACCATTCGCATTGACCGTGTTAAAATAAAAAAAATATTTATTTATTTATTATATTTATGTAAACGGGCAAGCCCAAAAAACAAGTGAATAAGAAATACAATTAGTTATTTACAAAAAAGAAGAGTCCGCGTCGGCGGCGCGCATGAGGCGAGGAATAGAAGAGTTAAAGGAGTAATTAGTAAACGACAAGGGGATGAAGAAAGGTGGTGAGGAGCGAGTATAACGAAGAGGAATCTTAAAAGAAACCTGAAATAACAAAGAAGGTTAACTTCCGGTCTTACCGGAAATGGGGTTAGATAGGAAAAGGAGGTTAAAAAAGTGTCTGCAATCAGATAGGCTAGATTGGCTAGATAGGCGTAATTCCAGGATGATGGGGGAGTAATCGTGAGGAGAGTGAAGAATATTGAAACAGGAGACGACTAAAGCGAGAAACTTACGATGGACACGATCAATCATTATATTATAAATTATTCAGCGTTATATTATAAACACAACATTTATGTATAATTTGTATTTCCTACATTTAGATTTCCTCCCCCCCCCTTTTCTCGACCCGTTTTCATTGAAAAGACCCGGGCATGCCACTGGATATCCTCGTATTTTAATACGACGCTATATATTATATTATATTCATATTTGACATCATTACGAGTGTCTACCAATCATATATTCTATATTATGTATAAATAGTACAATGTATCCTTCGACAACCGATCCGAGTACCGATATGATAAAATGTTTTATATGATTATTATAGTACGATGATGCCACAGGCGGCAGCGTCGGCGACAGTAATAATAACAATATTGCGTCTGCGCGCCCGTAATAAATTAAAAATTTTGTAATTAAATGGAGAGCGGTCGCGCTGCGTGCGCTATTATTATTACGAGTAAACAATGGTGACTGTCCAGCAGCAAAACGTCTTTCCGCTCCGGTACGCTTCGTAGTTCATACACACACGTTACGCGACCACTGCAGCCGGCCCTAATGATATAATACAATATTAAGTAGGTGGATGCATATAATATTATTGCCGCGAGCACAATAAAACTACTTTTTGAAAAACAAACGAGTCATTAAACAAAAATATCGCGACGTTTGTGTAACGTACATTAGCTGTTGGCTTATTCGTCCCGCCAACGGATACTTGATTTTTTAACGGCGTTTATGTAGTACATAACCGACCAATTGCTATAACGTTGTCCGCAGTGGAGCACTGACGAGATAGGCTGTACTAGTGGCGTAGTTAGGGTGCCCGGATGGGATGTTATAACATTTACATTAGCATTGCATTTTTTTCAGCTAAAAGTAAGGTTAAGAAGGTCATAAACCCTCCCAATTGACAAATTTTGGCTACGCCATTATAAATTATGTTGTTAGGTTAAGTTATCTTTAAAGCGGATGTAGCGGTGTCATACTGTATCTGTACATCCCTCTAAACGCGTGTATCATTAAACAGTATTTTATTTTATGTAAGTTTAACCCGCAGATAATATCTGGCAAAATAGAATTTTTGTAAAGTAGTATATATAAAATGTTTAAATAATAAACGATTACAGTAGTGATGACGTATTGTGACAACAGATCTCCACTGCTATCGATTCAAACTTGCAAGTATAATGCAACTAAGTGACGTGCTCTCGAGGGAAGGAGGTAATTAATATTTATCTAAAACCAAATTTAGTTTTAATTCATATTAGAGCAATGCCTATACTAATATTATTTAGTCCAATTTATTCTCAGATTCTATTGGGAATAATCCTCTTATGGTTGATAAAGGTTTTATTCATTCGTATTAGTTCATATGATAGTTTATTTATTGTTTGTTATTATTAAACTATTCTCAAGGGAGGGTTATCACCCCATTACCCCTCCCTTGGATTCATCTAAGTGGTGCGCTCAAATGGATAATTCACCGAAAATCATATATTAAGTACCAATCTAACATTATATACACAAACATATGAGTATACATTGCAATATCTCCGGAGATAATTAAGATAATCAAATTCTGTTTTTTTTTTTCATAATATTATGATTATGCAGCAGGCTGTAATCGCATTTGATAATTGATTATTATTTTTATGGCTAGTTTACTGTAAACTTTTTTTCTTGGAACTTAAAAAAAAAAAATTAAAATTCACAAATTGAATGAAAATAAAATATTGGTACGTCAACATTTTTAGAAGAATTATACATGTACTCTATAAAATGGCTATCTTCAATTTTTTTGAAAATAATAAAATAAAAAGTTTTTTTTTAAAATGTTTCACTAACACATACAAAATTAATATACAAACTAATATTTGTAGTTCTTATCCCTGCGAGTAAAATAAAGAAAAAAAATGTCCCACGATAGTAAAGACGGGTGCAGCCACTATAACAGGTGAGAAATTTGAAAGGTATAGGATATAGACGGGAATTTAATATTTATCTGTACGAACCAATTGCTAACGAAAAAATACTATTCTGAACGGAGTTAGGTTGATAGTATTGTTCCATCAACAATATGTCATATTATGGTAAAATAATAACATATGCATTAAACATTTTCTTTAATAATATTTATTTAATATTATACCTATTTTATCGTTTTCCCCACGTTTTTTTCTCGGGTTTCCCCATTTTTTGGGAAATCAAAAAATAAGCTCCCTCAAGTGCCTTACAAGTCAGATTTCCTATGAGCAAAAGTATTATCATTGTAAATCTAAGCAAAATTGCAGGTAGAAGAGTTGTTCAGATAAAAATAAAAAAACCAACATCATTGTAAAACCAATAAATTTCCTCACTCTGCTCAGAAACTAAAAGTGCTGAGGATGGGGGCAGCCAATGTTGTAAGTGGGAAGTTGGGGAGGTAGGATACATACCGGGTAATCCATTTCAATAGGTACAATACACTCATTATCTCAGAAAATATTAACTTTTTCCAGAATTTATTTTTTAGGATATTTAAGAAAAAAGCTGCTCTACAATTTTATATTTATATTATTGTTTGTCACCCTTAATTTTGGGGGTAAAACAACTACCTACTTTTGATTTTCAAATAGCAACCTATATTTAAAAAGTCCATAAATAGATGGATTATCAGTTAAAATAAATGTGAGTGTTGACATTTTTGATTTCCGTCAATCCGTTGACGAAATATTCCACTTTTAGAAGAATAGTGGAGTATCATTTGTGTGGCGTGTTAATAATTCAACCTACCAAATAAAAATGAATATAAAAACACGAAAATATCAAACAACTATAAATGCCTTAAAAAATATTTAGAATGATTTGAAGATTTTACCACGTTTACAAAAGACCAATATAAGTTATAGCTTTTTGAAGTTCTAATATTATGTGTATATTATATTATGTTAAATAACTAAATATTATCTTTATTAAAGTATGATTATCGTAGATGAATACATACTTATTTTCATCCTAGGGTTCGTGAGGTCGAATCCGTGTTTCGAATATATTTTTTTTGCATTTTTGACTTTTACTTAAACAAGGAAAAAAACAAATGCATTTTGAGTATACCTAGAGACCCAAGCCATCGCTCGCTTGGGCTATTTTAATCGCAAAATACCCCTCGATTTGTTGTATAAACTACCAAAAATCTTGCTCCGATGTATCAAGTGTGGCTTATTTTCTGAAAGAAAATTTTATCTCCATGGTAACTTGGGAGGTCATTTTTTGATTTTCCCAATAAATGAAAAAAAATCGTGAAAAACAGAGAAAAAACGGGAAAATGTACAAAATACATTAGTAAAATATTTAATTTTTTTTTTCTATAGACAACTTTTCTACCAGCAATTTTTGTTCGATTTACAATGATAGCTCTTTTTCCAGGAAATGTGAAAAACCGAGAAAATCGATACAATATTAAACAAATATTATTACAGATAATATATAATGTCTATTTAATTATTTTACCATAATATGACATACATATATTGTTGACAAAGCATCACTATCAACTGAACTGCGGTCAGAATCGTTCTTTCGTTAGCAATGGACTATCGTTGTGTTAGGTTAGGTTAACCGACCCCATTATCCTAGGATGTTCTATTTTTATATCATTTTGATATCAAATTTTGACAAAAATTGTTTTAGTAAAAAAATATGTGGAACAAATCTAGTTACTGGTTCATACAAATTGTTTCACTATAATATATATTTTACTATAATATGACATATATATTTTTGAAAGAGTAAAACTATTAACCGATTTTTGCTCAGAATCGTTTTTTATTTTTTTTATTTTTCCTTACAGGTATACATTAAATTTCTCTCTACTCATCTACAACAGTGGTCCACCCATCATGCGAAGTATGTCCTTTTTTTTCTGATCAATAATTAATAATACATTTAATTATTTCGCCCCCTTCATGGTTTAGGTCTGGATACGTCACTGACTTCACTCAGAATCGTTTTTTGTTAGTAATGATTAACCACTGCGTACTGGAGGTATACATTAAATTTCCCATTTACCTTCCCAACTTTACACCTACAACAATGGCCCACTCACCGTTTTTTTTTTTGGCAATTACCAAAAATAGTGTTGTAAGTGGGCGGTAAAAGTGCCCCTGAGCGCCATAAATGTAAATATGTCTGTCTAGACGTACTTTAACAGCCATGTCTCATGCTAATATTATGATGAGTGTGGAGCATAATGCATAGATCATAATTACTTGTATGGCTGTGATGTGTATGTTATTAGTTATTAATTATTATAATATTTAAACAAAATTGATTATTTATACATTATACATAAAATTATAATTATATATTGTCGTGTACCTACTCGTTCAGTTACATATCAATATCGTTGTTGTTTATTGTATTATATTCAAAAATCATACATTTTACCAAATAACAGAAAATAAAGGGTCGATTATCGATTGTAAAAATTTGTAGAAAGAATCTGCTCTATTTTTACATTGTATGAGAAGCATCGATGACTTCCTGTTATAATGTTTATAACGATAATTATATATTTTCAGAAGAAAAAACAAGACCTGTCTTACCAATATTAACCAATGGGAGGAGGGAGTTTTACAACCTTAGCTTAATTTATAATTAGCAAAAAAAAATAATAAGAGAGGTTTACAATCTTAAACCCCCTGGCCACGCTACTGTCAATACACCTGACCAATAAACATATCTTAAATATTATAACATGTACCATTGGCATAAGTAACTAAAATACCAAATTTTGAGGGCTCTAAAATTATTTAACACTCATAGACTCTATCATATCTTTAAAAAATCCGATATTTGATTTTTACTAATATAATTTAAATATATATACTATATGTAGTTAATTTATTAAATTGAGCACCATTTTTTTCAATAAATATTGGGTCTGATATCGGTTTAAAAAAACCAATAACTGATTTTCCGCCATTTGATATAGGCTAATATGCTGATACTCATTGCTCACCCCTAATATAACTACTTATTCCTAAACGAAAAATTTGTATGAGGAAGACTTTATTCAAGGAGAATAAATCTAGATGAATAACAAATATTTATTAAGTATAGGTATTCTTCCAGTTTAAATCATAAATTTAATAATATATAGTACCTATCTACATACCTATTAATTTTTAATACTTTTAACTTATAATGAATAAGTGATTTTGAATACATGTTTAAATCATCTTTTTCATATTGTGTAGAAAAAAAAAATATGAAATTAATTTGAAAATAAAAACAAGAAAATATTAACATGTCATTGTTCACTTTCACTTCCTTCTTTGGCAGGTTATAGGTCATATTGGTATCTTAGAAGGATCAATAAACATTCCAATAATTCCCATTCACTCTCTCCTAAAACTTAAATATGAAAATGTGTTGTATCAATGCTATGCTAATGTTGTTTAGATAATTTAATATAGAATAATATTTATTTAAATTATTTATTAGAATATAAACGACGTGTGGCAATTACAAAAACAAAAACTTAAATAATTGATTAACAAATAGTGAAACAATAATAAATATAAGAGATTATAACAATAGTTAATAGTATAAGAGTAAAATATTATAGGGTTAGGTTAGACAAATGTCAATCCAGGTTCGCCAGCCTAAGCATCCTATGCAACGGATGATTAGACTTATACGAAGTTGAGTGAGCTGGAATATAAAAAGGAGTTTAGTTCCTGGTATAATATGAGGGAACTTTAAAAGATAAACTAGAGAGAAGGTCGGGAGCATCAAGTAAAGTTTTGATTTTATAGAATATTTTTATATCATAGGCATATAGTAGGAATTGAGCTTTATTAAAGTGACTAGAGATAGAGTTAACAAAGAGGAAAAATAAAAGAGGACTTAGATGACTTCCTTGTGTTATACCAGATGTTACATTGACCAAGTTAGACAAAATACTGTTAAGTTTGACAAATTGTTTCCGGTCAGAGAGGAAGAAATGAATAATGATAATAGTGGATCACCAGTCCCAATACGGTCAAGCTAATTGGAAAGTATATTGTGGGGAACAGTGTCAAATTCTTTAGAAAAATCAGTTAAAATGACATTTACCTGGTCATTATCTTCAAAGTCGTCTAAAATAAATGAAGAAAACAACACACTACTGGTAATCGTACTCTTTCCTTTACGGAATCCATGTTGCTGCGGAATAAGAATACGGTTCAGACTTGGACCTATTTGATTAATGACAAAAGATTCAAAAATGTTGGCAATGTGAGATGATATAGAGATAGGCCTGTAATTAATGACAGAGAACAGATCACCCGATTTAAAGACTGGAGTCACAGACATGATTTTCCAAACTGAGAGGAAATTCATTTTCTGAACAAAATGGATAATGGGAAAAATAGATCGAAGTGACATTAGAAAAGTAAATGAGTTGAGATTCCATCAGGGCAGCTGGACAACATAAGTTTTAACTTATGAAGAGCTAAAAAACGTCATTAAGAGAAAAATTACAGTTGGACATTTAGAATTAGTTTAGAATTAGGACAAAATAAACTTATTGATTTCAAAAAAATCCGCATTTTTAAAATCACGGTACGAGAAGGAGTCAAATATTTTCGGTAATTTAGAGAGAGGGCGATTCAGTATTAAAGGAGGATGGTGGGAGTGTCAATAAGCACTAAGGGAAGTGTAGCACTACTAATAGAAAGATCCCTGGAGAAAGCAAAATTATATTTAAGAATTCAAGAATTATAAATGGTATTACATTGAAAGAACTTAAGGAACGAGAAAGAATCAGTTATAGTGAAACCAGGTGTTGAGACTCCAGTCACAAACAATCCGAGATTGTCATTGGTCCAGTTGATATTAGGTAAATTGCAGTCACCGCAAATGATAATAGAGTGTGGAGAATACAAAGAATGTCCTCAACTGAAAATATATGTAACTCATACAACTGAACGAGACTATATGGAGGGAAGTAAACACCAAAAATATTAAAAAGAACAATATTATTTATTTAGGTTAGTTATACATTAATTATATAAATATTAAATATATTATATTAAAGTTATTTTCAACAGACAAATTAACAATTAATGTAATTGTCTTACCAATTAATCAGCAACTTTTAATATAATTTTGCCACTACTTTTGTCAGTTGAAAAATGCTCTAAAGCTTCATTTACTTGTTCAAGTTTTAATGTTTCTGATACATTTGGACTTATCATTCCCATTTTACACATTGTTAATACATCTTTAACAGATTGCCTGGAAAAAAATTGTAAACATAATTTTGAGGAGTATGTTATAATATTGCACTGATAGACACAATCGTCATTATTGACAAAACCAATAAACAGTTTACTAGGTACAAGTAGTTTCCCCTAAAATATGTGATTACTTGTTCATCAGAAATTTGGTCATGATGGCATTTTAGTAGATCATAACAAAAAACAATAAAAATAAAAACTCATAAATGGGAATCACCAAATTAAATTGAAAGCAATTTTATATTTTATTTGTCTTGTAGATCAAGGTGGAAACATTTTATTTACTTCAAAACAGTTTTTTAAACTTGTTTTTGCGTACCATTATATGTATTATAGATCTGTCACGTACCATTTAAGACTAAACATTTAATTATTGATAATGTCTACATTTATTTCAAAATGTGAAAGACAGAAAAATACTATGATACAATTAATAAAAAAAAATAGCATTAGTTCCATTAAAAACATTTCTATAAATAATGATTAATTAATTTCTAGTTCTGCTACCTTGCGGCTTTCTACATAACCTACCAATGATACATATATTATAGTTTGACATTCTTTGTTTAGAATGTTCTTAAATCAGTTTATATTTATATTTTTATAATTGTACTAATCTACAGTAATTTTTTATCATGAACCAGCAATTTTTTGGTGGATATATTTTCTGTTCTTTTTTTAAAAAAAATTATTGTGGAATCGTTTAAGCTTTATTTTAAACCCACTTTTACTTTATGTACTTACCTTAAATAAGTATCTACTTTATTTTTTAAATAGGAATTCCTCTTTTTGAACACGGATAGATAATATGTTTTTAGAAATGTTGATATGTATAACACTAATATCAAATTTACTATTTATAAATCATGACCATTTAAAGTTTAGACTGGAAGAGTAGGGAAAAGTTATCAATTTATCATTTAAAAATAGATAATCAATTTATTGCTCTTCAGTTTTGTTTATTCCTGTGCCGGTCTACAAGTTTAATGAGAATTATTATCCTTAACAGTTTAATTTTGCATTATGCATAAACATTATAATTTATCTTGAAATTGAAATTGTATATTTAAGGCATATATGTGTGTAAACTAAATACACACACACATTATCAAGTTTAAATACAATTTTTAGTAAACATATAATGATTAAGTAGACAATATTATAAAAAAATTTAAAAGAAAAACTTACAATTAATATTTGATTTAAAATAGTCTATTTTCATAGCATTATTAAAAATTTAATTTTAGTTGATCATTAATAATTTATTGTTATAAAAACTGTTTTGTTAGTAAAAATGTAATTTTTTTTTACTCTATTAATACTTTGAAAATAATTTTAAAGAAATATTATAGTGTGAAATTTTAATATATAAACAAAGTGCCCCAAGAAATCTGTTACTTAAAATAACTTTTGTTCTATTTAATATATTATTTGTTTAAGTTATTAATGTGCTTCTGTAGTACGTGAATATTTACTGTTTTAAAAATAATTTTGTTCCGGTTTTTCCAAATTATTTTGAAAACCCTTCGAAAAATTAAAAAATGCATCAACTAGATAGAATTTACTTTCAAAGGTTCTACACTTGTAACAATAGAGCAAGATTTCTAGTAGAAAAATTGTTTACACGCAGAAAACTAAACTCAAAGGCAGAACTCTTAAAATTAAAATTAAAATGCTTTACATGTACTAAGACACTTAACTTGGCCAAATAATTTGCAGAATTAATAAGCCATACATCAAAAAGCAATTGTAATAATTGACTTTTTGATTAATTTAATTGTATAAATTATATATTTTAAATCATTTGATTTAAAAATAACATTTACCTATATATATTTATTGAATGTGTACGATAATTATTCAATGATACGCCAATTAAACTAAATGAAGGACGGCGGAGTAGTTCATTAATATTTAACTGAGGAAGTTGTAATGAATTAAAACCTGCTACAACTACTTTTCCTTCATGACCAACACTGAAATAAAAAATATATTTGTTATATATGTATATTTTTAAATAATAAAATTTATTTTAAAAATATTATACCAATCCAATGCCGATGGGAATATTTCTCCGCCAACAGCATCAAATACTACATCTACTCCTTTACCTTCAGTCTCTTTCAATACTCTTTTACATAAAGATTCTGGATTTTTAATTTCAAATGAAATAAAAGCTCCTTTATCTCGTACAATAAATGTATTTTTCTCAAGTCGGCAAGCTCCAATTACCTTAAATATTAAACTGCATTATAATTGTATTATTTAATACATACAGAAATAATTTTATTTATATTTTATTAAGTTAAACTGTTTAAAATATAGCACAATAAAGAAGTAGTAGAATATTAATTTGTTAATACTCAAATTAATGATAAGTAAATCCACATTAATCAGTAGTAAAATAATCCCTACCCTGAATAAAGTAATTTATATTAATTTAACTATTACATGTATATTTAGTATAACACTATGAGTTTTTAAAAATAAATAATTGATCATAGTGTTAATTTACTTTCAGTTGATAAAATTAGTTTATAAAAATGAATTTCTAATATTTTAACTGTCCAAAATTGGCAGCGCAGTCATAATGAAAAAGTGTAAATAATGCATCAAATCAAAAACGCTCTTAGAAATGAAAAAAAAAAACAAGTTCATGAAAAAGTAAAATTAAAATGCATTGAAGCTCATACTCTAATTCAGAATATGATATGGCATACTACATTATTACATTCTTCCCAGTTTAAATTGTGCATGCATCTGTAGTATTTATTACCTTAGCTTTACACATATTAGCAGCTATATCTACAGCAGCTAAACCTAAGCCTCCTGCAGCAGCAGTTACTAAAACAGTTTGATCTTTTTTTAAATTAGCACGACGAGCTAATCCTATTAATGCTGTTGCATAACTGTCTCCAATAGAAACAGCACTTTCATATGATAACTCTGAAGGTATCCCAAAAACATCCTAAATAAAAAGAAAATATTTAATTGTGTTAAGTATGGTTGCTTAATAAAAATTATATACTTTTTCATGAACAATGCATTCTTCAGCAAATCCGCCCATAATTTCTTTGTTTAAAACCAATACTCGATCTCCAACTGTAATATCTTCTTCTTCGTCACAGGAATTCATTGCTTTGGATTCTATCACTTCACCAACAATTTCAAACCCAGGAACAATTGGCAAATTTGGTTTCATTTCAGATGATCCAGAACAAATTAAAGCATCGGACATGTTTACAGCACAATACTTTACAGCAATCCTAAGCTGAAAATATAATTAATTGGTTAAAAATTGAACTAATTAACTATTTATTATATTTACTTGGCCTTCTTTAAGCTTATCGGCTATTTTAAAATCTTCAATAACTAATGGTTCATTTGGGATTTTTAATACAGCCGCTCTCGTACATTTTGAACGGACATTTCGTATTCTATGATTAAAATTTATTTTATGACGAAGACAAGAAAAAAATTTCATTATATTTTAAAGTGTATTTTAATATTAAATAGTAATAGTACAATATTGTTTGAAAAATAGTTATTCAAATTATTTTAATACTTCAATATACAAAAAATAAATATCTTCACAAACTAAACCACTACAATATCTTCATCGACATTGTTTTTATTTATCTATGGATATCTTAAATTCTTAACCTTCGTTATCATAAAGCCGGTTGTAAATTTTATTGTTAGCAGGGGGCAGTCGGTTTGGGACAGTTGTCCAAAAATGATAAGAGCTGAATACTAAAAATAATAGTGTTTTTATTCGTATTTATGGGTACACAATCTTTAATTAACATTAACTCTGTAACCATAAATAAAGTTGTATTGTAATTAGGCAATCGCTCTTCTAAATAACATAAAATAAAATAAAATTATAACCATAAACTTATGGGATAATGATTATAATTTGTAATTTGTATGTAATAGGTTCATCCTGTTAAGATATATTGTTTCTTGGTTATATTATTATAGTATAATATATTTTAATATTTAAATGGAAATTTTTGTTGAATTAACAATATATTTCCGAGAATTTGTAAGTTTTCATTGAAATTTACAACTTAATTTTAAACAAGTATTAATTAATTTCTTATAGTCTACATTAATAATCATGGAACCTTTCTCTAGAATTTCCACCCACCAACCAACGAGGTCAAATAAATTTAAAATTAATACTAATATTTTTAGCATCTACCTTAAGATGTTATTGGTAATTTCGTTGTCAACGGTTGGCAGTATATTTTTGTTTTCGTATTATTATTAATCTACAGAATCTTTTCATTTTTGGACAACTATTGATGGCCCTATTTTTACTTTAGTCTTATGGTGGGTCGCGGGTAAGCATTCCAGTTATCATAAACTTCCAACTTACAATAGAGCCATAGAGGGCATATTATTTATAATATGTGTGGACAACTGTTTATCAGCTTATCGCCCGTAAATTGTGATCATGATTATCATATGATTTTATCACAGAATTTTCCTACTATAGATAAAAAATGTTTAAAAATTGATATTCTATCATTGGCAAACTTATAATCAGACTATTAATTTTAAAGTGTATAATTATTATTACACTGAATAATGCAACTATAAATTAAAATTATAAGACTAATATTTGCTTTAAAATGGGTCTAAGTTTGTTAAATATTATTTTGAAATCAAATATTCGGATACATAAACCCAAACTACCCAATATTTATTTTAGTAAACAGCAGGAATTAAAATGTGTTAGATTTATGAGTAACTGTTTGCAAAAAACACCGATTGATACATCTAAAAAGGTAAATTTTTTAATTAGTTGTTTTGTTTATAAAGGAATGTAAAAATAATATGAAATATGTAATTCTAGTAATTATTTCTTCTTATTATTATTTTTTTATTAATTTTTAGTATACAACAATAAAAAAGGAAATAATTAATATAAATAAAGTTCTACTAAGATATACACATTCTCAAAGGAACGCAAATAATGGTAAAAAACCTGACGATCCAAGAAATGAGATGATGGTAAAAGTTACAATTGGTTTATTAACTGGATATATGATGCTATATATTTTAAGTCTATTATTACCCAATACATCAAATCCTGAGGTAAATACATAGTATTTTAAAGTGTGAATAGTTTATATTGCATAGTAAGTTTTTAAATTTTGGTAATCATTATTTTTAGGATATGCGGTATATATCTTGGAATGAATTTGTACATTTAATGTTAGCTAAAGGTGAAGTAGAAGAAATAATTGCTCGTCCTGATTTAGATATTGTAACAATAAAATTACATGAAGGTGCCATTATTAAAGGACGAAAAGTAAATAAAAATTAATAAATAGTTTCTTTATTTTTACTTAAATTTTAACCTGAATATACAGGAAGCATATTTTATTTTTTAAAATTAAATAGTTTATATAATATTTAGTTGTTCCTTTAGATTCTGAGTAGAGTAAGGAAGCAATTTAAATTAGCCATCAGTTAAGCATTTAAAATGATGAGTGTTTTATTTTAGGTTGATCAAAGAACATATCATATGAATATAGCTGATTTAGAAAGGTTTGAACAAAAATTAAGAGAAGCTGAAGGAAAATTGGGTATAAAACCAGGACATGGAGTACCTGTAGTGTATGATCGATCCCTCAATGCACCTGAATTAATTGTGTTTTTGTTTTTTGCTGGTATTCTTGCATTGATATACTTTGCTCGTCCAAAAGGTGCAAAGTCACCAATCAGCTTAGATATGTTTGTAGGTATTTTAAATAGGTTTATAAGTTTGTATTATTGAATTATTGTATTAATATTAATAAGATATAATTTATTATAATTTTAATTTTTTTTAAATATTTTAGTCTCAAATAAAACGAGCAAAATATACATTAGTTGATCCATTGATTGGTCAAGGTAAAGGAGTTCGTTTTAAAGATGTTGCTGGTCTTAAAGAAGCAAAACAAGAAGTCATGGAATTTGTTGACTATTTAAAAAAACCTGAACGTTATCAGAGTTTAGGTGCAAAAGTTCCTAAAGGAGCATTACTTTTAGGGCCACCTGGTTGTGGTAAAACAATGTTAGCTAAAGCTGTTGCAACAGAATCAAATGTACCTTTTTTATCTATGAATGGTTCTGAATTTATTGAAATGATTGGAGGACTAGGAGCTGCTAGAGTACGGTTAGTTAATAAAACAAATTACTATAAACATTTATTATTATTATTATTTTTTTTTGCATTTGAAACAAAAATTACAGGGACTTATTTAAAGAAGGTAGAAAAAGATCTCCATGTATAATTTATATTGATGAAATTGATGCTATTGGCCGTAAAAGGTCTTCAAGGGGTCCAGAAGGAGGTGCTGATGAAGGAGAACAAACATTAAATCAATTGTTAGTTGAAATGGATGGTATTGGATCTAAAGAAGGAGTTTTAATGCTAGCTTCAACAAATAGAGCAGATATATTAGATAAGGTATACTTGAATATTTTCTTTACCGATAATTTGAATGTATATAAATTTGAAAATAACTTAAATAATAATTGTGTATTGTTGATGAATAATTTTCTAGGCTCTTTTAAGACCAGGACGTTTTGACCGCCACATTCTTATAGATCTTCCTACTTTAGAAGAACGTAAAGAAATTTTTGAGCAACATTTAAAAATCAAACTAGATAAAGAACCTAAATATTATTCACGAAAAATGGCCCATTTAACTCCTGGATTTAGTGGTTAAATTAATACACACAATACTTATTTTTTGTTTTATAATTTATTAATTATTATTGTACATATTCATTAGGTGCTGATATAGCTAACGTTTGTAACGAAGCAGCATTGCATGCTGCCAGGAGTAGTCAAAAAGTAGTTCTTGAAGCTGATTTGGATTATGCAGTTGAGCGTGTTGTTGGAGGAACAGAAAAACGATCTCATGCAATTTCTCCTGACGAAAAGAAGATTGTTGCTTATCACGAAGCAGGACATGCTCTAGTTGGATGGCTATTGCCAACAACTGATGCTCTCCTTAAAGTTACTATTGTGCCTAGAACTAATGCAGCATTAGGATTTGCTCAGTATACACCTACTGAACGATATTTACTTTCAAAGCAAGCTGTAAGTTTAAAATATATTGGTAATATTAAAATCAACGAGATAATGTATGAAAATATTTGTTTTGAGTTATAAATTAGGAATTTTATGTAAAATGATTATAGTCAGCAAAAATACTTTTGTAAATTGTATTAATATGTATAGTAAGAGACAAAGAAAAAGAAAGGTTTAATATATTGACCCTGCCTACAGTGACCAAATAAAAATAATGAAAAGAGATGTATGTGGAAAGAAGGGAAGAAGAAGACCAAAAAGGAGGTGATTGGATATAGTTAAAAATAATAGAAAGATGGTGTATATGAGGACAATATGAGGGATTGGGTCAAGTAGAAGTTTAGGATGAGAGTAACTGACTCCTAATGGTTGAAATGAAGGAGAAGAATTACATTTTAAATTATATTTTTAACAAAGATACTTTTTGTGCTTAGTTTTCAAAATTATGTTTAGCCTTTGATTATAGATGGAAGCCATTTTTATTTTTTATTATTAATTACCAATATATTTTGGTATATATCATCTTGTTTTAATTTAATGAAGGTTGATATGGTTTTCTCTTTTTCAGGATCTTTAACATTTACATCTACCATATTATTTTTAATATTTTCATTGGTCTTGTTTTTTAAAATATTTCTCAGTAATTTCTTCCATAATTTTATTTAATTCTTCTTTATTTGCAATATATTTTCTTTTAAATAATTTATTGTAATCATCCAACTTTATCTATACTTTGAAATAATGGTGTATGTTATAATACTTTTTGTTATTGAAAGTGAACTAATAAATTCATAAATTTCTCAACTACTCTTGTAATTGGTATTTAACTTTTATATTTTGTCTTCAACTAGACTCAAAAGTTTCCATATTCATTCTACAGTAGTTGTAAAATTTGTAAGAATCATTTCTTAGTGTATGAAATTAACAATATTTTTAAATTAAAACATATTTTAGCACCACAACAACATGGATTTCGCAATAAAAAATCATGTCTTACCAATTTAATAACTATTAAACATCATATAATTAAATCTTTTTCTAATAATCAACAAACAGATGTTGTTTATACAGATTTTGAAAAAGCCTTTGATAGAGTAAACCACCCTTTATTAATCAGTAAACTACAGGAAATCGGCTTTGCCAATCCCCTATTATCATGGTTTAATTCATTCCTAAGTCAAAGAATCCAATTTGTCAAATATAAAAACTTTATATCGACACCTATAAACGTAATTTCTGGTGTCCCTCAAGGCGATCACCTTTCCCCTCTCCTTTTTAATTTATTTATAAATGATGCTGTATCATCCATTTCACACTCCAACATTTTATTATTTGCCGACGATGCAAAAATTTACAAATCTATTACTTCCCCCGATGATATTAAACTTCTTCAAAGTGATTTAGCTTCATTTAACGAATGGTGCATTTCAAATAGTCTTTCATTAAATATTGATAAATGCCAAATTGTTACCTACTCCAAAAAGCACAATCCCTTACATTTTAATTATCATATATGTGACATTACTATTATTCAATGATCATGTATCAGCGATTAAAAATAAAGCTTTATCTGTATTTGGTATGATAAAAAGAAACTGCTCTGATTTTCGTGATCCACTTGCTCTCAAATGCCTTTATACCTCACTAGTCCGTTCTTTATTAGAATACGCTCCAATAATTTGGAATCATAACAATGTAGGACATAATGATCAACTTGATAAAGTTCAAAATAAGGCCCTCAGATTTTTATGTCATACATGTAATATTCAAAGAACTCCTCACTCTGGCTACGATAATATTTTAAAATTGTTAAACTTAGAATCTTTAAATGTACGGAGACATTTATCATACAATACGTTCCTCACCAAATTGCTAAATAATGAGATTGATGATTCATTTTTATTAAGTCAATTAAATTTAAAAGTTAATAGCCACCACACTTGTAACAATAATTTATTTTATATTCCTCATTCATCTAAAAAGTTTACGTTATATGAACCCATAAATATTTTAATGTCTTCGGAAAATAGTTAATTATTTTATTAAACATTGAATGTATTTTTATTATTATATTCATTATTATTATTATTATTATTATTATTATTATTATTATCATTATCATTATTATTATTACTATTATTCGATATATTAATCTTTTCATTTTTTATTATGTTATATTTTATTATTTTAAATTGTATTATATTATTGTTATCTATACAAATATATTGTGAATTGGACTTTTGTCCGTATTAATAAATAAATAAATAAATAATAAATAGAAATCAGTAGCGGATCCCCAAGGTGGGGCAATGGGGTAATTTGCACTCCCCCCCAAACACCGTAGTGTAGTAATATGTTTTGGTTAATAAGGTCTTTTAATTTACTATATTTGCATTTTTGTTCCCCACCCAAAAAAAAAAAAAAATGAGCTCTGAATCCGCCCTTAATTACAGTAATTATTTTAAGTAGGAACTATAATATAAAATGTATTTAATTTTATTGATAGTTAAATACTAAATGCAACAGTTTATGTTTAGTTATTTGAAAAAATGTGTTTGGGACTTGGCGGAAGAGTAGCTGAATCAATAGTTTTTAACAGTATTACGACTGGAGCTCAAAATGATTTAGACAAAGTTACTAAAATTGCAAACTCTCAAGTATATTTAAATATTATTATTTATGTAATATAATTTTAACAAACTAAATTTTAACCTTAAGGTACGTCAGTATGGCATGAATGAACAAATAGGGTTATTATCTTTTCCTGAAGATACTAAAAATAGTGTACGACCATATAGTAACAAACTAGCTGCACTCATGGAAACTGAAGTTTCTCGATTGGTTGCTAATGCTTATTTTAAAACAGAAAAACTACTTAAAGAAAATTACAACAAACTAGAATTGGTGAGTTTTGGTATATTTATGAACTGATTATAATTTATGTTTGTAATTAAAAGATAATTATTTAAACATTTAAATGTTTCTGGTTTAAAATCAGGGAAACATATAAACAAAAAAAAAAACCTGATTTTTTTCATATTATTCAACTAGAATCATTTTTCAAAAACAAGTTTTAACTACTTTAATAGATATATTCAATTTAAAAATATATTGTTTTTATATTTCCTGAAAAAGTTGCTTTTGTTTCATATATTACTCTGATTATAAGTCGATGTTATAATCTGTTATAAAGTTTATTTGTGTATCTTATTTAAATTTAAAAATGATTGTTATAATTGTTTGATTTTAGATTGCAGAAGAATTGTTGCGAAAAGAATCAATCAATTATGATGAAATGGTTAAATTAATAGGTCCACCTCCAAATGGTGAGAAACGTGCTATTGAATCATATGAATTTAATATACCTATTGATACTAAAACTAAAGATTCTTAAAATCATTTTTATTATTATTTAATAATTGAATGTAATAAATTTAATTTGATGTTGTCTCTGTACAGTAGTTAATAAAATAAAATAAAAACTGAAACAGTTATTTTCAAAATTATAATTTGACATATTTTTTTATTGTGCTGTGCTTTACAACAAATTTGCATTCAGAAGGGACAACTGAGTGCCATTAGTGTTATTATTGGAGTGAATTGACCTAATATTAAACTGATACTTATATTTTGAATTTTACATGTATTTTTCGATGACTTTAATTAGACTATTCCACCTGCTTATTTTTATTAGTATATTTGTGTTGGTTGTATTTTATAATAAGTATCTTCAAATTGACCAAAGAATAAAAGATGGTCCTATAACAGTATCATGCATTCACGCGCTATTCTGTTAAGATTTGATGTTTCATTTGGTCTTTTATACCTAAGAGTTTTTACAATTATGAAATAGTACACTGTACATCAGTTGAAATATTTAAATCGTTTTAGAAATATTAAATTATTTTTTTAAGACTTGACATAATAAAAATTAAAAACCATAAAATAATAAAATATAATAAATCATATTATTAAACCTATATTAATTATGATAATGTTATTATAAATAAAAATTAATATTAATGGGGCTTGTGAAAAAAAATATATTTGATTAAATCCACGATTCTTATTGAAATGAACAAGGTAACCTCAGAAATGACATTAATTTTTTATCCTGATTTTTGAATTCTTCACAAATTGAGTTAAATAAACAATAAATTTAAAAGTATTCAAAACGATCGGTAATGGCGGGAATTAAATGTATCTTACCCAGTTTCTGGTTTAGTGGGTTACTACCAAACTATAGATAATATGGTTACGTAATGACCCATGTGTGCTGTAGGAAAAACCTACACAAAATGTTCTTATCAAATTTTACCAAAACCTGCCTACTACAAGATCTTTCAATGGATTTATCAGTGTATCATTTTTCAGTATTATTACTATCATACTATTAACATCCCTTGAGCGCTGGCTTTGAGCAGGTTTTTGCCATTATTGATAAGAACACTAGAAACCATTTTTTCGAGGATTGTTACGCAACCATAGTATCTATAACCGTAGTTATCACTGTGACTGAATCATAGATAATGTAATTATATAGAGTAAAATCATGCCTTATCATGTTTCTTAGATTGATAACGTTATTAACACGTGCTCATCAGTATAGTAACCTTAGTATACCTGATGTTTGGTGGAACACATTGGAATTTGTATCAAAATTTCACGACATGCATGAATTAGGTAAATTTAAAAAAATCATAAATCCTAAAATAATGAAAAAAAAAGCTATTTTTTCAATCATATAAAATTATAGAATTAGGAAAAAATGTTGATAACCCCCAATTATAACCTTATCAATTTTATATATATATTGCTTAGAATCACTTTTCATTTGTAATGATTGAAACCACCAATAAACCTGTCCAAGATCTATCTCTGAAGATACTCATTATCTTTTTTAAATATTTTGATACCTATCTTTATTACCTTGTCAAAACCTTTCTGTAGGTATTAGCATTTAGCAAATGCAAAGTGCAATACTCGAATAAAGATTATTTGGATGAACAAAAACTACTTATTAAATGAATAATAAATTATTCGAAGGAACTAACGAATAATTTGGTAATTATTACTCAATAATCGTTACCGGCCATTATTATGTATTGCGTACTACCTATCATGAAGTAAAAGAGTACTATTATTTTATTTAATTTAAATTGTACCTAACCAATTTCTGAATCTACAATAGCGGCTTCACATAAAAATACATAATAAATTAATGTAATTAAAGAGCTGATATTTTGAACGGGTGTAGCCACTGTGTAGGTGGGTAATTGGGAAAGTAGGATATAAAGTTACCTATTTAATTGATACCTGTAGCCAATAATAAACCATTACTAACGAGAAACGATTCGAAAAGAATTTCGATTATACCAGTGGCATAATTTGGTAATGTTTGTGGGAGGTACGAAATGTTTTCACATAAATTTACTAAACGTATCTATAAGCAGTAATCAGACAGAATATTGCAATGATTTTTATATATTTTTAAAATATAAATTTGCTGTATGGGATGTAATTTGAAATCATGGGCTCATTGGGCTCATGACCAATTAGGTGGTGGTACCCCCAGGCCTATCCATCAATGGTGTATGATGATCTATAAGTTTAATGACAATAATATTATCTCATCATAAAAATGTATATAATTCATTGTCATTATTTTTTTTTCTTAGACTAATTAGGCCTTTTGCAAGATTATACCTAAGACGTGGATTAAAGTAGCAAACAATACAAATACAAATAACAATGACGATGCATTTTTAATTCAAAACTGATCGTACAATACACATTTCATAATACTCCAGGCGTCACATTCATTTATTTATTTATATATTTAAAGTAGTAAAGTCTAAAACTAAGTTAATAAAAAATAATTAAAAACATAAACATTAATTCACTAGATAGTGAAATGTGTGCAAGACTATTCTCTGTCCGGTCACTAAGAGTACGGATTCTATTACCAAGTTGCTACATCTAATAATTTAAGACCGTGATTTTCAATAAAATATTCGGGGTTGACATTCCTAGGTAAAATATTTTTCCTCGTCACGTAACCATTAGTTATATCTATAGTTGTGATAAATAATATAATTTATTAATTTAAAATCATGAACTAAAACAAGGTCTTATATATTATATAAAAGATAATATTATCTTAATTTATGTTTAAAATGTTCAAATTCTTCAAAAACCATATACATTACGTTTATATCATAGAGTAATATTAATTTATACGGTTTCTTGTTTATATGTATAGATAATATATTATATTATCTTATATATTTTATATTATCTATGTTTATATACGAAAGTCTAGAACCTAGAGTAGTACTACTTTATAGTCTAGAGACAGCCCACGAGCGAATTCCTTATCAACTATAATTGTAATATTTTTTATCAAATAATCTAATATTATGCATGACAAAATGTTATCAATGTGAACATATAAACAACAGAACATTTTACAAACATATAAAAAAATAGTATAACTTATATTTTATTTTGGAAGCATATGCACGAACTATTTTTTCAGTTCAAGTCATCTATTATTTGTTTTCTTATGTTTAATGTTGGTTTATTTAATCGTTATTCTTCTAGTATTTTTAAACAAAGTTTTTTAGCTCAAAAAGATCGCAACTATTTTTTAACATTTTTATTGGCTTGTATTTTCATTTAATGAAACAAAAAGTTTGATTCTTGTTCATATAACATTTTTAAATTTGAGTCTGAGGATAAATTAATTTTATGTAGCTGTTCATCATTTAATTTATCTGCTTGTCACAAACATGCTATAAAATTGCTAAATTTTATTTGCAATGCTAACTGCAGATGGAGTAATACTTTACTGCATATCAGACATGTTCATAAAAATTTCATCTGTATCCATTGGGTTAGTATAATCATTTATGGCGTTAATATCATTGTCATCTAACATATTAATTTTCACAGCATGAATATTTTACACATATTATTTTTTATTTTGTAGTCGTAACATGTACATAAGAGTAAAATAATGTACACAAATTCGTGTGCAGATTATATGATAAAAAAATATTTATTATAATTTTTAAGGAATTTGCTCGTAGGGTATTTCTAGTCGCTCGTGTTTATATGACTTCACAAATATAGATAATAATATTATCTTGAACTGTGGTATGGCCTAAAGAATCCATGATAATTATTATCAATTTATAGAAATCAAGGCCATGAATCAAACCATATCATAGATTATTTCTTCCATGAAGGTTTGACTAATCTGGTTTGAAGTGTGGTAGTGGTATTTCCTGTCCCTGTCGTATATTATGTCCTTATTTTATTTTGTTTTTGTGGTTTCTGCTGTGTCAATTAACCTAGTACACAGCAATGTTTTCAATCTACATAGTTTTCAATACATTTTGCGTTTACTGTATTTAAATAACATTTAAAAAAGTTACTAAATTATTTTCTTTATGCATAAATATATGTATTGTCCACCAATTTCTTTTTTAACCATGTGTCCTTATCAAGCCAAAAGAAAATGTAGACTCTTAAATTTGTAGTTAATCATCATATGATACGCAAAAATCGACATTTAAAGAAATACCGAAGAACTTAAGGAATACACTTTCAATGTCTTCCAAATGGATGTGTATATTAGCCTTGGGCGTTTTGATTTTTTACTGTCATCCGGTTAAAGGTAATATTTATTCTTAATCACCTTATTCCTTGTTTCCTACATAAAGTAGGTAAACTTATTTTGTACAATGATTATTATTTTATTAACAGGTTTGTTATGTTTTTGTGACATATGCTCTGATACTAACTTTACCTGTAGTACCGATGGATATTGTTTTACGAGTTTATCACTCAGTAAAGATACTGGAGTAATTCGCCATTCTTCTCGGTAAGATTAATTTTGATTTGTAGTATGCATATAAATTAGTTATGATTTAATGATTAATTGTCTATGAATATTAGGTTTAGTTATTCATTATTATCATTGTGGTCAATTCATAATGATTTGTGTAATACATATTTTAGTTTATGTTATGAACAAATGTATCATATTTAATATAAACCATATAAATACCAATTAATATAGGTACTCAACTATTATATTACTTCCATATTCTACTTTCCAATACCTAGTTTTGCATGTATATGATTTAATTATATGAAAAAATACTATAAAACAATTACAGAATATACCTAATATACAAATATTAAAAATATATTTTATTCTATGACTTGTATAGATGGGAAGGCATATAGTAGATTCATCATTATTGGTATAAGAAAAATAGAATAACTAGAATTGATATATTTTAATGAATTATACAATTATGTGCTTAATAGATTTATATACTTAAAAGTTTATTATGATTGTATGCAATTGTTTTGGATCTAAGTTATTAGATCTAATGAATAATTTTCTATAGTATCTTTAATTAAATATGAAAACCGTTTTATTCTTATATGTGATAAGTAACAGATTGCTAGTAACATATTATGTTACTTTAGCAATTATGTCTGTCTATAAATTGCAACATCATTTTCTGGATTGTTTGAAGTATTTTCATAATAATGAACTGTTAGAATTGATCTGTGTATTTATGATTGAAAAAGTGTATTATCATATGTTATTGTTTAGTCATTTAAATAATTGCTCTTTTATGAACCTATTATTGTCTTTTTAAGTTATTCTTAATTAATATATTAATATACTAAATATTGAACTTATTTTTTGTGTTGGATAATTGTACCTTTGTATGTGATAGTCTTGAGAGTTAAGCACAAAAGTATGATTTATAGATTTGGCATTATTAATTTAAATTGTATAATATTTTTATTTGGTTGATTCTAGTGAACTAGAATATTAACACTGTTTTCTAAAATGTAAAATCCTATTTTATTTAAAATTTTTGTTTTTTCTGTAGCAAGTATTTTATGTGAATTTGTAAAGATATTTTACCTATCTAAATGAATTAATTAACATAAACTATATTTTATTCAGTTATCATATACCTAAATAATTTGCTCACATTTGATATTAGATTTTGTTGAATAACATCTTTAAATATAATATCTTCTATTTCACAGTTTCTTATTTTTTTTCTTAAACCATTTTCTTTTAATTTAATATTTGCATATACCTACTTATAATTTGAATATATGAGAATTTATTGACAGTGATGTAAAGATTTTGCATAAATTAATGTTTTTTTTTTTTTATTATTATCATTATATATTATTGACACAAACAACTGTTGTAGTATATTTAGGATTTGAAGTATGTAACATTTTTAGTTAGAACTGCTTTTATAATGATTTTCAAATAATGTTGAAAATAAAAAGTGAAATAAAATCTTACTATAAAAGAATGACAGCAGTTTATTTGATAACTACCACAATTTATATTATTACCAGACATAGAAACATTAATTTGTTTTATTTATATGAAATCTACAATCTGTACCACTTGGGCACTATAAGTAAATATGATACAAGTTTAATTACATACAAATTATTAAAAATATGTTACTGCACCTAATAAAATTTACATAATACATGACATTTTTGAGGAAAGCAGCCACCCATTAGTAATACTTTCACAAGGAACATTAATTTAATTTAAAATATAAACTTGTATAAAATAATTTATCAACTTATTCAATAAATAATAACTTATTTAAATAAATGATTTTTTTAAACTATAGGCCAATCTTTATAATTCCGAATTTAGCTAAGCTCTTTGAGTTTCTAGTATACTCTAATATTAAAGAAGTCTACGATCATTAGTAGTGTTGTTTTTACTACTTATTTGCTTGACAATATTGAAAAGAGTGGTTAAGTATATGCTTTTAAAAAAAAAAAATTTGAATTTAGCCAAGTGTTATATTATGACCTATTCTAGGCATCATTACCCAAAATTCCACTTCTACCATATTAAAGGCTCCACTCTTGAATGTGTTTTTATTATTAAAGATCTCGTTATACATTTCACTTTTTTATTAAATTTTAACCACTACATTAATGCCACTATCTGCAAAGCACTTAAAGTCCATGACTTTATAAAGTGTAATACAAAAATTTTAAGCTCTACCAGTTATCTCTCTATACTTTACTTTTCCTTTGTGCACTTGATTTTAGAATTTGGTGTAATAGTTTGTTACTCTGCCTAGCAAAAGACCAGTTAAGATTAGAAAAAGTCTGGAATAAGTTTCTCTCATATATTCCTTTTTTTCTCAAAATTGACCATTCCCAACATGATTACTCAACTGTACTACGAATACTAAATTTCCTATCTTTCTCTTCTTGTCATCTCTATGCTGATTCTTGTTTCGTTCAATATTTACTTAATGGATTTACGAATGCTTCTGATCTCCTTTCCTATACCAATTTCCAAGTCCTGATCTACCCTTCAAGACAACATACACTATTTCATATCCCTACTATCTCTTATGGTCACAATGAATGCTATGTTCTCTTAATAATAAATAATTGTTTGTTTCATATGCATGATATAATAATTAAAATGAGGGTTTAAATTAAACGCTCTAAAAAACAAGAAAAATGTCTTTAAAATACAATTTAATGCACTTATAAAAAAATATTAGAAAGTCCTCTAAAAGTTATTTTAAACTTTGATAAAAAAAAAAAAAAAAAACGTTTTTATTAAGTATACAGTAGAATCTCGATTATCCAGGGTAATGGTGGGCAGGTGGTCACACTAATAAATGAAAACCACAGTTAATCAAACCTTTTTATAATAATGAATAATATATACATATATTGTTTATCTTCAATAACTATAATATACCTGCAATAAAATAAATAGATATACATGGTCATATTGTTATCATCAAAAATGGCATTAATATGTTTGTCGATATCGTATATTATGTGATATTAAATGTTCGATTATAATTATTTATAATATTATGTACAGTCTATACTTATTTTACATTTTCGGAAGAGTGAGTATAGTTAATCGTGAGCACAGGTAATCAAAGTTCCACTGTATACATTTTTATTGATAAATTAATATTCTTCTTCTTTTATCTTTTTACCGTGGAAATTATTTCCAAAAAATCAATATACAATTTAAATAGGTAGATTATATTTGTATGTTGTATTTAATATTTTAGATTCTAAGCAAAGTGAGAAATGTATTGATTAGTAAACAACTACCAGAAATTTTGTCTATTCAGTTCTTTAGAAAGGTCTTTTTTGGTTTTCTAAATTTTATAATAATTAGGAAAATGGGAAAATTTATAAAATTCATTGTTTTTAATTTTGTTTTTTGTTTTGATTCAGTTAAACTGAAGACTTATATTTGCCTTTTATAGATGTCGTTAAATTTTAGCCATAAGTTTTTTATATAATTTTTATTCGGTAGATACTCTGTGGATATAATTGTTAGACCAAACAGAAATGCATGAGTTGAGTTTAATGTAGATTTTTTTTTTTAATAGAATTTTATTATCAAATTTTGTTGAAAATTGTAAATATTACAGCCTTTTAAAACATGTATAACTGAATTCCGCTTAGAATCGACTTTTGTTTGCAATGATTAATTGTTTTTACAGATATACATTAAATTTCTGTCTGTGTCCTACCTTCCCCACTTTCTACCTACAGCAGTGGATGACCTACGTGCAAATTATGTCCGCCTTCTTTTATTTTAGGTTAATTAAACAATTTTTGTTTTAAAAATGAAATTATACCTTTTATTATACTGGTTTAATATTATAATTGAAATATTTTAGAAATTGATTATCTGTTATAAAGAACATTGTTACCCTCAGGCAATTTGGGAGTTTTCTCAATAGATTTGATTGCTTGTCTATTCCATACACCACATTTATATATACAAATTAAGTATTGTAAACAGTTCAGTTTATTAAATGCCACAGACAATAATAATGCATTATAAATTTATAAATTTAGTTACAATATGATATCTATGTAAGATGTGAAAATAGTTGTATTTTCATGGTTATTTGAATTGGGGACGCAAATTTTAGATTTGGAACATGGCGAAGGATCTATTGGTTTAACACTATGATGTGTTTTTTTTCTGTCTGTTAGCAACTTTTCAAAAGAAATCTCCCTCAAGTGTAGCACATTTTTTGAATGGAAATTTCCTTTGTTTGGTTCTATTCGGAGGTTATTTTTTGATTTTTCAAGGGCTATTCGAAATAATTGGAAAAAGCCCAAAAGAAAATTTTCAGTAAAACTGCAAATATTTATGATACTACCCGGCATTACCATTTTCTTTGTTTTTAATTTGCTAACACAATATTTTCTATCAGAAATATTGCTCCATTTGAAAAATTATCATATATTTTATTTGTTGAATTTTTAATTTAGTTTGTGAAAAAGTAATTCATTTTTGATTTTCTTTGTATTTGTAATAATTAATAAAAACCGGAAAATGGCGAAAAATAAAAATTGATAAATTTACTGCGCTATATTCTTTTATTTAAAACGTTAACTGTTTATATTTTGTAACAGAAATATCGCTCTAATAAAAAAAAATAACAATTGATTTTATTTGTGGGTTTTTTTTAATAATTGAGTAAAACCGAAAAATACATAGGAAGTGCTGTAAAATTTACAAAAATTTTTATTTTAAATTATGTTTTTAATGTAATTCAGTTAAAAATATTTGTAGAGACCTAAAATGTACACAAAAAACTTATATTTACTTTTTCTAGACGTGATAAAACTTTCAGAATATTTGAGCCATTTATAGGTATTTTAATTTTACATAATTTTTATTTAGTAGGTGCTTTATGGATAAAATTTTTAGACCAAACAATAATGCTTGAAAATATGACAAGAGGTTAGGTTACTGTGTGAGTCATACTGAGTGGTTAAAAAAATAATTGAGCATAATATAAATTTTTTTTTTTATGAGAGTTAAAATCAAACTGATAAAAATCGTAAATATTATGGCCTTTCTAAATATTTATAGTATAACCTATCTTCGCTCCGAATCATTTTTCGTTAACAATGATTTATTGTTGATTACAGGTATAAATTAAGTACCTAACTTAATGTATCCCACCTTACCAATTACTTATAACAGTAGTTGTACCCATCTCTAGTATCGGCTCTTTTTTTTAGATTCTGAGCTTAGCAAAAAATATATTGGATTTACAATGATGTTAATTTTTTTTCTGTGGACAACTTTTCTACCAACATTTTGGTCCGATTTTCAAGCATAGCACTTTTTCTGAAAGGAAATCTAACCATGGTATTACTTTAGGGAGATCATTTCTTAATTTTTCTAATTGTTGTCATAATAAATGAGAAAAATTTAGGGAAAACGAAAAAATTTACATAAATGTATTATCAAACTCCGCTCAGAATCATTTTTCATTACTAAAGATTAATTGTTGTGCACAAATATACATTAAATTTCCCTTTATATCCTACTTTCTCAACTAATCTATAATATTAGCCCACTCATCATGTGAAGTATGTCCATATCTTTAATATTATCTTTCTGACATAGTTTTACCTATATCATTTTTAAAAGATTGTGTTTGAGAATTTTTATGAGGTGCGCATAACTATTATAATTACATGTAAATAAAGTTCACCTAAAAAAGTCCAAATCATTATAAAACAATAGGTTTTTGGCATGTGACTTACCTATTTGAGTATAGTATTGTGACCTACCTTTTTATTAATCGTGTTATATGTAATTTACTTGGTTTATTTGCCTTATTTCCCAAGTATTAGTTATTATCCAATTAGTATTCTTACTATATATTATAACTTATCGACACACACAATTTGATTTGTTAATTTATTGCATCCAATACTTGTGGTAGGTCAAGTGCAATACTAATTTAAAATTCAGTTATCCTTCTTTAAAAAAATGTCAAATATTTTTGACCTTATATTGTAAAAATATGTTGACTTTTATTTTATTTTTAGTAGGACAATCTAACTATCAAACTAATTTTTAATACACATTTTATAATAATCATGTATATATTATTAATATATTTATAATTAGGAATACTTTAAATAATTTGTATTGGGAATTGGGTTTAAGTTGTTTGCACAAGTTCCAGTTTTTTCCACCAGAAAAGCCAAATAATTGTTTTCAAAGAAAATTTTTGGATGAATCCTCAATGTCATGTTGCCAAGATCGAGATTATTGCAATCGTTGGTTATACCCAAAACTTGTTGAAGTTAAACCTACAGGTCTATTTATGATTTTATGTGTGCCCTTTTAACTGTTGTGGAGTTTCTTGATTTTCCCAACTAATTATATTAATATTTTAGGTAGAAATTTATTTTCAAATTAATATTTTATATGTGTGTATGTATGTATATCTATAAAATGAATAATTTAAGATGGTTGTTCCAAAATTTTGCTGAAATTTAAACTAATACTAGTAGGCTAACATTCAAGCTCAATTGGTTTTATTAACATGTTTGAAATTTGATAACTGTGCTCGTTTTAGGTGTTTGGAGAATAACATTGTGATCCCACGAGAAAAACCTTTGGTATGTCATTACGCTAACAAATATAATGATTCTTTTGTAACCATGTGTTGTAAAAATTATGACTTATGTAACAAAGATCTTAAACCAACACTACATATTAAGCTTCCAGGTAGAGTTTGATACTTTATTTTCTAACAATTGCATGGTTATTTTATTGAGGATTTTAAATTCATAGATTTGTGTTTTTTAAATTTATGTACAATAAAAATATTCAACTAGTTGCTAATAAAATGTTTCACCATGAAAATCTATATTTTATCTTATTTCTTTAATACTTAATACTTAAGTTATACAGGAATTGTTTGTAGTATATATATATATATATATATATATATTATTTTGCATAATTATAAAACACTTATCTATAAATTAGAATCCTTTGTATTCTTTGTAGAAATTTATAATTTGTGCTTAATAAATATTCATGAAAATATAGATGGTGCTGAAAAAATTCATAAAAAAGAGAGATTGGGTAAATGGGAATTGGTTGTTATAATAGCTGGTCCAATAGGTGTAGTTTGCATAGTAGTCATGCTTATTATGAATTTTTGGGCTGGATCTATCAAACGTCATAATATTCGATATTTGCCTACTCCCCGCAATATGGCTGCTGACCAACAACCTATTTTAACAGCAGCTGTTTCTTTGAGAGATATGATTGAAATGACCACTAGTGGATCAGGATCAGGTTTGTAGTGTTAATTTATTATTTTATGTTGTTTTTGTTTTTTCTAATTGTTATATTCTGTTCAAAATTTTAGGTTTACCACTTTTGGTTCAAAGAAGTATTGCACGTCAAATTCAACTTGGAGTACCTATCGGTAAAGGACGTTTTGGTGAAGTATGGCAAGGAAAATGGCGCGGTGAGCAAGTTGCTGTCAAAATATTTTCTTCCAGAGAGGAACGTTCATGGTTTAGAGAAGCGGAGATATATCAGACAGTAATGCTTAGACATGATAATATTTTAGGATTTATTGCTGCTGATAATAAAGGTGAAATATTTAAAAAAAAATTTTATAAGAAAAAACATTTATAATATTTATAATTTTAGATAACGGTACATGGACACAATTATGGTTAATTACTGATTATCATGAAAATGGATCATTATTTGATTTTTTGAATCGATGTACAGTAGATACAAATGGAATGATTCGCATTGCTCTCTCAATAGCAACTGGTCTTGCTCATTTACATATGGAAATTGTTGGAACTCAAGGTAATGATAAATTATTAATAAGGTACCCATCTAACTTTTAAAATAATTTTGTACTACATATATGATGTTTTAGGTAAACCAGCCATTGCACACCGTGATCTCAAATCAAAAAATATTTTAGTGAAATCCAATGGAACTTGTGCTATTGGTGATTTAGGACTTGCTGTACGATATGATACATCCATGGACACAGTCGATATACCATTAAACCATAGGGTGGGCACTAAACGATATATGGCTCCAGAGGTTAAATTATTGTAGTAAAACTAAACAACTAAATTTTATAAACAAAATAAAATATATCATTTTTTTATTTAGGTTTTAGAAGAAACCATTAACATGAACCATTTTGATTCCTTTAAAAGAGGTGATGTTTATGCTTTGGGTTTAATCCTTTGGGAAGTAACAAGGAGATGCAATGTTGGAAATATACATGAAGAATATCAATTACCATACTATGATAGTGTACCATCTGATCCTACTATTGATGAAATGCGTAAAGTTGTTTGCTTAGAAATGAAACGACCCTCAATACCTCAAAGATGGAATGCTTACCCAGTAATATAAATAACTTATTTTTTGTTTATTTATCTTTCTAAATTATTTTATATCTTCTAGTTTTTGCCAAACATGAGCAAATTAATGCAAGAATGTTGGTATCATACAGCATCTGCCCGACTAACAGCATTACGCATTAAAAAAACTTTGGGTGCCATGCAAAATCATAATATTAATATTAATATTTAAGTATTTTATTCAAATGTAAAGTATAAATGTCTAGCTGCCAATAGATTATGTACAAACCTAAGATTTCTGGATGGTACAATAATTTAAGTTTCATAGTTTTTGAAGTTTCCTAAAAGTGCACGTGCCATTATATTCTTTGAAAGATCTTATGGAAATGCACTTTATATGACTAATACGTACTTATTAACTGTGTGTTTTAGTAATCATTGTGTTTTTGGTTACCATAACAAATTGTTTAAGTGTTGAAAATTATTTAACTTTATTAATAATTATTAATTTATTTTATTTTCAGTATAACTAATTAAAAAATAAACGATTCTGTTGTCAAATTTCTATAAGAAAAAAAAATACTGAATGATAGATATTTTATTTATACATACATAATATTATCAACTATAAAAGATTTATATTTTTTGCATGGTTATTAACCATATTTTTATATTATCCCTACATTTTTTTTTAATTTAATCTTTCAAAAATTTATAAATATACCCCTAATGTACACTAGGATCTCATTAATGTAGCTTTCCATAATAGATCACTACTAATTAATACTTTGATTCCCTCCTTTTTTTAGTATAAGAACCTTCTCTCTTTGTGTACAATTATGTCTATACAAATAAATTTTTCCATTGTTATTGATTTCCGACATAATTTTATGAACAATACAGTTTTATATGTTAGAATCAGAATTTACTTTTAAATAATTTGTTTTATTAAGTATAACATAATATTCACTAAATTTATTTAATTATATCCTCATAGTATGACTGTAAACTAAACAACTAAATATTTATTTGTGCTCCATTTTTTATTGATTAAATTAAACTCGAGTCTGATTGTGACTAGTTTTTTTTAATATATATATGTATGTCATAATTATTTGCTCATAATTAGGTTTTATGTTAACTGTTAAAATGTTTTATATGTTTTTTTTTTTTGTAATTTAAACATACATGTAGTTATAACTGTGTTGAAGATAATTTGTAAATACATGTTACTTTAAACATAAGTAATATACATAATATATACCAAGTATCTCAATTTATAAATTTCAAATTTCTTAAAAGTTTTTAAATGTTTACATTACTACTCATCTGATTACATATATATCAAAACAATATTAATTTGGTAACAAATTTCAATGTTAATTCATTTTTTTAATAACAGAGAATAAAATACCATATTATAATTAGATATTTTCATAATATAATATATTTTGAGATACACTGTATATAAGATTTATAATTAATATTAAGTCAGGCTTATAAATTAAAGATGCAAAATAACGTACAATACTTATTGATTTAAGAGTAAATAAAGAATCTTCTTAGTGCTCAAAAAAAAAAAAAAAATTTTAGCCTAGATGATTAATAACAGTACAATTTACTATTAAATATTTTATACTACTTATTATTATACATAGATTATATGTTGTATTATGTTACTTATAGATGGCTATTCTTTACTTGGAGGCATTATAACATTTGAATTAATTTTAAATGATTTTAATAATATGCAAAAGTACCATTTTTCTACAGTCTGTTTAAAATAACCAGAGCATTTTGTATTGTATCGAGTACATTATTATTGTTTTGAAAATTAATATTATAATTTGTATGTTTTTATTCATTTTTTGTATACAATGATCTTTTTCTACTTGTCTACTGTAGCCAAGTTTTTATCCTATTTATAATTTGTAAAACAATCCATTTTAAATGTTTATGAACTCAGGAAATATCAGTCATTTTTTTTAAATATTAAAAATTAACTTATACCAAAAATCGTCCTATTTTTATATAATGGAAATTATTTCCTTAAAATGAGTGATGAATCTTAGCTTTTAGCATGATAAATTCAAATTGTGTCAAAATTAAGTTTTAATTCTAACCTCCAAATTTTGTATTTTTATTTGTTGTTGATAACATTAACTGTAGTTATTAATTATAAGTATATCTGCTGATTTCAACAATTAATTTTCTAAATTAAATTTCATAAAAGTAAATATAATAATTCATGCATACATTTATATTTTTCATTTTATTGTATATGATTCAAAGAATAATATCACTTATTTTATAATTTAATATTTTAACATTTATGACATTCACTCATAATCTATTCATAGCTTTCATCATCATTGTAAATAAATAAATAACAAACTTTATGATTCTCATTAGTCTCGAGTATTCATAATCCAGGCTGGGTTTGAACTTCTTTTAAAAAGACTGTTATTTTATGCATATTGTAATTTAAAATTGTTATATTAAACACTTTTCAGTTATTATTCTCAAATTTTCCTAAAAATTGAGACTAATGCACTGTATTATGTCTGCTAGATGTATATTATTTCTCAGAACATATACTATTAGCAACTCCTGGACAAAAAGAGCTTCAACTTGGGAATTACAATTTTTTATAGCTGGATGAAAATAAAAATATTTGGTTAAATTTAACTAAGGACTTGACCATATTGTGGTTTTTAGCTTTTTAAACCTTAACAGACCTCTAAAATCCAGGGAAATTACATTTTGTATATGCATGGTGGAAGTATCGAGGATTTGTCTTGATGGTTTCAACACGTGGAGGAAAAAGTTTTGTTTTCACATAGTTTGTTTTAAATACCTTTACAGATTTATGACAATAATAACTTGGTAAAAATGTGTAAATATATTATGGAAATAAAATTGTTCTCGAAGTGCCTTTTAAAGGTTTGAACTTCCAACTTCACTGTTTGTTAACAAAAATTGACCACTTATTTTTATTTTATTGAACATTTTTTTGTTTTTTATCATTAAATATATGCAGAGGATGATTTATTCAACAATCGTTGTTTAGTAATGTTTTTCGGATTTTTTTTTGAAAACTTAAGAAACAAATAGTTTTGAAATGTTCCATTATCATTTTTTTATCACTCTTATTTCTAGGGATAAAACGACTACCTATTTTAGATTTTCAAATGGTAACCTATATTAAAAATTCCTGAAATAGGTTAGTACTAAATAGTAGACTAATTATTAGTCCAAATAAATGTTGGTATTTTCCGTCAAACCATTAATGAGATATCCCACTTTTAAATTTAAATGGGAGAGTAGTAGAGTATCATTTGTTGTGTGATGACATGACCCGTAGCGGTTTAATAATTCATCAATACTCTTCCCCCAATAACGTCGATCCCTATACTCAAGTATGGCGACTGCCAGTAAATTATGTGGAGGGTGGATACTGGATATTGGGTAGGTGACATAGCTTAATACTTATAAGCTATGTGTAAATATTATAAAAGTATATAACTATTTAATATAATTGCATACAAACACATCAGTAAATCCCAAATATATTTTAGGATATTATGGTGATATCCACTGATTGGTCGTTTGACTACGGCAGTAGTATCGTCCACCGTCCCCCTTAAAAAAAGCCGTCTTTTTTGTTATACAAAATATCCATAATTCTTAAGTTTTGATGACCTGGTTCTCGAGAGTAAAAATTGTTTACCCTCCTCCTTCCCCGCCCATGGAATTAACCCGAAGATGCCATTGCACTACACTCGATATGATAATTATGCATATTATATCAATAATAATTACGAATTAAGTTTATTGATCATTGTTTACTTGCACAGTTGTGCCTTGTATATTCTACAACTTGAGTTTTCAGTTTTTTTTAGATTCTGAGTGAAGAAGCTTATGGTTTTAGTGTTTTACAAAAATGTTTTTTTTTCTGTAGACAACTTTTCTACCAAAGATATTGCTCCGATTTTAAAGTGTAGACCTTTTCTAAAAGGCAATTTGACTGGAAAGGTACTTTAAAAAGGTCATTTTTTGATTTTCTCAAGAGTTTTCCCAGCATATATGAAAAATCGAGAAAAAAACACGAAGATACGAAAATCTGTACAAAATTAAACAGACTTTATTAAAAAAGACGTTCTAAGATAATGAGTTCGGATGCAGCTATTGTTATAGGTAATTTGATGTAAATCTGTAAGCAACGATAGACTATTTCTAACGAAAAAATGATTCTGAGCACAGTTCAGTTGATTGTGATGCTTTGTCCGCAATCAATATGTCATATTATAGTAAAAAATTTAAATATGCATAATATATTTTCTTAAATATAGTTTGTTTAATATTGTACCAATTTCCCCATGTTTTTTTTCCGGCTTTTCACATTTGCCAAGAAAACTATTAAGAAAATCGAAAAATGACCTCCTTAAAGTACCTTCCCAGTTAGAATTAATTTCAGAAAAAGTACTACCATTGTAAATCAGAAAAAAATTGCTGGTGGAAAAGTTGTCTAAAGAAAAAATGTTTAACAAGTATAAACGAACAGTGGGTTTAAGGCCCTATGAAAACTATTCTGAAGACACTTTAAAAATAGACTTCCTAAATCTTTAAATGCAGAATCTAGTGTAGATAAAGCATTTATTGAATATTCAAAAGTTAAATCTTAATTTTTATTATTGAAGCTACAGTATAAGTTTAAAGTAGAAAAGTAATAAATTTGGAATAAAGTATCCTACTCTTATAATAATTATAGGCTCCATATTAAGTCATGCAAACACAAACTTTCTAAGACTAGTGTCAAAAATAGTACCTTTTTAAGGTGAAAATTGTGGAATGTAAGTAGAATTTTTATTTACTAATAATCGTTTTTTTATTTATGTATTTAAATCACTTAAAATCAATTTATAATATTTTTTTATTTTAGACTTTTACAAATGGTGAAATTGTTATTTGTTAGAGATGATAATTGTTTTCATAATATTTTGATACATATTTAGTTATATAACTATATAAGGTACTGACATTAATGCGCTATTTGAATTTTGTATGAACAGTGTCATTAATCTGTTTTGAACTGAGCAAAATGTTAATTGGTCTATGATGGTCTTACTGCAATAAAATAATATTGAAAATCTCTTTCCATAGGTTATTTTGTTTTTATTACACTTTACCTACACATAAAATAAGTTTATTCAGAGTTATAAATAAGTCAAATTCCAATTATACATTTATAATGCTAGACAAAAACAGATAAGCACACAAAAAACAAATATATAACTTTAAAATCATGTTCTAAATAAAACAATCACAACTCTGTGTGCATGGAATGAGACGTCTAATTGTATATTTAATATATATATATATATAAGTTCACAAATAAAAATTCCTCTTTAAAAAATATTAGAATTCCTACCCGCACAGTATGACGCTAACATAAACAATTTAAAGATCAAAAACATGAAGTGTAATTAATTATTGCGAAACTAATCTTAGCGACGATCTAGGGCGGTTAAAAGTTATATCCTAAAGGGGATGAAAATATCTCGAAAGAGTTATGAACTCTAGTAAAAGCTCTACGTCTGTTATGTTTGCGTAATACTGGAGCTGGGGAACTTCCACCATATGTTGTTTATAAGACAACCTATACGTATGATTCTTAGATTAATGGTGGGCCTTCAAATTCGATATAAAACAGGAGTAAATTTGGATGGTTCGATTCACTATGTTTTGAAGACTAGTTAATTAAAGTTGTTATACCTTTTGTTAAAAATAAACCAGGAAAAAAGTATTAATTGGAGATAATTTATCAACTCATTTAACCATGGCTGGAATTCAATTATACTCAAAATATAATATTGAATTTATTTTCCTGCCTCCAAATTCCATCCTCGGCTACAAAGAAGAGAACTCATGAAGTTTAATATTGACTTCAAAAATTGGTGATAAACCTAATCTCATTCAGTAGACTGAAATAGACTGTATTATATTTGTAATTATTTTTAATAATTGTTATTAAGTAAATATCTAATATAAAATAAATATATCCATAAAAAATGTTAAATAATTATTAAATATTTAAAAAAATATAAATTAAGTTCTTATCTGTCCTAAACTTGATAGAAAAGGAAAACACAAAACAAAAAAAATATTCGTTCCTATTCACTCCAACTTCGGGTAAATAGGAACAGGTTTTTAAAAATTTTTTATAAAAAAAAACTAATGTATTTAAAAACTTACTAATTAGATTAAGTTAGCCACCTACTTTTTTTCTATCCAAATCTATTTTAAAAATACAGATAACATAAAAACTGTAGATTTTAATGCAAAAAAACTTTCAAAACTATTCCTATTCACCTCATTTTACAGTATGTATTTGATTTATTAATTTACACTTATACAATTGAGGTACTTATGTAGACTAAATCATTGATTTATTCACGATTCATCAATCAAAATGTATTTTAATATTAAAAAATGATGGTACACTATTAAATCTCAAAAATCAGAATTTAACAAGTTATTTTAAAAAATATGTGGTAGATTATTTAAAATCTAAAATGTAATCCTTACAAATAAAAGCAGCCTGTTAAATATTTTTATATATAACATAACAGTTACTTGTGACTTATTTGTATGAACTATTTAAGTACCTATATTTTATTATTAATATCAATTATATTGGTGTACATAGGATTTTTATTGGTGGAGGAGACTTGAACATATTTCTCCCTTTCCCTTGCGTACACCAATCTGTAGGTGGTAGGTACTATTAGAATTTGATATTTGTCATACTTATTCGGCGCCATTGCACTGCTCTTCCTTAAACAAAACTTGAAAGTGGAATATTGTCAACAGATTGACAGGAGTCACAAATTTCAACACCAAAATGTATTATGTTATATTTACTCCACTATTTCAGAAATTTTCAGTATAAGTTGTCATTTGGATATAAAAAGTATGTAGTCGTTTTACCCTCATAAATAAGGGTGACAAAAAATGATTATGTTCTGTTTTAAAAATAATTGTTTATTCAGTTTTCAAAGAAAAAAGGAAATCTTTTTGGAGTGTTTCCAGTTAAGTGAATCATAATGTTAAATAAAACCATGAAATATTGTATTGACAATTTGACATCGAGGCGACTGGAAAAAATTTGACTCTAATAAAGGAACTTTAAGGATCCTTTCTTTTTTATATGATGGAGATATAACAATGTTTTACCTACATTATGTTTTTTCTTATTTAATTGACCATTTTTAGAGAAACCATATTATATTATTTTAAATATTTTATGTAATAATAAATAATTCTGAATAGAAGTTTTACCAGATTTTAAATTGTTACTAGTTATTTTATAATATTAAAACTTATATTTAATAATTATTTTTCAACATTGAAGATTTATTGGATCATTCTCAAACCCTAGATATAAACTAAGATATTTATGTATATATAAGATAAGATATAAGCTAGGTACTTTTAGGGATTTATGATTAAAATGTTTAATGACAATTTTTAAACAACTGTACTATAATAAATAAATTTTGTATTAACAAATTACTTTATTACCTTGCTCAGAATTTAAAATAGTAAATTAATTTTCTTTATACAGTAAAACTTTCATATAATGATCACCGAAGAAACCGGAAATAATTACCACTATTTAGAGGTGACCATTCTATAAAGGTATCCTATAGACGCATAACACTTGACAAGACCAAAAACAAAAAATAACCATTACATAAAGGTGAGCGTTAATGGAAACTTTACTGCATGATCATGCCTAGTATATTTTGATTAGTAATTATTATGTCTGCTCCCTACGACACATAACAATTTTGAAGTAATAGTAATAATCCATCATGTTTGTCATATTTTTTTAATAAATTAATTTAAAAACAAATAAACTGAGAGAATTATTATAATACCAATACTGTAAGTTTATATGCTTAGCTTGGTGAATAGATAAATATTTCATTTACACATATAAATAGTCAACAATTTAATTTAGTAAAAATTATGAATTTTATTAAATAAAGGTATATAAAAAAAGATAATACTTTTATTAATAAATATACCTGTAAGTGAAGTAAATGTTATTATGTAAGCATACAAGACATGAAATCAATTTAAATAATAACAAATTAAAATAAATGCAAAAAATGCATACTCTTTTTGCACATAGTATATGAAAAGTATTAAAAAATATTAGTAACCTAATGTTAATGTATTGTGAATAACATTTTTTAATTATAGCTCACCAGCATCGTATGCTTGCTGATAACCACTGCCAGGCTTTTGTTCAGGATCTAACTTGATCATATCATCTATTCTAAGAATAGTTATAGCAGCTTCTGTTGCAAATTTTAAGGACTTAATTTTAGATATAGCTGGTTCCAAAACTCCAGCTTTTAAATTATCTCTTATTTCACCATCCTCCAAATCTAATCCATACCATTTGTAAACATCATTTTCACTACTAGTTTGACTATCATTGTGGTATGCTCTTAGTTTAGCTACCAACTCTGTAGCATCTTGAGCAGCATTTATTGCCAATGTTTTAGGTATAACCAACAAAGACCGTGCAAATTCAGCAATAGCCAGTTGTTCACGAGAACTTAATGAAGTGGCAAAATTTTCTAAGTAAATAGACAAAGCTGCTTCAACTGCTCCACCACCTGCTACGGCCGATTTAGATTCAAGTACACGTTGAACAGCACATAAAGCATCATGAATAGAACGCTCCATTTCATCACAATAGAAATCATTTGGTCCACGAAGTATAATTGACGCTGCATTTTGAGATTTTGGTCCCTTAACGATTATTAATTCATCATCAGATATTTGATCCTGTACAACTTCAGTAGCTTCACCAAGACTGGAACTTTCAAAAGTTTCCTCACCTTCCATATTTGTTAAAGAAGTCAAAAAAGAAGCACCAGTAGCCTTGGCAATTCTTTTTAAATCAACTTTCTTAACACGACGCACGGCTAAAGCCTTTGCTTCAATAAAATATTTTAAGCAAATATCATCAATACCACCAGTACATAATATAACATTAGCTCCAGTTGCTAAAATTTTCTGTACTCTTTCTTTAGTTATATCTGATTCACGTTGTCGAATAGCTTCTAGTTGGTCAACATCATTAACTAAAACTTGTACTCCCAATTTCATTTTAGTCTTCTGAAGAGAAAAATCTAAACAGGCAATTTTAGCATTTGTAATTTTTTTTGGCATAGCCTCAGAAGCTACAGTACAATTCAGAGCATATCCTTGAATGAGTAAACTTTCCTTAGCACTTTTACCATGAGCTTTAAGTACATTTATGGTTTTAATTGGTACAGACACTCCTCCGCGTTTATCAGATGGCTTTTTAATAAGCATACAAGCATCTACCACCAATTTCGAAAAAAATTCAGAGTCAGCCATTATCAACTTGCTAGACATAGATGTAGTAGCAGCATTTTCCAACCAATTACGCCGTAAATCATCAACATTCACAGTTAAATTGTTCTGTATGTATTTACAAGACTCTTTACACGCTAAACGATATCCACTAATGATAGATGTTGGATGGATTTTTTGTTTAACTAATTCATCTGCATTCTTCAATAATTCTGCAGCAATAATAACCTAAACAATAAATAATAAGAGGTTGTTAGATATGATTGAGAATGACATCACAGGTAGTGTATGCAAGATGGGAGATCAGATTAACTGGAAATTTATAATAAAAGTGTTTGACTCTAAATTGTTGGGTTGAAGGAGAAGGAGAAGAAGAGCTTATTGAAAACAGTAAATATATATTATAGTAATTTATGATGTATCGTTAACTATCATGTTGTAAATAGTAAGCATAGATACTTACAACTGATGTTGTACCATCGCCCACTTCTTCATCTTGTAATTGAGCCAATTCTACAAGAACACGGGCAGCTGGATGTTCAACATCCAATAACTTGAGAATAGTGGCTCCATCATTAGTCACAGTAACATCCTATATAATATACATAAAGAACAGAAAATAAAAAAAAAAATTCATCATGTCTGAAGATATTATTTTAACATTTTACTTACTCCAATATCATCAACCAACATTTTATCCAAACCAACAGGTCCTAATGAACTTTTAACTATATTTGCAATAGCATTTGCTGCCATCACATTTTGTGTTCGGATGGGAGTTCCAGAAGTTCTGGAACCAGCCACTGTTAAGGCACTTGCCGAACCAGACATAATGGATTAATAAGTTATCAGTTTCACAAAAAAATATAAAAATCGTTAGTTAAAAAACTAACCAAATGACTCGAATATTAAATTGTTTCACAACAGAAAATAATAAATAATTATATAGAATTTCTGAAAACGAGGTTATGTTTTTAAATGTAAAAGTTAGTAAAAACACCAACTACATAACCATTAACCATAATTTTACCAAAGAGTTCAAAATAATAACATTACGATATCCTTGGTAAAATGTATAGTGCATCGAAATAGGTAAATTATAAAAACGGTACCTATCATGTAAAACACTTAGAGTACACGGTCGTCCACTACGGTTTAATCTACAGAAATATTATGTTATTATTTTCTCTTTGTAGAACAATGTTTTTAATATATCTAATTTAATCAATGGCCTTCCATAAATCTTAAATCAGACAACAATCAGAATTTTTCATAATACGTATCTAACAAACCGATACGTAGCGTTAGGAACTACTTGAAAATGATAAAATATGAGCACATTTTTCTTTATCTTATATAGTTTTATCAACATGTGTGTGTTAAACTGGCATGTGATTTTTCAAATTATTTAATTATAGTGAATATTGAATAGTGAACTGTGATCGTTATGATTAAATCATGTTGTTTAGATTTAGGCAATGCTGAATAGTTAATTTAATCATAAATATTTTTATATTAGAATCAATTATTTATTTACTACTGGTGTCATCATGTTTTACAATAATTTTTACAATGTTGAACCATTCAAAGCCATTAATTTGGAGTTCAAAATGTTTTCAACCGAAGATATTACAAAACTGTCTGTAGCACGTATAGATTCACTAATATCATTTACTCCTTTGGACGAACCTGTGCTTGGAGGATTATACGATCCTCGTCTCGGACCATCTCACATGAAGTCTGGCAAATGCTTGACTTGTAACCAAAATTTTGTTTCATGTTCTGGCCATTTTGGTCATATCGAATTACCTTGTCCAGTTATTAATCCGATTTATACTTCGTCCGTTATTCATCTATTAAAAATAAGCTGTTTGTCATGCTTTAGAGTTATGTTGCCACGAGAATCGACTTTATTATTGGCAGCACAGTTAAAACTTCTTGATAGTGGTCAAATAATTGACTGTCATGATTTAGCTACTGAGATAAACGGGTTAAGTGAAGATGGAGATATACAATTGTCAGATGATCAATTAGAAACATTCATTAATGTATATTTAAAAGACCGCATAACAGACGATAATTTATCTTACACGAAATGTACAGAAGATAGCCGACAAACTTTTATTACTGAAACTCTTAATCAGGTAAACAAATTTAAATTTGAATTGTTTTTAATTGATCATATGCAGTATGATAATGTTTAATATAGAATTATAGAACATTTCCTATTGGATATTTTTGACAAAGAATGACATTTTCTCAATTTTATTTTTTTATACATTTTAAATATTTGTATAAATATCAATATTGTAAGTTAAAAAAAAAATAATAATAAATTTCCATGTATCTTTATATTTAAATATGTTTAAATATTAAATAGATAATAATTACTCAATATTATGAAGAAAAAAAAAGATTATAAATAAATATAAGTAAAACAAAATAGGTTGTTATTTCTATATAAAAATGATATATTTTGTAAAGAAATCATTAAATAATACTATTTTTTTAAATTAAGTTTTTTTTTTTTGTAAATTTTTACTACTTAATTTGATTTTTAAAGTGCTCTGATAAACGTCTAAATATTTTGATGCTAAGTTCTCAAATTTTTAAGGGCCTCTTTCTCCTATGTTAATAAAGACATTACCATTTACCTTTTATTTTTTTAAATCAAGTTTACGGTTTATAACTGACCATAATTAGTCGTTTATTTTATAATCTCTATTTCAAATATAACATTTACATAGATGAGAGTGAAATCTAAATTTATTACTGATACATTCAATAATTTTTTTTTCTACTTATGATTTTTATCGTGTTTTTCTTAGTACATTCCATAAATAAGAAGTAAATATTGGTGAAGAACACTGTAATGCAAAACCGTTTGATTTTATACTAGTTCTCTTGTAAGATTCATTGACATATATTATTTATATATTCTATTAAAGTACAACAATAATTGTTTGATATCTTAATCTTTGATGTCATTTGATAAATCATACAACATTAAGATACTTAAAAAGTTTAATGACACTGCCGTGAATACCATGAGACATATACATACAAAATCAACACTAATTTTCATTGGTAATTAGTTTTTATAATTTGAATATTTATTATTATACTGATTATATTGATATTGGAGATATTATAAAATAAATTTTTTTCATAGAATTTAACTGGAAATTAACAAAAATTAAAAGAATCTTACTTACCTAAATATTATAAATAATTTTGTATGAGTTTCGGTGCCTCCGAAAAGTGCTTGCGGTGCCCTTAATGCACCGCACTGCACAGTTAGGGAATTCATAGTTTAGAAAATTTGAATTATATTTTAAACGTTTTTACATAAATTTTAACCATTGAACTACTACTAAATGTAATACAACTTTGAACAGTTAAATGATTTCAATCAAGTCATATAAGAACTTTATCTTATTAATCTGTGCAATTGATGGGTGTTTTGAACACTATTATAGATTTCAATGTTACATATAATATTAATAATATATATTAATTATACTATAATAGTACTATAACATTGCAATGGGTTTTTGTAAAATATTTTGATATATTTATGAAAATATTAGACAATTACAAAATTAAAAAAAAGAATTGGAGAAAATGAATGAAGTAAAAAATGTATATGGAAAAAATGTCCTACTAGGTTGAAAATATTCAGGGAGTAGGGAATTATGTTAACCAATATTATTAATATTTTTAATTATATTTTATTCTTGATGTAGGTGATTCGGCAAGCTTCTTGTGGTTATTGCAATGAATTACTTTCAACAGTTTCAAAATCATATTCAAAAATTTGTATTGCCAAACCAAGTAATAAAAAAACAGAAAAAAAATTAAAGGAATATTTGTTCCCATTGGATATAAAAAATCTAATGAGAGAGCTGTGGAAAAATGAAAAAAAATTTATATGTGCTTTAATACCAGCCTTAGCTGGTTTAAACATAGAATATCCAACAGATGTTTGTTTTATGTCTGCAGTACTTGTAACTCCATCAAATCTTCGTCCAAATGTTATGGTCAAAGGAAAAATAGTAGAGAGTCCAAGAAATGTTGCGTATAAGTCTATTTTACAAGAAATTAAGCTTATACAATATATACAGTTACTACAAAAAAAAAATGATGAACAAATTTCAGATGAAATCATGGAACTTGTCAAATATAGTCAAGGAGAAGACAATATTGAAAAAATGCAAATTTGTATGCATAACTTACAAATGTGTGTTGATGCTCTTTTAGATGGAACTACTTTTAAATCCCATAGTAGTAATAAAGAAACAACACTTCGAATTGGTTTGAAACAGTTATTGGAAAAAAAATCTGGTATTATTCGTCAAAATATGATGGGAAAACGTGTTGATTACTTTGCACGTTCTGTTATTACACCTGATCCATATTTAGCAACTGATGAAATTGGTATACCAGTTGAATTTGCAAAAAAATTAACTTACCCTGTAGCTGTTACTGACTGGAATAATAAAGGATTACATGGCATTGTATTAAATGGCCCGAATCATTATCCAGGTGCAAATATGATTGAAACAGATGTAGGAACTGTAAAGTGGTTGTCTCCTACAAATAAGTCACGTAGAGAAGCTTTATCAAAAACCCTCTTCCATAGAGGGTCTAACTCTAGAGGTCCTCAAATTGTTCACAGACATGTTATTGATGGAGATTTGATGCTTGTTAACCGACAACCCTCTTTACATAAACCTAGCATCATGGCACACAGAGTAAAGGTTTTGAAAGGAGAAAAAACATTGAGATTACATTATGCAAACTGCAAAGCATATAATGCTGATTTTGATGGTGATGAAATGAATGTTCATTTACCTCAAAGTGAATTGGCAAAATGTGAAGCTAAGGAATTGGCAAGTGCTGTTAACCAATATTTGGTACCTCGTGACGGTACTCCTTTAAGTGGACTTATTCAAGATCATATAATTTCAAGTGTAAGAATGACAATTAGAGGTCGTTTCTTTACCAGAAGAGAGTATATGCATTTTGTTTATCAAGCATTATGTTCATTTGATCTTGACATCAAGACTGTGCCCCCAGCTATCTTTAAACCTGTAATGTTATGGTCTGGTAAACAAATTATATCAACATTAATTATCAATTTGACTCCGCATAGCTGTAAATCATTCATAAATCTAATGTCTAAATCTAAACTCGAATCGAAATTTTGGAACAATCCAAACAATTACAAGTACCCAGATTTATTATCAGAATTTAATTTTATAATACGGAATGGTGATTTATTATCCGGAATTCTTGACAAAAATCATATAGGAGCTTCTACTTATAGTTTAATACATTGTTTTTATGAGTTATATGGTGGACAATACTCTGCAAAGTTATTAAGTGCATTTAGTAAATTATTTACTGTCTATCTACAATTTGATGCCTTCACTCTAGGTGTAGAAGACATATTAGTGACTGAAAAAGCGGATTATCAACGGCAAACTGCTATTATTGAGTCTAACAATGCTGGTCCTTTAGCTGCTTTGGAATCTTTAGATATTGAATATATAAGTGAAGAAGTGACTACAAAAAAGTTAGCAGAATCTTATAGTAAAAGTAATCATTTTTCTGCACTAGTCGATAGAAATTATAAAAAACATCTACAACCGTTTACGAATAAAATTTCTAAAGCATGTATTCCCAAAGGATTACTTCAACCATTCCCTAGTAATAATTTACAACTTATGGTTCAATCTGGAGCTAAAGGATCTACTGTAAACACTATACAGATATCTTGTTGTTTAGGACAAATTGAGTTAGAAGGCAAACGACCCCCTATGATGATTTCCGGTAGGACTTTACCAAGTTTTCCACCATTTGATACACTTCCTAAAGCTGGAGGATTTATTGGAAGTAGATTTATGACTGGTATTCAACCACAAGAATTCTTTTTTCATTGTATGGCTGGGCGTGAAGGTCTTATTGATACCGCTGTTAAAACTAGTAGAAGTGGTTATTTACAACGTTGTTTGGTTAAACATCTTGAAAGTCTTATTGTCAATTATGATATGACTGTTAGAGATAGTAATGGTAGTATTATACAATATTTATACGGTGAAGATGGTTTAGAAGTGACCAAAAGCAGTTTTTTTAATGAAAAACAATTCGGTTTCTTAGCTGATAATATAGATTCTTTTAAAGCTCTTAGAAAAATAAGAAATGATGAGTGTTATAAGGAAATTGACAAAAAGCTTGAAGAGATAAAGTCTGCAGTGAGGAAAAATGAAAGTTCAAGTAATGAAATCACAAGAGAAAATGAATTCCTTCATTGGTGTAGACAAAATGTTAATAATGTAAGAAAGTCTAAGAAAATCAAAAATGGTCGGTATGTAAGAGACATAAAAATGTGCAAAAAATGGTATGAAATTGATGACAAAATGAAAGAATTGTAAGTAACTACATACTAAAATTATAATTATTTTTATTGAACAAAACTATTTATCTCTATTTGTACGTAAAAAATATATCAGACTTTAAGATAATTTCAAAAACTAAATCTTGTTTATTATGTATACACACAACATATCTAAGAATAGTAAAATAATTGTATGTATATAAAATAAATCTGTATATATTAATAATATAACTTGTACAAATAAATAAATAAATCATTATTTTTATTTTTAAAATATGTTATAGAAAGTAAATTAAATATTTTGTAGAATGAGATCCAAAATTATTACTAAAAAAACTTTTATTCCAATATAGTTACACTGAAAAATTAAGCAGTCTTCCTGATCCAATTGGTGCAGCTTTTCATCCTGGAGGACACTATGGTTTAATATCAGAAAAAATGGACCTCTCTATTGATAATTACTTTAAAACTAAGTACATATAAAATACTTTTATACATTTATCATGTTCAATGTGTTTTAACTTTTAATATTTTTTGAATATTCTGTGTCCTTTAGTAATCATGGTTTGAGCAAAGAAGATCAACAAACTGCTAGAGAATTAATACGTCTTAAAGCTATGGCAGCAACTGCAGTAGCCGGTGAACCAGTAGGTTGTATTGCTGCCCAATCTGTAGGTGAACCATCTACACAGATGACATTAAATACTTTTCACTTTGCTGGTCGTGGTGAGATGAATGTTACCCTAGGTATTCCTAGATTGCGTGAGATATTAATGATGGCTACAAAAACTATTAAAACTCCTTCAATGGAAATACCATTTATTCAATCTAAAAAGTGATTATTAACTTTATTATAATTTATTAGTGTAGTTAAATAATTTAAATATTTTATCTAAATGTTTAGTGTTCAAAAAAATGCAGAGAATTTACGGAAACTTATGACTAAAATAACATTGAAAGATGTTTTATCTAAAGTTCAAGTGCGAGAACGAGTAAAATTAAAGCCAGTTAGGCATATGCGTTATGATTTAACGTTGCATTTTTTACCACATCGTTGCTATGATTCTATAACTCATTTAACACCAAAAGCAGTTATGAAATTTATTAAATTCCAATTCACGGACTATCTAAAAAAAATGTTTTCAAAGAATTTATCAAAGAATTTTAGTGGAGAATTAATTTCCGAACAAGCTAAAAAAGCAATTAAATTAAATAGAGAAAAAGATAACATTGATGAAAATAAATTATTAGTAAGTATATTATATTTCTTATAATCTCTTGCTTTATCTTGAGTTATTTCAAGCCATGGCTTTTAAAATTAGTATGAAATTCTGGAATTTTAATTTTAAACTTGACCCTGTATTAAAAACTCCAAATTGTATTATATGATTACACGCACACGCACATGGTCATTTTAACCAAATATATATTATAATATATTCAATTTTCATATATACACATTTTTACTTTACCTATTATTTTTTATTGTTACACTGTTAATTTAAATAGTAACATGCATTTAAATTTTAATAAATAAAAAAAAAAAAAAATTAATTATTATTTATATTGTATAGATAATAATACTATTGTACTATGATTCTTATAATAAATAACTTGATAACATATCCCATATTTTTCATCTACTGTACAACAATATAGTAACACGTAGCCTATAGGCAATGTCGCTGTAGGGTTTTATGAGTTTTTATTTTTTTTTATTAATTTTAACGGGACAAGCCCTTTACATAAGATATAATACTTTATAGAACAAACTATAGAAATACTATCACTATTACACGCTCTACAGCTGAATAGATAATTAAATATATTATTTGCATCTTGCTATAATAATTAAAAATATTATTTAGCACATTGATGAATATTACTCCTATAGCAGTAATATGTAAAATGTCATATTACGTCACTACTGATGAAGCAGTAATCTTTTCAATGGTATCAAATCATAGAAGATAGTAGACTGCCATATTACAGCATTCTATACTGACAATTTACTTAGATTTTGGATGTAGGCTTAGCATTACTAATATAACAGTAAAAATTATATTACAAGTGTCATTCAATGTGTTAAAAATGTTAACTACAGTAAGTTCTAATTACATTAAGTTACAGTTAAAATATTTTATGAGTTATGTGTCCAAATAAAATAACCAGGTCATTTAGACAAGTGTGCGTGTATGCAATGTTAAAGCCTTATTTTCATAAATATTAATTATTCAAATTTTGAAAATATATATTATTATTTTATTACGTAATTAATATTATAAACACTTTAACTTTTTATCATGATCATACATTCTAAGGGTAAGTCATTTTTTATCGAAATCAGTATTAAATTTAAAAAAATGTATATCCTGGAAAAAACAAGGAATAGACAGGAAAAACTCTAAATTTAATTTTGTGGCAACTATATATTTTCTTTAAAATTTAATTTTCTTGGTTCTTTATCAATCTACATTTATTTATTTATTTTTCATTTCCATTCTAACCTGTACCTTTACTTATCTACTGATTGTATTTCCAAAATAAAGTCATTACGGTTTTATCTGCATATTCAGTCTACACCTTTTAAATATCTCTCTTGACTTATATTATTTCCTAATATTTCTCTTTTCTCTATATACTCTTACACTTATGATACCTAGTTTATCTTCAGTTTTGTAGCTCCTTGTAATTTGTTGATACTTATGCATTGTTCATTTTTGATACTTGTTTATAATATTCCTAAGTCTTGGTTTTAATTTAATTTATTTTGTAACTGATTATTTTTCCATTTTTTTTAACCAACCTTTGCATATTGTTCCCACTAATCTCTTCCTAACAATGCTTATTCACACATCGTATTATAATGTATTTTTGAACAGCTTGTACTAAATAAATTGTTTTTATCCCAGTGTATTGACTGTTAGGCCATTTGGTGTAAGCATGAAAAATCAAATTATTCAGAAGAGCCCAAAATCCATCTATGTATGTTTTAACTTGTTCTAAATTTATTAACTATAATTTTTAAAAATCGTAAATATTATGGTCTTTCAAAACAATTTAGGGTGCCGATTATTATTTAAGTTAAAAGAATTTAAGTAGTGCTGACTTGAAATTTGTTTCAATACAACTAAAATTAAATTTTTTAAAGTTTGAGTTTGATTTAACATATTTAACAGGTATCAATTTAAGCTCAGAGTTTTTCGAAAAGTGTAAAATATCTATTTTTGGCATATCCTTTAGATTTTATAGGCTATTAAAGCCTTTTTCTGCTTTTCTGATTCATAACAATATTATCTGCATTTTCAATCCGTTTCTTCCACATGATTTAAATCTTTCTTTAACCATTCTAGTTATCGGTTGGTTTTCCTCTGGGGCATATTTTATTTAATTTAGAGACTAGTACTTGCCTCAATAGTCTGTCTTTATCTCGCCAAATATGTCCGGCCCATTCCAGTTTTTTTGAGACAAAACATTTTTGGATATTTGGCCCATTAAAGATTTTTTCAATATCTGCATTTGTTTTTCTTTTATATTACCCTGTCTCCGTACTGTATCCCATCTATCACCCCCAAGTCATATATTCTTCTGAGAACTTTCCATTTAAAGACTAGTAATTTTGTTTTATACTTTTTTGTTGTTGACCAAATCTCACAACAATAAATTAATATAGGCCATAGATATGAGATATAAAGCTTCCTTTTGGTTTCTTTTGAGAGAAGCTTAGATCTAAATATTTTGTTCGTTGAATATTATTCTCGATTTACTGTATCCAACCTTCACTTATTTCGTTATGCATGTCATTTCTGTTATTTAGATTGACCCCCAAATATTTCAGATTTACTACTTGTTCAAATGTATATTCATGTACAGATAAATTCTGTAAAATGCTTGGGGGTCTGCTCATGGTTATACACTTTGTAATAAATAATACATAATACCTACAATACTACAATAATAGTTATACCTATACTATTTGTTTGTATTTTAATAATTTAAGAGGATAATTGTAAAAACTAAAACCAAGAATTTTCAAAAAAATATGAACACTGAGCATAATATATATATTTTTCTTTATTTAACAAAAATAGTTAACTTAATGTCAAAATATAATGGTACTTTTATTGGTAGTTTCTAGATCCACAATTATGAGTATAAAATTTTTTCGTAAATTTAATAATTGACCCGGTATAAGCCAAAATCTACAATTTTACTCTTTTTTATAGAGCTTTGGGCTTAAGTCGGCACCTGTTTATATTAATATATTTATCAAGCTTAAAATTTAGTAGACTTATATATAGGTGGATTGAAACAAATTTCTAGCCAGTACTCTTCAAACTTTGAATAAAAATATTTTTACTATATAAAAAAGAAACCCGATAATAATTAAAACATTATCAAAACACTTGGCCGTAATCAACAATATCATTGTCAGGTAAAAACAAAACAGTCATTAGTAAAATTAAACAAACAATGTAGCTTACATCAAATAGTCTATTAACAATCAATATATTATAATTATTAATATTACTCATAAATTATGAATTTTAGATGTTTTTGTACATTTTGACATTTTAATTGAACATATTTTTTTTTTTTATGTATTCGTTGCACACAAACCTGGTCTTAGCTTATAATCTTTATGACTATTATTATTTGAAATTATATTTCAGGATGAAAGTGAACCCCAAGATATACCTAAAACAAATAATGCAATCGATTCAGATAGTGACTCAGAGGCCGGAGAATTTGATTCAGCAGCTATGAAAAGAAAGTATGTTTTTAAATATGTATTTTCAAAATATGGTAGTGAAATAAATAATTGATTATAATATTTCTAGAGCTCAAACAGAAGAATATGATTACGAAAAAGATGAAGATGATCCACAAAGTGATGGAGAAATTGAAATTAATGAAAAACAAAGTGAATGTAATAACTCAGTTATTCTAGAAAGTCAAACTAAAGATATTGATGATGAGTCAATAATGGATCCATCAAATAATAATATTAACCAAACTGATCTGAATGAGGAGGTTATAAAAAAAGATTATTCGGGAATTGTAGTTCAAGTTATTGAGTAAGATCCAATGTATAGTTCATAAAACAATAAGTACTATTTGTTTTTATTTCTTACAGACATGACAAGAAATTTGCATATGCTAAAATTAGTGTAACTATACCTTTAGATTACAAAAGAATTGATTTAACAGCTTTAATTAAAGATTTGGTGGATCGAGTAATAATTCACGAAATACCTGGTATCAATAGAGCAATTTTAACTGAAGAAGACAATAAAATAATATTGAAAACTGAGGGTTCACGTGGTGTAGCAGAATTGTTTAAGTTCTCCGATAGTTTAGATTTAAATTTGTTGTACTGTAATGATATACAAATGATGTTGAATACTTATGGTATAGAAGCAGCAAACAGGGTTATTATTAAAGAAATTAAGAATGTATTCAAGGTTAGAATAGCTTATTACAATAATCAATCAAATTTCATATTAATTGTATATCATTTTGAATTTAGGTTTATGGTATTAATGTAAATCCACGACATTTATCATTAATAGCTGATTATATGACCTACGATGGTAAATTCAAGCCATTAAATAGACTTGGTATGAATGGCTGTCCATCTCCATTGCAACAAATGTCATTTGAATCCACTCTAAATTATTTAAAGAAATCTACATTACGAGGATTAAAGGATAATTTGATGTCTCCATCAAGTGCTCTTATCGTTGGTCAACAAGCTCGAATTGGCAGTGGACTTGTAAAATTGTTATGGCAATAAAATTATGTGCCACTGTGTAATGAAATTCTTAATTTTGTTATTTAATATTAAATATAATTTTTTAATTCTTATATAGTCAAATTTGTTAATTACATAAAATTAATTTGTATGCTATTACCAGTCACAAATTAAAGCAAGGTTACATGAGACATTAATCTTTCCCCAAATCCAACTTTTACTTTTGTTCAAAACATAGTAGAGATTGAAGTTTTTTTACTTGCAATAAGTAAATTTGATTAAAGTTATGAACAATAGGTAAAAAAAAACACTTAACTACATAGGAGAAAAATCTGTATAGTTTACCAAGAACCTGATTTATTTATTATAATCAAAATTATTTCAACTTTATTCAAGGAACTTTTGGGCTACCTATTTTTGTTCAAAAACATGTTTTACCTGACTAGTATGCACTTGGCAGTTAAATATTTTATTAGATTCATTGCTTCCTAAATTGATTCTTCTATATGAATGAAGTAAATAACTTTTTAATAAAAAAGTTTCATTTCAAATGATGAATATAGTTGTTATTTGTTGAACAACTAGTATAGATAACTTGGAGAGTATAAATTCAACCAAAAAATGAAAAATCAATTGAATGGATCCTGTCTGTTCAATATTGCATTTTAAACTTCTTTACAATTTTTCCAGTACAGTGCTTAAATCTATTCTGTAGTTGAAACTAATGTTTCATACTATTTTTCTATAAATTATTTATAATTTAGTCAAATTTAATTATTAATTGTAAAATTAATAAACAAATACAATAACCTTAATATTTTAACAAGTTAATTTTTTTTTTTAAATTACAATTTCATTTCTGTATTTTTCACAGTTAAGTACCATTTAAGTATTCATTTTTTGTTCAAAAATATCCTCGCGATTGTCAAACACATCAACACTATTGCAATAATTAAAAAATGTATCTTCAATCACAATTTTCAATCTGAGAAACCTTTGATTAAGATGTACTAACCCTCCTTTCTACTTAATATTAGTCAATAAGACTTCGGGTGTTGTTGACATGTTTTCTTCTAAATAATCAAAATTAAAAAGTATAAGCTATAATTATTATTACAACAAACATTGTTTTCAACCTGTTTGGATGACCATTTACAATTTATGTAATTTTAAAAATAAGCACTTAAATCTGTATGAGCAATAATATTTTTTTATAAACAAGGCATCCTGTGATAATAATAATTTATTCTCTCAAGAACCCAGTAACCCAAATTCATAAATGTAAATAATTCGTGACCACCAGTTTTTATTGGTTAACAATTGTTTATCTATCTCTATGGAGAGCTCTGACTACTGATCACGATTTAAGATAATAATGATTTTTGAATTGCGCTACTGATTAAATATTATTAACCACGATAATATTCACATTTGCCAAAACTTCAACGAATTGTTGAAAATAAAGCATCATGTTTCAACCACCTAAAATTTAAAAAAAAGGATATTTTAAAATTTTTAAAAATGCAATGCCACCATAAATAATATATACTATATATATTGTCTATATTGTATAGATTATCTATGAATATCACATTAGTGTTCGTGGGAACTGAGAAACACTGATAGTGTAGAATTAGAAGTTTTTGATAAGAAGTTATGTGAATATGATATAATAATTATGTCTATGTAGATTTTTAATATTTTTGTTGATACCTATCATATATTTTTTTATTTTATTCAAATTTAAAATACTCAAACATTGGTATTTACTATTGTCTATTACTATTAGTTTAAAATTAATAAAGATAATGATCTACAGGACGATTATCTATTTTATCTTTAGGCAGCATATATATTGCATTATAAATATTGAATTTTCTTTTAATTATATCTTCTCAACTTAATTCCAGCTGTTACTATTCATCTATGGTATTTAATTATAATTATGACTTTAAACTATTATTGTTATTAAAATTTATTTGTGTGATATAAATAAATTTAAAGGTTTTAAACATATTTATGTATGTATACAATTTCTTCTATATCATAAGAACATATCCATTATTCTTTCATAATGTATGACTATGAATATGGTGATATGTGTTTTGACGAAGATAAAATGTAAGTTTAAAAGTATCTACTTATTTGATTATAATATATTTATTTGAATGTATGTATGTTTAGGGGTATGAAAGTAACTTCAGGAGTTGTAACAATTAATAAGGACCCTACAACCAATCTTATAGGAATATCAATTGGTGGAGGACCACCTCACTGCCCTTGTATATATGTTATTCAGGTGTGATTAAATTAACTATATATTATATTCATTACATATGCCATTTACAAAATTTTAATCATAGTATATATTTATATATATATATTGTGGTGCATTGGTAAATAAATGTATGGATATACGCACCTAAAAGGGGTTTCTCGTTACACTCAAAAAGACATTCCACCTACATAAAACTACCTAACCACCTTACTACACCGACATATTGCCTAGACATGTATGTATCATCGTGTATAACTTTACTGGCATACTTCTAAAATTTTATATTGGTAATTTATTTTTGTAATTGTTTTAAAATTTATTTATTTAGTTTCTAACAAATATGTATGTAATCATGACTTTTAAAACTGGAATTACGAATTTAATAATATTCAATTGAACTTCGATGTAAAATAAATGGTGTGAACATAAAGACTTAATTTGAATGTGAATTATAACCTGATAGTATTAGGTTCAGTGGGAATTTTGTTATGAAGATCTACATTTTAAACTTGACTGCTGATCTGTTCTCTTTTGGGATTATACAATAAAATAATAATTGCTTATTATTTATTTATTTTTTGGTTTTATGGTGACTGTGAATTAAAAGCTTGCGTATACCTTTAATGGTATATATTTTAGTTGGCGTATGCCTATAATCAACAAATTTTCTCATAGGTATTAGTATAAATTTGAAACTATTAGGGAACCATTATATGTCGTAATACATCACTGTATGTATATAGGTTAAACTAGGCATATATATATGCTATGGTTAGAGTATAAATAATAGGTAATATTTAACTTATCCACGTAATTTAAACACTACCCATACCATTGAATAAAGTAAAATATTTTGAACATTATCCTAGTAATTTATATGTTATCTACCATTGTGTGGGTAAAGTACTTTGATAATATGTACGACGGTATTTATGTTCACTTATAGAAGATAGGAAATTCTCAATCCTTGAATCCTGATTCATGGGTTTAAAAAAATATTGTAAAAGAGAACGTTACACGAAAACACGAAAATATTCAGATATAAATCTGTAGTGATTTTATATAATTTAAAATGCAATCCAACTTTAAATTAAAAAAAACTAATCACAATATTCTTTTAAGTTGATCATTTTTTTTAAAAAATATTAATAATTATTAATATTATATTTATTTTTTTCAAACAATAAGTATTAAGTAACTTAATATATATATATATATAATCTTATATTTAATTTATTATTATTTATTTATTTATTTTATAACACATTGGTTAATGTTTACATTATCCATAATTTAAGTATTTTCGAATAATTAGTAATATACAAAAATGGAGTGTTCACACTACGAGAAATGTTTACATAATCCATTTTCATACTTTTTATATGAATAATATTACATATCACTATATAATAGGTTTCAGACAATTCACCAGCTGCATTAGATGGTACATTAGAAAGTGGGGATGAACTTTTAGCTATTAACAATGAATGTGTACGTGGTCGTACTAAGATGCAAGTAGCACAAATGATTTTATCAAGTGTTGTAAGTTCAAATAGTTTTATATTTCCTTACAATATTCACAATACATAATTGATTAATTTATTATATTTAATTTAAAAATACCTCAAATATAGTATGTATATAAATTTACTTTGAAATTTATTTATTCAACATCTAATAATTACATCATATATATTTAATATTTACATTACATTAAATTTAATATCTACTCCCGATAGGCAAAGTTTCTGACTGGAGGAGACAGTCTTTTACAACAAATTAAGTATTACAAATTACAATATACTTTATAAGTTTAAAAGTTAGATAGGATACATAAGAAACACTTAAAATATCAAATATATATTTTGAACTGTTTTTATTTTTAGTACTAATAATGAGCATAAAGAAAAAAACAGATTTAGAGTTAATGCTAAACATGAACATACAGTTTTTAAAATATGTATTTTTTATTCAAATGTTTATAAGTTATTCTATTTTTATTTAATATTTGTTTATTAGGATCGAGTTATATTAAAATATAATAAATTACATGCTGATGCTCGTCAAGGTAAAACATTGGATATTGTATTAAAAAAAGTTAAACACAGATTAGTGGAGCGTATGTCAGCAACTACTGCCGATTCTTTGGGAATGTCTCGCGCTATACTTGTTAATGACAGTCTAGTTAAACGTTTACAACAATTAGATGACATGGAACAATCATATCGTCACTTAGTTGACCATACAGAGCGTGTGCTTCGTGCTTTTTATGCTTTGACCCAGTGTTTTAAAGGTACTTTTTCAATAAAAGTATATTATTATTTAAGTATACTTCAATAATTTAATTAATATACTTTTTATATTTTATTCAGATTTTGGTGACACTTTTGCTGAAATAGGTGCAAGAGAACCACAACCTAGAGCGAGTGAAGCTTTAGTACGCTTTGCTGAATATCACAGACGAATGGAACGTCAGGGCCTTATGCTAATTAAAGCATTAAAACCTGTAAATATAAGCTTAATAATGTAATATTATTTTTGATAAATCTAATTTACAATTTTGGAATAGATATCTAGATCGTTTGGTACGTATTTAAATAAAGCTATTCCAGACACCAAACAAACAATACGAAAGTATGCAGATGTTAAATTTGAGTATTTATCATATTGTTTAAAAGTTAAGGAGTTAGATGATGAAGAAATAACTTATTGTTCTGCAGATGAACCATTATACCGTATTGAGACAGGAAATTATGAATATAGGTATGAACATATTTCTGTTAGTTTATAACTAGAGATTATACTTTTTGCTTTAAATATAATTATTAGATGTAAAGAAAAAATTAATAAAATGTCTACTTGTTACAAAAAAAACCAATAAACCATTTTCAATATTTGGCATGTAATTTCTTCTTTGTTTTTGACCCAATTTAAAAATACAATGCATTCATCAGCAAATAAACAAAAATATATTAAATATATATATTAATTATAAATTAAATTAAAAATTATAATTAAAAATATATTTTTGTTTATTTGCTGTTAAAATTCTAAAAAAAATGTGAATTTTATCAGTACAATTTCAGGCTCCAACATTTAATATTATATTTTAAAGTTAAAAATGAGTAATATTGGTTAAACTGGTAATTTTACCCCAAGATATATTACAAAAGTTAAAAAGGATAACTTCTATTTTTGATAATACATCTGAGAATCTACTATGTATACAAAATATTTAAATTTAATGTGTTATATTAAAAAAAAAAAAATTCTAGCCAACATTCATTATTACATTTGTGTAACATATTTGTCATACAATATACATGTTCATAATAAATTTAATATTTTGATAAATTTTAATTATAAACTATAATGTATTTTTGTACAGACTTGTACTGAGATGCCGCCAATTAGCAAGAAAACGATTTGCTGCTCTTAGGGAAGATGTTTTGGCTAAAATAGAATTATTAGAAAATAAACATGTGCATGACGTTGTAGGTCAATTGCACGCTATTGCTTCACAAATGGCTGGTTACAATCGAGAAATAAGTCGTATGATGCTTGGTGGAGGAAATGATGATAGTGAACCACCATTATTTCCTATTGAAATGGATTTGACACGTACTGCGTTTCAATATGAGTCCGTCCAGCCACCTATTAATGATAATTACCAAGATGACCAACAAAATGTAAGAAAATACCGTTATATTCTCAAATAACTGATTTTAAAAAAAATAAATTTTATAATCTTTCAATGTTTTTTATCATAGGAAAATGTTCATAATCCGAGAGTTTACAGAGATTTACCATTACCACCTAAAAAGAATGACTCAGTTTCAGCAGCTTTTAAAGAATTATCACAATTACATTTGGATACTGATGAAATAGATACCGAAAACCAAACTCAAACAGCATCTTCTCCATTGCTATTAGATTTATAATTATTTTGATGAATATTAAATTTAAAAATGACATATTCCCCATATTATTTATTTCTATTCATTTTTATGAATACTTAAAAACTAATATACATTTAATCACATAAAATAAGCTTTGTTAGTTACTTTTTATCTGTGCATTTTATACTTTAGTCGCACTTATCAACTTAATATATATATTATTAAGACTATAATATAATAACCTATATTGAAATATAAATTACTTGTTTTTCACGTTCTTATTACTTCTATTTCCTGTCAAATTTATAAAGTAGATAATCAAAATACAGTACAATAATGAAACTGTAATAAGCCACAAATATCAACATTTTTTGATTTATTTTGTACAATTATTCATCTATATTTAAGTGAGTAAATTTTAGACTTATTTATCAAAATATTATTTTTATTATAAATACACAAAAAAAAAATTGATTGGGTTCTTAGTAATGAATTAGATACTATTGAATGCTTTTTTCACTAGAGTTCTTTAATATACAGTATTAGTTTTATTCATTTTTGCACATTGAATCTAAGAAAAATATTAATGCATGGGTAGATTAAAAAATCTAAAGTAGTAAAAAAAATGTGTATGCTTTTTCCAGTCAAAAGAAAACATTGAATTATTAGGATTTTTTAACTAACTATTGAATATTAATTTAAAGATTTTAAATAAAATAAATATCAAATGTGTTGTTTACCTACAAAATGGAGATGAAAATATCTATTGTGTTATCCGCTTATAAATATCTCGCAAAATATAATTATAAAGATTAATATTGAACTAAATATTATCTGATTATGTTAGTTATGTATGTTTTTTGCTTCTAATATTATTACTTAATTCTGTTTTTTCTAGATTTGGAACGTATTGGTGTAACATAAATTTTTTTTTATCTGAATAACAATAATCAGATATCTTGCTCCTATGTATCCAGTGTAGCACTTTTTTGAAAGGCGATTTAATTTACTTGGTACTTTAAGAAGGTCATTTTTGATTTTCCATGCATTTTTCATAATAATTTTAAAAAAAAAACTGGAAAATTGTTGAAATTATTGTAATTTAATTAATCATACTTGTAGAGACTTGTAATTTGGCAATTTTAATTTCGCAAGTTTTTTCATGCAATTTGTGTTTGGTAGGTAGGTGCTCTATCTATAAAATTGTTAGACTAAAGCAAAATGTATGAAATTTAACATGAAATTCATTTTTAAATCATATTTTGTTATCAAGAAATATAATTGAATTTAATGTAGTACATTTTTTAAATTCTCCTCTATTTCTTAACTTTCCATTTATAACAGTAGCCTACCCATTAAACATTATCAATTACTTTCCATGTAATTAAAGAACAATTTAATGAATAAATATTGTTGATATATTACAAATTATATTTATAATTAATATAAAATTAACATGTTTTTAAACTAAAATCCTTAATATCAAATAGTTGAAATTTAGATGTACCACTTCCACCAACAGCTACCATAAAAGGGTAATCACTACATCCATCCAAACTATGCAATGCACCAGAAAATTCTCTTATTTTGATCAAGTGTTTTTTTTCTTTATCCCATACTTTTAATGTTTCATCTGTAGAAGAGCTTACAATAAATTTATCCCAAACATAAATTCCAGTGACTTCATTTTCGTGATGCTTATACCTCCATAGTGGTTTATCGGTTCGACAGTCATAGCAAATTAGTCGACCTCTATCAGTGCCAACATAGCACAAGAATCCATTAGATGGATCCCAGTGAACTTTTTCTACTTTTCCTTTGATTTTCCAACTTTTATATGTATCATAGGTGCGACAATCATATACATAAAAATCTGAAGAACCAACCGCAAGTGTTTGTGATTCAAACGGATGCCATTTTATTGATTGAACATGATCACCAAAGTCTTCCATTCTAGTATGAGGTTCACATGCATCTAAATCCCAAAGTAAAATGGTTTCATCTACTGAACCACTAGCAATTATGTGAGATAGATGTTCATTCCATGTTATATCCAAGATGGCATCAGTATGACCATAATTTCGTTCAGGATTTTTTTTTTTCTTTCTGCCCAATCTACAAATATCAATGAAATATTTATTAGTGTTAAGTGGTAATCAAGTCATAATTTAAAATTTAAATTTAAAAAAATATTATGATTTATTACATTTACCTATGGGTGGGCTCCAAGCAACCAATCAAATCTAAATCCCACAAATCAATTGTGGCAGACATAGATCCTAAAGCACATAAATTCCCCATAGATCCAAACCATTCCAAACATAACGGTGGATTTTTTAAAATAATGTCATGGTGAATATAGAAATCATTATCGTTACCATTGTAAACATAAACTTCTAACATACACTCATTTTTTTTAACATTCCCTACTAATACAAGATTATCATCAGGTTTAAGAATTTCATCGAGTTTGTCACTATCAGTATCAGAATCATTGTCATCATTATTGATATCATTGTATACAGCCAAATTACTTAGAGACATGGCTCCTGATATATCCATGGTCTCTTCATCATAATTCTCTAAATTGTAGTCTTTTCTAGTATTTCTGCTGGGTTCTTTCTCTTTTTTTTCGGTTTTTGTCAATTCTTGCAATTCCTGTTGAGATAACTTGATTTTGTTTTGGTGTAAAGATACACCTTGCTTCACCCATTTCACGCAAGGAATAAAACTTGTCATTATCACATTCAATTAGTTTGAACAAATTAAATTTATTTTCGAAATATAAAACATTTATGACTTACAAAACACACGTGATCTTTGTATATAAAACGATAACATTTTGATTGTGCATTGTATAATATATAAATCGTTATCACCAATTATCATATCAATTGTGATCAATGCACAAAAAAATTAACAAGGAGGTTGTTTAATTTAAATCATGATCAGTAATACTAAAGAAACGTTTATTATCTATAAAAAATGTAAAATCAAATATTGTTATCATTCTATCAATAATGTCTTTAATTTTAATTCAAATATCTTATGTACCAAAGAAATAATTTTTTTTATAAATATTCTAGACTTTAAAATGTCACAAAAACGGAGTGTTCCGTCACCAATTAAAAGTATATTGGATATCGATGTAAAACTTACTTCAGCTTTATGTAACATTGTTTCTAGATTTTTGCCAATTCGCCGTTTTTCAACTTACTACAAAGGTTTAGAGGTAAAAATAAAAAACTATAAAATATTTGTGTATAAAATTGTAATATTAAATTTATAATGTTGAATTCAAGTATTCATGTCATGGAATTCTATGGTTTGCTGGTTGGATGGCATTTATTTGGTGTGCTTGGTCACAACCTTTGTTTCAAATGCAAATCAACTTCCTTATTGGCAAGTTAAACATATGTGATTATATTTATTTTAAATGATGTTTAGTACAATTCCATGTCAATAATTTCAGCGTTAAATTAAAATGTTTTAAATATGCATTTAAAATATAAAAAAGTACATCTTTGGGATGAAATAGTTGATTAACTTTTATTTTTATATTTTTTCATTAATTTATTAAATTGTCATCTATTAAAAGATGATAAGTTGTCAAATTAAATTCTAAGGCAAACATGAAAAAACTACATAATCCTTAACTTAAATTAAGCCTATGTTAAATTTTGTTTTAATAAATTTAAATAATAGAATATTTTAAATCATATTATCTTGTCCACTATATAATACATAAAATGTACCTATAGTCATATTGATAGGTATATATTTTCTATAGTAATAATAACCTATTTTTAAAATTTTTTTATTTAGGATTACTCATTGATATATTTGCAGTTGCAATTATAAAAGCATTTGTTCGTCGTCGTCGACCAGTAGGTAATAAGAATGATCAATGGATTACAGTTGGTCCTGATGTATACTCGTTTCCATCTGGACATGTGTCGCGAGCATTTTTCATTGTGTTTTACTTTTTTAAATTATATCCATTAAATGAATTTATGATCCTCATTCTAAGTATCTGGGCAATAGCTGTAGCTTTTAGTAGAATATTTTTAAGACGGCATCATTTGTTAGATGTCATTGCCGGAAGCATATTAGGATATTTGGTGACATTGGGAACGAGTGTAATTTGGATTGACGAAAGTACAGCTGAGAATATTGTTTCATATATATCTGATGAAAAAGTAGAAGGTGGAGAGTATCATGTATGAATTTAATAATTATTTATATATATTTTTTAAATTAATTTATAAAAAGACTGTTTAAATGTTTTTGAATTTATAATAACATATTAAAAAAATAATGGGTTTAAAATAAAATAATAATAAATTATGTATTTTGTTATAGTTCAATACTTGTGAATTAATATAACTTTTGTGGACAGATTTATCAAGGATTCAATCTGTAAAAAAATATACCTGTTTTAATATGTTAATTAAATTAAACTAAATTATAATCAAAATAACAATGCATTTTCACATATTTATATTTATTAATAGCTATCCATGTAAGCTACCTTGATTATGAGTTTTCTGCTTACACTTAATCCATCCATATTTATTCATATAACTATTTCACAGATTCTTAACACATCTCTTCATGTCTTTATTACAGTAGGGTCATGGCTGATAGAATTAGATATCAAATTGTAACTCACTACTAGTTGATAACTTTTATACAAGGTGTGAAACACTAGTCTTCTAGTGAGTTGTTCTAAGAAGGGTGGGTTCAGTAACAATAATGCATTGGACGAGGAGTGGTATATATTCACATTTAAAGTTCTAAGGCATACCTTTTAAAAGCCAATCATCACATAACATGCATTTAGGAATCCTTAAATACACCCACAGGTCGTGTTCCTGATAAGAAATCAATTCCTTTATATCTGGGCAGCTTAAGACTAATCTGTGATGTGTAGAATATATGACTGGTGCAAAGTATACTAGCCTGATTTACCCCTATGTGGTTTCATTATCATAAATTAAAATTTGTTTTTCTTAACACGGAAAAAGAATTAAAACTTATACCTCCTATACTGTTTGTGTTATTCAAATTTAAAATAAGGTAGTTTACCTGGTGCACTTATATGTATACAAACCTGTATATATATATAGGTATAACAAAACTATTTAATAAATGTAATAACTTTTTCTGAACAGAGCAAAGAATGTATTGGTTTTAATGTTTATTTTTTTTTTATCTATGAATAACTTTTCCATTACAAATTTTATTTAGATTTTCAAGTATAGCACTTTTTCTAAAAGGAAATTTGATTAGGGTGGTACTTTAACGGAGGTAATTTTTTTAATTTTCTCTAGTTTTCATAATTGGGAAAATATACAGAGTGTTATAGCCTTTCCAAACATGTATAATTGAACTCTACTCAGAATCGTTTTTTGTTAGAACTGATTAATCTTTACATACATTCAAATAAATTTTAACTTTGCAAACTTCTCACCTATAATAGTAGCTCAACCATTGTGCGAAATATATCCATAAGGGTTTTTTTTTTTTGTAATGAATACGAGAGCTATGTAAAATAATTTTTTTATTAATTTTAGTACTTAAAAACTAAAAATTTAATTTTTTAAGTTTAAAACTTTTGAATTTACAAAATAGTATGATGAAATTTAAATTCCTAAACAATAAAATTTAACTAAAAAATATTTATTTGTTAAATAGTTCTGTCACACCTGTAAACATTTTTTAGTTTATTTACTTATTAAATTCATTGAATATTAATATATAATATATACTAATGTGTTACTTTATAATTGTGCTCATACAAAATAATAAGAATAATTATATATCAAAACCCCCTCAATGTGTACTCTTTTATCTTATAAACTATTGAAACAACACCCATTACTTATTTATCCTCTTTAGTAGCTCCACTTATTCAATTCATCTGTGCTACACTCAAATTCTGTTCTACAATAATATTAATCTGTGCTACACTCATATTTTGTTCTACAATAATATTATTCTGCTTATAGTATTTAGATATACATATAAATATATATATTGGTTTACTTATAATATATTAGTTTGAATTAGACCCGTTCACATTCGGGGAAAAAGCAAATGAAAATGATACAAGCCCACAGCAACATAAACTTTAGATAAAAACACAAGCTAAATGGTATGTATTATTGATAAATTATGGGTGAGTAATAACATTAATTTTAATACTTGAATAATTTTTCATAATTCAATTTTTAATATACAATATTTTGCTAACAAAATATAGAATAATTTAATAAAATACTACATTTTTATAATAGTAATAGTAATTTTGAATACTGCAATATTATAAATTAAATAATTAAGGACAGTTATTTTGAATAGAGTGAATTGGTTTTTATTATGTCATGTTACCCTAAAATACTGATTATATAAATATTACTCATCTTAAAATATTAAGTTTGTTCTTGATCAATACACATAATATATGTTACACATTTAAATTTATTAATTTGTATTTAATGTACAAGCAATAAATTCAATATCTTAGTCACTATTTATTATGTTTATAAAAAAAATATATATACGATTGTTGTTAAAAAAAAAAAATCATTGTTTAGGAACATTAGTGTATAAGGTACAATAGATTCTATTAAATTGTAATATTGCAAAAAAAAGTTTTATTACAATATTAATAGTACCTGAATATTGTGATTAATAGTTGATTTTTAAAAATATATTCTGTTGAAGTAAGTTCACGAGTACAAAATAACAAAGAGCCCTAATTCATTATTTAATACAAAAGCATTTTACAATAAAATACATATTCAGCCTTCAAAAGTGAAACACATTTTTAAAACTCTGATTTGAACATCATTATAAGTTTATGATATTAGTTAGAGAAACAATTTTTTTTTTTTTTATGAAAAATGTCCATATTTAACGTGTTAATAGTGTAATTATAATATGCAATAATTTATATTAGTTACCATTATAACTAAAGACCATTAAAATTTTACAATATATGATTATAGTGCAATTTATTTTATAATGTTTCAAGTAGGAATGAATTGTGAATTGTTATTACATTTTTTTTTTTTTTTTAGTACTGCTTTAGTGTTATACTTATATTTAGGATTAGTATAAATTAACAACAGTACATACAATACTGGTATACATCATTTCTTACAAATAAATAGCTACCACCCGTTAAAATAGGTGAAATAAAAACAGATTACCATAACTGAGTGTGGAAATTCTTGAGATCTAATTTTGGATGCGCATGGCTTGATTGATGCCCATTGCTTTCATCTGAAACATGGTGGTGTTGTTCATTCTTATGCTGTGCATTTTCTTTTTCATGATGTTCGACTCTAAAATTAATTGAAACAAATAAATATTATTTAATATTATTGTAATTATTAAGTGATATAAATAAAAACAAAATAATTTTTACCTATTTTCATTTCCAAATTGGTTTTCTGTTGCTTTTTCACCATATAGTATCTACAAAATATAATGTAACATAGGAAAAATAAATTAAATTAGAATAGATTATTGTGAATAAATAATAAATGTAATTACATTAGCCATGCAATCTTGTTGTCTAGCAGCGCCATGACGTCCAAATGTTGCTTGACTTTTATACCCGCTTGAACTATAAAACAAAATATACATTTAATTATAAATAAAAGCATACGGATATTATTTATTATAACTAAACAATTTTACACTAACCGATCAATACCAGTGTCTTTTCCAGTGTTGTCTATAAAACAAACATAAAAACAAATTTATTAATTATGTATAAAATTAGAAAAAAAAACTGTGTTACCATCATTTTCAAAAAATTCTTCAAAAATTACAAAGTTGTTTCCTTGATTAACTAATTTGGATAAATTAAAATATTTCCATAAAAATTGCAAAAGTTTATTTGTAGGCTGGTCAACAGCCAATTGCCTTGCTTGAATTTTACTATCCTAAAATAATGTTCAAAATGTAAGAAACAAAAATAGTGTTATTTTATTAGTATGGTTTTAATACTTTTAACATATATTCCATTAGTTTTATGCCATAACCATGGCGTTGTCTAGTTTCATGTACATAAAAATCTAGTAGACAGTAAACCATTGCTTCGGTTCTTGATCCCTTTTTATTAAATAAATACAACTTTTTCCAGCCCATTTTTAACAAACCAACCACAACAAAATGCCTGAAATTTATATACATATTTAAATATGAAATATAATGATTATATTATAATATATTAATTTAATTAATTAAATAACAATTAATATTGATTCACAAATGTATTTGTGTTTTTACATCATTACCCCTGTGAAATTTGTTCTGTCATTAAGTAGAGTATGTGATCTGAACGCATTAATTTTTCTGCTGAAGTAATTGGAGATTTGAGCTCTTGAGCAATACCCGAAGCCTCTCCCATTTTATCCACAATATTAGAAATCATCATTTGCAATCTAAAAAAGTAAATTACATTTATTTATTTGTAGACTTTCATAAAGTACAAGTTATTTCCAAAGCCTACACGAAGAAAAATTAAGATGAAGTAGATATGCCAGGTTAAACATTATACAATAAGTGTAGCTGTAATGAGAAATTATAATTTAATAAAACTATGAACTATAAAATATGTTATTTTTTCCTTTTGAATTAAATTAAGAAGGTAAATTTAATTAGAAACTAGTTAGAAAATAGTTCAATTTACCTATTATATTTATGATTAAACCTATAATCATACAAACAAGATTGATTTAAAATTGTTACTTAAAAAACCTATTTTTATTAAATACCTACTTTTACAAGCTAATCAATAATTTTAATTGTATTCTGTTTGGGAATTTTTAAAATGTCCACAATAAAAATAAATATACAGTGAATAACACAAATAAACATTAAAAAAACCGTAGACAAACTATTCATTTTTTTTAAAAATAATAATTCAGAATTAATTTTAAATAAAATGATAGATATATCATTTAATATCTAGATACTAATTTACATAAATTATACAATTACGACGAACACAAATAATAAACATACCTATTTTAGGATATTTAATATGGTCGCCTATAAATAATATAAAAACATTAATACCCAATAGTTTTAAAATTAATTAATATGAAACTACTTCCAGAAATAAATTCTTGACATTTATGTTCTTGATTAGCAAGTTATAACAAATGTTTCATGAAAGACCAAATGGTGTTTTATGGTTTCTTTAATTATCATTATTATTATTACCTATCTATTATAAATATTAAGTAATATTTATTATATGGGTAGAACTATTTAAGCTTATGAATTTATTTGAAAAAAAGCTATTGTATGTTATCAGTCTGTTTTAAATGGCATAAAAATAATTTTTTATAGCTAACAAAATGAGATCTGTAATACCTAAGTAAATGAAAAAAAAATGTTTTGCACAGTAAATTTATTAAGTTGTATACTGTATACCTAATAAATATTAATCTTAATAATTATTCTGTTAAAGTATTTAATTTAATATTATAATAATTGATAAAGGTGGTACCTATATTGAAATGGGGAAATCACATACTTTAAAAACTTGCTTGTTGTAATATTATGTATACTTGTATAGGTATTAAGTACCTATAATTATGACTTTGAATACATACTTATAAGGTATAAAAGGATAAATTAGGTAAATGTATTTAACTTCATTATAAATATTCAAGTAGGTATTATTTATTATACATAGTTGTTCTGTACTTTTGACCATAATGGCTATAATATGAAACCCACACAATTGTGTATTGCCCTATTTAGGTACAGAAAAATAGAATAGGCAAGACTAGAGAGAGTGGGTATACAGAATAATTACAAACCAATATGTAGATTTATACAAAAGTATAAAATGAATTATGAAAACAAATTACTAAGAAAATGAAAAAAAATAGATAACTTACTCGGGATCATCTCTTTGGTAACCGATGGGTAAAAGCGTGTTGTCGATTTTGATAATCTGATCGTGGGTGATCTGACTGAAATCAAACTGGAACTCCATGATAATTTAAATGAAATTAAATTCTGTCAAACGTAAATGTAAGTTCAGAAATTCACAAAAACAGAAATTCAACTGTGAAAAGAAATTTCACAAACTGTGTAGGTAGAATAGCGGAATAGCAAATTTACGGTTTAATAATTTATTGAGAACGGAAATGCGTTGCACGTAAAAAGAGGAAGTGGAACTGGAACGAACAAGCAGACTTTACGGAGAATAAGAAATAACAACTGACAATTTTATGTTCCATATTCACGGTTAACCGTTATACATGCTTACGTGATAAGGAATAATTTAAACAAAAATCAACGGCTGGTTCTGGTGGTATCGCCAATGAAGGGTTTTTGTTGTCTACACTGTTGACCAAAGCGGTTTTAGGACGATTATTTAAAAAATACTCTTCATAAAATTAATTTTATTTTTGAATTTTAAGCAATTGATTTACCTTTAATATTTATTATAGATATTAGATAAAATGCAATTACAAATAAAAACATAAATTTATATTATTACACATCAAATGAAAAAAAAGGTCTAAAAAATCAATTTTGGGTTACTTTAATATACAAATGACTGAAATAACATTTAAATTACTTTTAGTGGTTTATTAAAAATAACATAAAAAGTAAGTACGATAGATAAATTCTGGTTCCACTAAAATGTTAAGCATATAATTACTACAATTTCCAAAATAAAAATTCCAAAAATATAAATTCTGATTAATTAATTATTAATTACCACATTATATGATATTATATATTACTATATGATGTTACACACAGCTATTGATTATCTTTAAGAAAAATGTATTGTAAAAGCTTAAAGCTTAAGTATCAAAAAATAACTTTTTATTAAATTAGTAAAATACTGTAAAAGTATTACAAAATTATGCTTAAACTTTGTATTATAGTGTAGATTAAAATTAAATGTTAAGTAGAAATTAGAGAATTTAATTTTTGTCTCCATGAAAATTATGGATTAGTATTATAGTATATGAATTATTATCTACTAATACCTATACGTACCTATATATATAATTATATTATATATTTTCTTTTTGTACTAAACTTCAAGGTTTCTTAATTTTTTCTTTTTAAATTTATGTTATTATTATGATTGAATAATATTGTTATTAATTCTCAATTAAATTGTAAAAGTAACTCCCAATTCAAAATATGTAACATTAAACAATTTAACAGTTTATTCATTAATTACCTTTCAGGTAAATACATTTTTAAAATAGTTTATTTTATTACACAACTTTTTTACTCTATATTTTCAAATGAAATTAATTATTTTTTGTAACTTGTTATATACTTATTAATAAGTATAGGGTATTTTTTTTTCTAAGTTTTTAGCCTTCGATGGATAGATTAAATTAAACAGGATTTTAAGAAACTAGGGATACTAGGGAAAGAAAAAGTATAGAATCGAGAAGAGTGGAAGGTGTCGGTGGCGGCAAAAACTCTTGAAGAGTTGTGATGTCAATGATGATGATAATGAAGTTTTTAGCCATCGCTTACCATATCAAGAGAAAGCTGATTTAACCACAAAAGGTTGGAGGAGGATACAAATAAAATGTATCCATGTATTTGGATATTAATTTGGAATCAAGTTTAATTTAATTATTTAGAATTTTGAAATGTAATGTAACCTAATGAATGCAAGTAACACATAGCATTTGAAACTGATTAAATCAATTCCATATTTGTATATTATTATAAATCCAAATGAATTTATGATCAATATTATCTAATTTCTTTTAGAAAAATTAAGGTAACAACCATTCTAAATAATGTAGGTAGATAATAGTGATGTCTATCGTTTACCCATGTAATGTTTTTCACTAATTTTTGTGTTTGAATTAATAAATTATTACATTTTTTTTTTGGTAAAGCGTAAAATAATAAGAATTAAAATTAAAATTAGGTGTTTAACAATTTGGAATATGAAGACTTATGTAAGGTACTTAAATAAGGTATTTTTACTTATTTATTTGTATATATTTATTATTTAATATATTTGTTATATTTTTTAATAGATATTTACCATTAATATTTGATATTTAAATGTTACCTTTAATATGTTCTATTTGTTTCTAATGAAAATTATTTCTATTTTAATAGAATGTTAATTCATGTTCTTCTTACATTTAATTTTAAATTGTTCTTTTTTAGTATAAGACCAAGAGTTGTCAATAAATTAGACTAAATCACATACATTATCGTATTGAAATTGGTTGAATAGTTTCAGAGTGCATCATAACTAAACTCGTCATACGTGTAATTTTTATATATTCATCGAAATAAAAAGTAGTCATTCCGAATATTGTATAGTTAATTTGTAAAGTACACAAAAAATGTGATCCAATTTTTCATTTTAAAGGGGGGAGGGGGGTGCAAGATTTTTGAAAATCTACAAAGAGGTTGTAGAATAGAAGAGGTTGGGAACCATTGGACTATAGTAACTAGTAAGTTATACTGATCACTTTCAGATGTATTACATTAGTATAATTTTGAATTACAGCTTATCTTAATCATATAGCTTCATAACTCTGTAAGAGTTTTAGTCGCCACTATTAGTGTTCACCAACTTCCACAGTTCTGGATCATTTTCTTTAAGTCTTGTCATATGTCATTCATTCATTGTTTCATTGGCCTCTCTTGATCTCTTTCTTTCTGGCTGCCATCCAATAGTTACTATAGCTTAAACATCATATCGTTTTACACAACCAAACCACTTTAGTTTCTGTTTTTTCATAAAACTTATTGTTACGTTTATATAAAAAACAAATGATTTAAATAAAATATCATATCTTTACTATGTTAGTATTTACGCATATAAGTATGTTAGTATACAATAATTTTACAATGATATAGAACATATTATGTATTTATTAGTAAAATATTTAATTATCAATTTCAGTCTTAAATTTCAGCCAAGAAATTATAAAATAGCTTTTATTCGTCCTCTTCATCTTCTGATATTTTTGCATTCTCTGTTTGTTCAGCAAATTCCTTTGAAGCATTTAATAACATATCAGTTTCTGGTTCACTGAGTCGTTCATAAAAGTCTTTGATACCCTAGAAAAAATAATTAATACAAAAATACGAATAAAAGACGTTGAAATAAAAGAAATTGGTGTTTTATAAACTTTTTTAGTTAGATTCGTAATAATAATTTTAGTAGTATACTTTTTACGTTTAAGATATTCAATAAATTATTAATTTTAAACATCTCTAAATACAGATAAAATAAAATATTAACCTTTGTGTTATTTTAGTTATAAAATTAATGGTTGTTATTGGAAATCAAATTATAGCACAGTAAAAACAATCTTATCAAAAGACTTGTAAATACAAGATGTTTTAAACCCTATTCACAAGTTTACAAGAAAAGCTATATTTGATTAGCATGTAATGTAATAGAGGTGGTAAAATAATCATTGTATTATCTACGATCTACAAAGTTTGTATTATTATTTTTATGTTCATTAATATTTTAAAAGTATTAATATAGTAGTAATAAATATTACAGAATTTAATTTAAATTCAAAATGATATTTAAATATATAACAGAACTTGAATACAAAAATAGTTAAATTACTACTAATGATTAAATGCAAGTTTTCAAAAGGGAAACATACTTTTCGCCTTAAGTAAGTCACCGTTTTGAGAGTATTGCAAACATTTTATAATCGCTTTAGAACTGAACGTAAGCAGTGCATTATTTTGAAATTAGAAAAAATTGTAGTTGTTACAAGTTTAGTCAGTAATAATTAATAACTATTTAAATGTATACCAAGGATAACTGTAAAACAGAGTCTGGCGGATCATTGACCAACATCAGTTTTTCTTTTTTTGTTAAATTAATAGGCATATGTTTTAACTTAATTAAGTATTTCTTTATTTTATCTGCATTTTGAGATGCACACGGCCTTTGCTCTAAATATTTGTTTACCTGAAATAAATAATAAAATAAATGAAAAATATTAGCTAAAAACTAAAAATATGCTTTTAATATACTTCATATAAAATTGTTGAGTGGTTTATTGTTCCAATAAGTTTGTAATTTTCTTGAGTTCTTTTAAGTAATCCTAAAACCTAATAAAACAATAGATTTTTTTTAGTACAGACATAACAAATTATTTCATTTCTAAATAGCACACTAATAATAAATCTATCCTTGAACTTATAAAATCCAAGGAAGAGATGTTCATGTATGTAAATATTCATGATGTAATGAATGTGATGACAACCATTTAAGGCATATTTTAGTTTCTATAAATTATTTTTACAGTCAGTCAGGAAACTTGATGGTAAAAAACTTTGTTTAGTACTTTTATATTATTAAAACCAAAATTTGAATATCCAATTAATCTCGTTTCACAAAGTGGGTTTAAAAAATACATAAAATACACAGTGAAATAGGTACAAAAAAGTACTTGACAATTATTGTAATAGAATTAACTTTATTTTTCTTAAAAATAATTACACCATTGATCAGAAAAACAAAAATTAAAATACAATTTACATTGATAAACCTCAGCTATATTATAAATTGTTGTACAAACCTGCAATAATAACAACATACAATAATACTCATAATATAGATTTATATTTTATCGGCGTCATAAATTCAAACTCTATTTTATATTTAGGATAATAGTTAATACATACCTACTTATAATCACTTAATTATTAACTTTATCCTCCCTAGTTTAATATTATTCAAAAAATTAAATTGTTTTTCTCTATCAAATTAACTAATAATTATTTATCTGCATTACTCATGCTATACACATAAGTAATGGGTAGGTACATAAATAAAAATGTACATATTTTAATGATCATTTGTATTTTATATTAAAAATACTTTCAATGTTTAATATAGCTTAAGCATTTAGGAGATCAATGTTCATTATCAACATAGGAAAAGTTTTTATCCTATTTAATTTATTAGTGTTAAAAATATTTTTTCGAAGAATAATTGGTTGCCGGTGTACACAAAAACATTTTGTATTCAGTGACAATATATGGATAAATGGTTTGTAAACCTTTGGACTATTTTATCATTATTTATAAATCTGAATTTGTTTTTAACTTTATCTTTAAAATATTTAATATCACTCTGAATGTATGCACATTCATCAACTTAAATCTCGATAATGGATTTAAAAACAGCGACAATGATAATATTAAACATTTTATTACAAAATATTAAATAAGGGAAATTAGTAAAAAGAACTATGAGAGGATTAAAATATCGAAAATAATAAAAAAATGTCCCACCCCCTTCTAAATGCGGTCTTGGGTAGTCAATTTTTCTTTTGGAAACTATAAGTAAGCCTATTTCTTTATCAATCGCAACAACTTTTGAAAAATACATAAAAATCTGATTTTTGATTTTTTTTATTGTCTCTTCATCAATATGGTATTCATTTAAGAAAGTCTACAACAGATAATATTATTAAAATTGAGTAGATAAACTTACATAAAAATAGTAAAATAATTGTAGTTTTTTCCAATTTGAGAAAAGTCCTCTGTAAAGTATTTATGTCTATTTAAAAAAAAATTTAATTTAATTGAATAGGAGAAAATTCTTAATTTATTGTTTAAATAAATACCAAATAACTAATATAAATTGATACTAATCTAAGTATTTCTTTGACAATAAATTGTGGAACAATAAAACTGCCCTCTACTTTCAATAAAATAATGTACAAATTTACAATTTACCATGCAAAAAGTGACCAAGTGATAAAAATATGTTTAAATGTCTTATTTTATACCTATTTATGTACGAAAGTGTCATAAACAGTTTACAATACAATAAATAATAATATTAATAAAATAAAACAATATAATAATTTTTAAACGGCGAGAACGAAATATTTCATCAATAATCTTACTTCGTTATTGCAGAGTACAGCAACTTGTGAATTTTTCCTGTTAAGAAGAAAAAACAAAACAAGTCAGACACAATATTAATAATATTAAGCATAATTAAAATGCCAGTTTCATTTATACTTACACTTCCATGTTACTTCAATTGGTATTAAGTAATAATAATAGGAAAAAAGGTAATTGTTTAAGATTTTATGAGATTATTGATTAATGTTGATTAATTATTGTTCAATGTATGAAAACTATTCTTATCACTATGCAGTATCATCATAGTCAAGGTGGATTAATAAAATGTGAACACTTGGCTTATCAGTTGATTGAAAACATTACTGCAGTTAACATTGCCACTAGGTTCGCTGCCTACCCGATAGAGGAATAGAAATTGTATTATTTGTATGTATTTTAATAGGATAATGACTAAAATTATGGTCATTTTCTATTTTTGGATTCTGAGTGAAGCGAAGAAGCTTAAAGTTTTACAAAGATGTTTATTTTTTTTTATCGGTGTGCAACTTTTCTACCAGAAAACTTGCTTGGATTTCTACGTGTTGTACTCTTTCTGAAAGGAAATCGGCGTGGGAAAGTACTTTAGAGAGGTCATTTTTCGATTTTCTCAGGAGTTTTCTCATAAAACATGGGAAAACCGGGATAAACATAGGAAAACTAGGAAAATCGGTACAATATTAAACGAATATTAAAGAAAAATATAAAGCTTATTTAATTATTTTACTATAAAACGACATATATATATATTGTTGACAAAGCATCATTGTCAACTGAACTCTGTTCAGAATAATTTTTTTGTAAGCAATGGTTTATCGTTGCTTACAGGTATACTTTAAAATGTCTATAATAGTAGCTACACCCGTCCCTTTATCTTAGGACGTCTTTTTTATTATACCTCAAACGGGTCACTTTACATTTAATTATTGTGGCCCCCCAAAAATTCAACCAAATGTCCGCTTACGGCGCATGTCCGTCCCATTTCCCGCATTTTCAGTCAACGTCGGTCGCGCCACCAAATATACGTAGTGAGCTGTATTAGCGCAACATTTATCGGTCGTTCGTATGCGTCAATCGATGCGTTTATTTACTAGCATATAAAAATTAAAAAAAAACTAATACTTTGTAGCATGCGTCAGGTGGCCAGTATATATAGTAGATAATACGAGATATAGATTTACCCAAGAATCATCTGAGAAAATAAAACATGTGTCGTCTGTTATAATTGACTTAACCAACGTCAAGGTTACATAAGCTTTTAATGTACAGAATGAATAAAAGTGGACCTAAAACACTACCTTGTGGTACTCCGTAGTTTAATTTCGAGGGATTACTAGTGACACCATTTATTTTGACTACTTGGCTTCGGTTTGTCAAATAACTATTTAGCCACTTAGAGCTGAACAACTTAATCCCAAAATCCGGTAAAATATTCATTAATTATGCCTGATTCACAGTATCAAAAGGCTTTGCTAGATTCAAAAAAATTGCCAAAGGTTTTTTATTTCCTTATCAAGGGCTTTTTTTAAATACATTTAGTAGTACTACATAATGCGTTTTCAGTTCCCAATTCTGGCCTAAAACTAAACTGATTATAAGATAGTAATTTATTTTTTTCCAAATAAGTAACTAACATGGTTTTAAAAATTGTATCTAATACTTTTGAAAAGTAGCTCAGCATAGATATAGATGCATATTTACATATAATTTATCTCCCGTTTTAATAGGTGGTTATTGTTAGTTTTCATATATCAGGAAAAGTACCTTTTTGGAAACTTAAATTATAATTGTAAGTTAAGGGATCTATTATGTGTTCTATACATCTACAACATGTTTAAAAAGTTTAGCCGTAAATCCGCTGAACCCCGCCGCAGTATCTTCCTGTAACTTCATTATTATTTGAAAAGCCTCAGCTTTTTCAACGTAAACATTGAAGCAGTTTTGGAAAGATACATTTGGAGTGAGTACTTCTTGTTTTTGTCTAGTTGAATCAATAACTTGCGAAATATTTCGACCAACATTAATAAAGAAAATTCATAAAACATATTTGACACTCTATGAGAATTGTTATTAGTTTGTATGATATCATTATTAAATTTAATTGCTTTGATTTCATCCTTTATATATTTTTTTTTATTTTTGTCTAATATTTCTCTAATCACCCTCCGCGTTAATTTTGTATTTTATGAGACATCTACAAATTTCTTTTTTGTAAAATTCAATTTTAGACGTTTTCAGTATTCTCGTAAAGTTGTTTTTGTATTTATTGTAGTAAGAGATTAGATTAAAATTATCAGAGTGTATTTTTACTTTTATAGATAACTCCTGTTTACGACGAACTGAACGAAGTATATGCCGGTACGTAGGTTTTTTTTTCTAAATAATGTTCAAACATACAAGTTGTATGATTAAATATTATTGTAAATAGTTTGTATTTTCTCTCGTAATGAGGCCACACTGATGCAGTGCCGTAGTCGGGGGCACCGGAGACACGCCGTGCCCCTCCCCCCCAATAATTTTTTCGTAAAGCTGTATTGCAGTTTCCATAAATTCGTTGTATTAATAAAATGTATTAGTAGTACTATTATACGTATTGTAAAATATATTGTTTATATTATCATGTAGACTACAAACATTGCTTTATAAATAATATGTGATAAGGAAATAAGGGAGTAAAAAAAAAAAAAAGACAGATAATAAGTATTGTAGTGTAACAAAAACTAGATAAAAAAACTAAGTGCCCCCCTCCTTCAAAAATATTTTCTTGCTACGGTTCTGCGCTGAGGTGAGGTACATTCGGTCTGTTTACTTTTTAGAGTAATCCGTTGTTCTAATCCGGTGTGCACTATCTGAATTCATATAATCTGACAATATGAATGCTAATTTTGCCCTCGATGAAGAGTTTGTCATTTGTTTGGAAAACCCCCATCGAAGTTATGAAGATGATATGATGGTTTTCTCTCTTTTCCGCGATTTAATGTTTGCGGAATATCGTTTACTTAGACTGTTGAGCATTTCAGTTGTCAGAATTAAGGTGATGAGGGGGGGGGGAGGTGCGTCCCGCGGGCCCGCTCGCCCCGCGGCGGATAACGAGCCCGCTATCGGATTAGGTTATGCGCAGTGTTTATGTGGGTGTAATACTAGAAAATGTCGCAAATGTGCACCGTATAATCAAGCAATAACATAAACGATTTTCGCGTTCGTCCGAGTATTCTGGCCCGGGGCCCACAGGTCCTTCGACCCGGCCTTGTTATCGATTCCGTAATATTTACGAACCGGAAATACGGAAATATTCGTTTTTCGGCGAAAGTTCCTCGTCGCCTACGACGGCGGCGTGTCGTTGATGAATACGCGCGCGAACGGAAATATTCGTCGGCCCGCCTTTAAATGCGTAATACGATAATAATATTTTGGTACACGCGCAACGCACGTTTTCGGGGCGCGGGCCGCGCGCGGTTCGCCGGTAGTTTATTGATCGGCCGCGAACCGTCGAGGACGACGACCTTGCCCTTGTTAGCAACGGGCGCATGTCCGCGGCCGCCGCCTTCTACTTTTTGCCCTCCTGGCCGACAGAATGTTATAATTATTATCACCGTCTGTCGTTTATATCCCAGGCCGTCGTAATAATAATAATAACAATAATAATAACACGTAACGTATATACGCGTCGATTGAAATTTTATGCATTATAAGTGTCTACAATTACAATATAAAAGCTCCGCAAAATCGTCGATTTCCAGCGGTAAAACCGAAAAAAAGTGTACCCGTCTGTTGTGCAGAAGAGGAAATTTTCACGAGTCATAACCCCGTGGGTCACAGGCGTGCGCGGACCTTTAATGGCATGTGGGGGGGGGCAAGGGCAAAAATGATGTTTTGTCAACATCATTAGTGACTGCGGAAATATTTTCTAGGAAAAGAGGGAACCAAATTTAACAGGTGGCTAATAATAATAATGCAAATATCACACTTTGCTCTATTACTTATATTCCCATTATTAGTTACGAAATAATACGCCGTCACTGTATTAATATAAAAACAATAATTAATAATAATGAACTGGATCATTTTGTTCATATCATAGGTATCATAGATATCAGTCGCGAACTGTCGAACACGATTACCTAAACAATGACCAACTAAAAAAAATGTAGCGATACAGTAATATTATAGTTTGTTTCGAAACACGACGCGGAGGAGGCATTTGCCCGTCCTGCCACGTCCCCCGAGCGCGCGCACCTATGCTCGTCATATACTGTGATATGCCTTTTTGCGAATTATACCGAACAGAAAAATACGGATTATCGTAAAGGAAGAAAAAAAAAAAAAGTAAACGAATTTTAATTTTACATATCTGTACAATAAATAATTATTTATTTATTGCTGGTCACATTGGTTTGCTGTATGACTTATATCGACCGAACCATATGCATATCGCTTTTTTCCGTTTTTCGTTGAACCGTAAAAACGGAAAAAACACCAAGATCAAACGATATTAATACAGAATACTGTGGTATAAATGCCACGGGAATACATGTAAATATATATTCTGAAGGTATCGCAGGGCAGAATAGAGATTTTTCGGACGTTATTTTTTTTCAAAAAATGTTGCGCACCCTGAGGTACAGCTTCACGTACCTCGTGTAAATTTATTCAAAAGTGAATTTGAATATTATATTTTTTAGCGGATAAATAATAATTTTTCACAAATGTCATTGAAATTTACTGTACGCAATCCCATAAATAGTTAATCGGCGTGCGATTTCATCGTAAGGGCAGAGGACACCCGTATGTGGTTTTTACATTTTACAAACGTACGAGTGTACGACGCAGGAAATTCGCGTTCAGTGGAGACAGCTTTATGCCGTTAGTTTTAATATTAAAGTGAATTGGCCAATTATATTAAACTTAAAGATAAGAATGTTATCTGTGCAACGTTGACATTATTTTTTTTCTAAATATTTTTAAATTTTCAAGTGAGATATAAGCTTTATTAAATTGTTATCTTTCGTGTAATCATATTAATTTTTAAAAGAAAAAATTAAAATACCAAACAAATATTTCGCTACTGCTCGAAAGCCAAATGCCCCACTTACACAAATAATTAACATTGTCATAATATTTGTAAGAATTCTTCTTAGATTCAAACAATTCTAAAACATTACTTATGAGTTACAACTCATAAGTAATAGGTCCTTATATAACTATAATGTGAATTGTCATTTTTTAAAAATATTTTATGTTTCTATGCCCTATTTAAACATTTATTTTA